ACACGGTTTTTAATTGAACAGCTTTTTGTACGCGGCCAACAATGTCCCGCGCCATGAATGGCACATATTAAAATGGCGCACGACGCTTTCATTTCGCACGCGTGTTCAGGACCGTATTTATCGGCATATATTAATATAGTCGTTTGGTGTGACTATGAATATAGTCCGGAAAACTATGAAATTGTAGTACAACGTGTGCATTGGTTTACAATTCATAGACTCACCACAAATGCGGACGGTGTTTGTGCAATGTTATTACTGTAGACATAAGTTATGATCTAGAAAATGAAAAAACGAAACGAAAACAATACCTGCTGTTCAAACACACCGCATAAAAATATGTAAACTTTATAATACGCCAAAGTTCGTTGCAAAACAAACAGAAAAGTTTAATGACTTGTAAGTGGCAATGATTTGCACATAAAAATGAATGATTTATTCGTTGTGGCTCAGAATGTGGGCGCATCATAAATTACACAACTATTATTAAATCGTCTTTCAACTCAACATCGAAAACAAGTACCTAACTAAAACAATTGGCCTCGGTTAAGATGCTCTAGTTACAGTCGGCACTTGTGGAAAATTAAATTTACCATTACATTTACGAGCAATAATATGCGTGCCAAAAATGTTTTAATTTTATTTTACAAATTTCTTAAATAAATCTTTATTGCCGAGGTATATTAGCCAATATAGATTACGAATAGAAAGTTGAAACAGTAAAAACAGTCGAAACAAGAGTAACTAACTTGCGGCGGCGGTGAGCTATTTATAAAAAGACTTCTAAGTGGATCTTTTGCGATTCACCCGATTCACCGCGCGCCGTGCTTTCAATTCAAGCGTCGAGACGCCGCGCCGCGTCGGCAGTCAAAGTAGGACGTTCGTCTCGGCTCAACTCGCGATACCAAAGCTCGAAAACACAAAAAACGGTTGAATTAAAGCATATATAATTCAAAACGGTCAAGTGGTTTGTCAGACGTCTTGAAGTTGTATGTGTGTGGAATATCACATTTTGTGCAATTGTTATTTAAGTGTAAGAAGACTGTGTACAAAGTAGAAATGAAAAGGTTAGTTGTTAATAAATATAGATTATAATAGACGCAATATACTATTTTTTAGTTTTTAAGTTTCTCTACGTAAATCCTGTAAATAATTTATTTAAATCACGTTTATTTACATGTGAACTAAATACGAAAGTAACACTTTAGTTGTTTTGACATATTGACAGCAATTTGGTAAGTTTTAATGACTAGCATGTGTTACCAAATCGTTCAATCGATATTTCGGGTTGTAAAAACATTTATTCTGGCATGTTATTGGTTGAAATGCTTTTTAAAAATCTAAAATTTATATCTGAAAAACAGTTCACAAATCTTTTCATTTTCGATTTGTATATAAATTTTATACTAAATTAAGACCAAAGTTATTGCAATTTTTTTTTGCAATGTGATCGTAAAAATAACATTCAGCTATTAAATTGAATTTGATTAACCTTTATTGCTAATATAATAAAGAGCTTCAGACTTACTAAGCTGTTTGATCAGCTATTTTCTTTAATATTAAGAGGATAATAAAAATAAATTTTCGATTAAATTTTACTGTACGAGTATACTACTCTTCGCTTTTGTTTGAAATTTAATTCAAAATAAATCCTATATGTTTGTGAAAATAGTTTACAATATACGTAAATAATCCAAATTAATTTTTGGATAAATTATAAAATACAATATTTAAGCAAATAATCCAATTAATCGTAATATTTGAAATTTGCACCGCATGATATTTAAATTATCATTAAATAATATACCTCTGATCCTATTAGGATTAACATTTGCATAAAATTATTATATCAGCATAAACAAGTACATTTATTATTACTAAAGTGTGGTTCCAAAAATAAAATAAAATAGAAATATACGTGTTCTGTCGCGGCGACTGGGAAAATTGGTTGAAAGTTGTGTGGAAAATTGTAGGTAGCTATAGGTGGAAGTAAATACCGTACGTCATAATGGAATATTATAGCCATTATGGCATGGGCATTATAAATATAAAATAATCGGAACGCGTTGTGTTATTTTCGGCGTCGGGTTTCTTAGGAATTACGTGATTGGGAGCGTGCACATGCAATATGCATGTACCGACTGACGAACTGACGAAAACTACAGCACAGGCCGTAGAGGAAATTAAGGAAAAGTAACGGCTAGCAACAACTGAGATTAAAATTTATACACGTGCGGCGGAAGGTGTTTTCATAATAAATATTTGGTACTGTTTAAAATTAGCGATATTTTGGTTCTTTGATCAATCACTAAAGAATAGTATGTGTACTCGTAAGTGTAGTTTTTCATTAACAAGCAATTCATTGAGCATAAGATGAAAAGTTAGGCGAGTCGTAAGAGTTTGAAGAACACTTGAAAATAACATCTTTTGAAGTTCTACTTTATTATGTTCTACTTGAGAATCTTTAGTTTGGATGCAATTTTATTAAACAATAAATAAACTACCAGACCTATTTTGTTCCATTTTAGTATGGAAATTGGTCCTTAAAGGAGGATAAAGGCTACTTTTGCTCACGAAACCATATTTAGCATGGGAATTAAGTGGGTAATGCAAATTTAACATAATTATAGTTAAATCATTTGTATAATACATGATAAATCTTGACAATTTTATCAATTTAAGGATAAAACAAGTCCTCGGTAGTATAACGGCCAGTATTCCCGCCTGTCACGCGGGCGATCGGGGTTCGATTCCCCGCCGGGGAGGACTTTTTGAAGGAAATGCAATTTTAGGTCCTCTTAGTTTTAATTCTGGTAATGAGCTGCTAAGAAATCAAACAGGAATATATTGTTATAAATCCCTTCTTGCTGAAACTGCTCGATCTAATTTTTTAAATTGTGGTATTGAGATTGGTCCTTTGGTCCTACCAGAAGGACATATCCTACTATTGGTCATAAAACCAAATCGAGCACGAGTCTAACATTGTATATGGTAAATTTAACATATTTATAGTTAAGTAATTTGTTTAATAGCCGAAGAATCTTGACAATTTTACCAATTTAAGGATAAAACAAGTCCTCGGTAGTATAACGGCCAGTATTCCCGCCTGTCACGCGGGCGATCGGGGTTCGATTCCCCGCCGGGGAGGACTTTTTGAAGGAAATGCAATTTTAGGTCCTTTTACTTTAAATTCTGGTAATAAACTGCTAAGAAATCAGACATAGGAATATATTGTTATAAATCCCTTCTTGCTGAAACTGCTCGATCTAATTTTTTAAATTATGGTATTGAGATTGGTCCTTTGGTCCTTTCAGAAGGACATATCCTACTATTGGTCATAAAACCAAATCAAGCACGGGTCTAACAATGTATATGGTAAATTTAACATATTTATACTTAAGTAATTTGTTTAATAGCCGAAGAATCTTGACAATTTTACCAATTTAAGGATAAAACAAGTCCTCGGTAGTATAACGGCCAGTATTCCCGCCTGTCACGCGGGCGATCGGGGTTCGATTCCCCGCCGGGGAGGACTTTTTGAGCAATTTACTCTTTTAAATCAAAATATAAATTGTTTTAACAAATTCGGGACAAAAATCGCTCTCAGTTGTATTGTTGAAACCGAGATGGCGCAAATATGCAGTTATTTTTATTTAATTTTGTTTGTTTACATTGGTGAATTTGTGTTGGGTCAGGGTTATGTTATCGCGATAAATCGAGATAGCGGTGTCCATGCAACTCACTTTGCGCGTGCAGCACACTTTTATTTATGTCATCTTTTTTAACTCTCTTTTACATTCTTTACATTTGATATTGTTGCTGTTAAGCATATTCTTAATTTTCTTCATTAAAAAATAATATCCATGCCCAGCCAGGATTATTATACAGATTGTTAGTCATAAAATATATTACAATAACAATTCCCTTAACAAACGTCAATAAATGTACGACTCATTATGTTTCTAAACAACAGCTTGCAATTAAAAAATCTGTAGCTATATAAATCGTTGTCTGTGGAATAAATTCCTAAACAAAAACAATGAAATTAGTAGAGGTTTGCAATTTTACGATAAAATACGTTGTATATAATTTCATTCATGAACAACGAAAGTGAAATGTATATAAGGATATAAATTTTTCATTGATGAAAATATATTTTAAAGTTATTAACAAGTCGTGTTAATTTAACAATTTTGGTACGGTGATTGGTCCTTAAACAAGGATATAGGCTACTTTTGGTCACCAACTATATCCAGCAGAGGAAATAAAGTGTATATTGCCAATTTTACGCAGTTATAGTTAAATTATTTGCGTAATAGACAAAAATCTTGACAATATTAACAACTTAAGGATAAAATAAGTCCTCGGTAGTATAACGGCCAGTATTCCCGCCTGTCACGCGGGCGATCGGGGTTCGATTCCCCGCCGGGGAGGTATTTTTGAACAATTTACTCTTTTACCTCAAGATTTAAATATTATTAACATATTCGGAAATAATCCCATTTATCAAAATTTACACTAGATGGCGGTAGGATGGACCTATTTGTATTAAATATTGTGTTTACATTCATGAAGTTGCTTGTTGATACCAGTGAATGCACATGGTGAAAAAATAAAGATAAACTTCTCGGTGTGATTTAAATATTGCTCTCAGATACTTTATTTTGTTCCTGTTTCAAATACGTTTACTTTTCTCCACTAATAAATTAATTCCACACAAATCCACGCGGGGCATACAATAAATATAAAATTACGATTAAATTTCACAAATTGCAATATACGTCTGATTCATTAGGATTAAAAACAACAGTTCAGGTAGTAATTAATATTGATTCAGTTAATTATTCCCCGCATTGGATTAAATTCAAAATTCCGGTTTTATTCAATGTTCGACAACACCACGTTCGGTATGCTCTGCGCTGTGTAAACACGTGCTCTATACCGTATTGGTCAACTCTCCATTGTGAATCAACTAATGTTTGCTTTTTATTGTGTTACAGGGGAATACACTAGTCAAGCCGACAGCAAACAACTCAGAAAAATCAAGGTAATCACATTCGAGTAGACAATTTCGTTCACTCCTCACATCGTATCCCAATCTTAGTTGACACTGAATTCTGTCGGGATTTTATTCGCGATTTACGCACTTCTTGTGCTAAGCTCATAAATTGTATTATTGGGTGAGTGCCGTGTGTATTGTGGCTCAACACTGCGTGAATACACATAGACCCACGGCAAATATTAGTTCAAATAATAAAGTTCGATATAATTTTTTGCAACTTTTTGTTTTCCATCCCTGTTTGCTGTTTGCACCGTGTTGGTATTTTTTTTGTTACTGGTGCGCACAGTCTTTCTTACTGCTGTGTTTCAACGCAAGTTTTTTGATTAAAAAAGTTGCGCTTCAAAATTAAACTCGAAATTCGGAAATCTTGACGCGCGCGTGCCGCACACCGCCTAAAATATAAATACATAATTCATTCTTATGTATCGCCATAAGAAGCGCTCGTCCTCGTAAAGTAAGGTAATGTTTTGCAGGAAACCGATGTATGAGAAAGCACAGCGTGCAAAAAAGAAAGAGCTTTATTATAAACTGACGTGTATACTTCCTGGCAAGCAATATCACAGCACAAAAAACGGTAGCAGCACAACGTTCAACCAATAACTGATAAATTAATTCTGAAAAATTTTAATTCTTAAACTTTGGCAAAGCGTACGAATGAAATATTAGCGAATTAAGTCACGCCGAGCGTGTAGCAGATGTTTTTACGTTGTTATTGACTTTATTGGCTTTCATTGGCAGCTAACTCGCCGTTTGAATAGTTAGCAAAGTAACTGAAGTTATTAATTTCTCCTTCGCTCGGGCGTGTTGAGCAAATACGTGATTGTTACGAGTGTTGCTGTAAACTTTGACTCTCGCCCCCTTTTCGCATGCTGCGCGCACGGAGAGACGACCTAAACAGTCGTAACTTATCTCATGTCGGCGGAAATTCTCTTAAAACTTTTAAGACGTGTTTTAAACACAAAATGAACATCACGATGGGCACACATAACACATCACAGGGCGAGAAGAGTAAATTCTAATTTATCTACGTATTGAATTTATTTCTTTGAATTTTGCCTTGACATTTCGCTTTCACGCGAATAAAAATCACGTTTTTATGGCTGCAGTCTGCGTGCGTATCAATCTTGAGAATTGCGTGTTGATCTGTTGATCTCTTGATGTTTATCACTGTCCGATGACTTTTAACCTCTGGGAGTGTCAGCCGGAAGCTTTGGCGTTTCTTTTTTCTAATGCGCCAACTTATCATTGTTGCGTGTTAGTCTTTTTTATCGAAGGGATATCGACGCGTCGACATGCCCGGAACGAATCTTTGTCTTTCGGATGTAACCGGTGTGCCGGTGTGCAGTGTGCGCGATGTCCTTTTGCCATTATCCTCAATGGTTCCGGGCGCGGGCCACGGTGTCGTAGTGTCAAGTATCAGCCGCGCCCGAGGTCATATTTCACTTAACCTGCGATAAATTCCGGTGTGCCTTATCACGTCGCACGTCTTTGCGCGAACGCTACCAGCGGATACGTCGTAATGATGTTATAAAATTTATCTATAGCTTTTTTCCGTCTTACATTCGCCGCTCCTAGGAACCATCGCTACATTCTGAGCTTCTTAATATACTTCTACGAAACTATCTAAAACTTTTACGATTACGATGTATAGGATATTATCCACCTAACTAGTTAATAAGTATAATCATTATACTATACTTTATCCACAGTTTTGTTCCATGGAGGTTCTTAATACCAAATCAAATTATCGTTTTATGAGAATCCGAAATAGATTAAAGAATTAAAGGATTAACCAGCGCCCAGCCGATAAAAACGCAATCCATTATAAATGACTATCTTTAGCCGGTTTTATTGGCGTCTTAACATCTTATGAGAAAGTGAACTTTCATTTCGCCATTATCTCGAACATTATGACCTTCCGCAAGACTCATTTTTAACCACCAGATCCCTCATTCCATTGTCTTCGTCGGCATCGTGGCCTTACATTATGTATCGCGCCGGCATGAATATGGCACACGAGTACGGTAACGTCTCTAAGGCATGAAGATTCAACGCCGCCGCCGTCGTCGTCGTCATCAGCGTCGTCGGCCCCAAAACATCCTGTAGTTAATGTTTCATAGCGGTCGAGGCACATCCTTCCGGTGTTTATACAAGATATGTGCACGGCGTGCGGACGTGCGGTTCCAGCACCTTAATTGGTTCCTGTACTCGGGACGCAGTCATTGTTTACAGCCGACCCCCCACGATGTGAGTGTGTGTCGGGAGGATGTCCCGAGGCGAGGGGAGAGTGTGGTGTATCCGCAGGCATGGGGGACACTTCCGCGTCGGGCTTAAAATAAGGGCTTGCCATTGTTCGGCAGCCGAAGCGGAGGGCGACAAGGTCGACGATGGGATGGTAACAAAGCGTTATCCTGCGATTTGAGCATTGAACCCTCCGACGAGGATAACAGAAGTGGAGAGCACGAGAAGAATTAGGAAGATAATTTCCGACTTGTACTGCTTAATACCGACTAGATTACCCGCCAATTCAACGCGCTTCTAATGTTCCGTGTTCTGTCTTGATACAATTTGAATAATTGCTTTTGATCTGCGGTGTTGTGTGGTGTAGTATTCTATTCGCTATTAAAGACGAAGAATAGGTGCTTACGATTTACTGGCTCTCTTATCGAGTGGGCGCAATTCCTCGGGCAGCACGAACAACACAATACAATTTGTTGTAAATAAACGAGCGCCGTGAGGAAAGTATTAGAGAGGTAATTTGGTCAGGTTGCGGTTGCTTTGTGATCGGCAGATTTCCCAGGAGTGAGCGGCCTGTGCCGGCCCCGGAATGAGTGAATGCTCTCGCCCCGGCGGCGGCGGAGGTGGTGGTGTGTGGATGCTGCGGGCGCTCAGATTGAGCCTCGAGAATGCGGCTATTCGGGACTATATCGGTCGAGTACGAACTTGATACCTTTCTCGCCTTCCGCACTCACTTCACTGGCAGCGCGCGTCCTTTCGGCTTCCGGCTGAATGCTCCTGCGAATACACGTACTCGCGGCCACTCCTGAAGGTGGCCACATTCGATTTGCAGACACAACAACACTGACAACAATAGCCACAATGGCACTGCAAGACACTTCTATTGATAAAGTCCAAACACTTTCCAGCCACTAAGAATGTCCAGGCATCCGCATTCTATAGATTTATATTGCAGCAGAGACGAAACACTCGAGACAATATGTATCAAAGAAAAAATGTCCGGACATGATAATATTAGTCTAGGATAAAATTTTTGTTTGGGAATATTTGGTGCGTGTATAAAAATAAATAAATTTATTTCTTTCGACATTTTCATCTAAACTCTAAATGCTCCCACGTCGCGGCAATATTTCACTTCGGGAAGTGAAAAGGTGGAAGGCCGATCCGATCGACTCGGCCCGATCAGAAATTCTCGCTTTCCACCGCGATGATGTAAATTCTCATCGACGGATCGAGCGTACGCAAAGATATATGCATTTTACTTTTTCGTCCCTGCTACCGAAAAGTACTATATCTCACCCTTGGATTTTTCCATTTCGACCCACAGGAGTGTTATCCCAGCAACAAGCACCTTACCCGCAGAGGTGTGCAGTGCGCAAAGTAAAATATTGCAAGTGGAAATCAAAATGGGCGCGGGCTGAGAATGATACAGCCCTGATTTCTGCAGCGCTTTATGGAGGCGGCGATTCATCAAGTCTCGCAGCCGTTTTCGGCATCATATACATTCATTTCTCGATGTACGCCGCGTGCTGCGCCGACGGCGAATTCGCGAACGATATTTCAAAGTCGCAAACACTTTTCTAGCGCCTGGTCGTTCTGCCACCTTTCATCCAAGATTCGGCGGCGGCGGTGGTAATAGATGCATTCGCACACACGTTCGACGCGTTAAGAATATGGTTCGACGTTAGGCGGAACGTGAAAGGCCGGCGGAAATATACGAAACACATGAAGAAGACGTAGTAGACGTACTACCTACTAGATGCGGCGGCGCAATGGAGACGGCGAAATGAAATGCGGACGTGAAAAAATTCATTCGCCAACGCAACATTCGAGAAAAATACCCATTTACAATTTACAACGAAAAATTGCGTTCGTAAATTGCTTTTACTTTATACTGTTTAAAATAGAAACGAAACCGAGTTTCTAAATCTATTTCGCGAACGAAAGCCCGGTGTATGACACGCGCCGAGACACGTTCCTCGATTCCGCTCCGGCGATGCATGAATAACGAAATCATGCATCTTGATGAGTAAATAGTATGCGATTTTATTTGTAAGCCGAGTGAATTTTCCGAGTTCGTTATTTCGCCAGCGCAAAAAGTGAAACGCACAGGTACGTAAATAATACTCTTGGGGGCGAGTATTTTGAGCGATTATAGTCGAAGCAATAAAACTCTGGATATTTATAACCGTGCCATATATTAATAATGTAAAATTCCATTCGTAAATATTGTGGGACGACGGCGGGCGCGCTCGCCGGGTCAAAAACAATAGGCGAGAGCTTTCGGTCGCATGTGGAAATCCTAAAACTCATGAATACTTCCTGCCTAGAGGATGATTACATTGGATGTTGCAGCAAACACTATAGCACAGCTTTTAATATCAATTCTACTCAATATGCATCGCTTTTAGTACATTCTGGCCGTGATATGAAAGATAATTAAAATAGTTCATTGAAAGTGCAAATATCCAACGCAGTTAATCGAATTTATCAATTTTCTAAATTTACTTTCAGATTATATTCATCACTGTAATGATAATAAAGATAATGACAACATTCACAAAATAACGTAGCACATGAAAAAGTTCGGAGACATTTAGTATAAATTCATAAATTCGTTTGAGAACTGAAATGCATATATGAATGGAAACATAAATAATTAAACGATATTTCATGAAACCGCTCGGCGGCGGCGGTGCAGTAGCACGTGTGCGGAGGTATGGGCGACGGTTATGAATTTATCATGGCAAGATGCATTGCATTGCAGTACGTTTCGCTGGAGTGTAGTTTTTTTTTCGTTTATGGCGCGTCGGTCTTTTTGATTTTGCTCGCGTCTTTGCGACACAATAACACACATAATAGCCGGGTCTGCATAATGGAGCCCGAGCCGGAAGCTCGTTAAAATTTATTCATTAACGCTCCCGAGTTTGGAGCCATTAATATAGACAGGCATATCACCTTCGAACTTTCATCGTCACACCCGGAGCAAAAAGGGTATAGTCGTAATTTCTAACTTGCACTCGTATAATTATACGGCGTCATTTTTGGAAAATTAACATTTTGTGACAAAATAGTGCTTTAGGCTTTAATTGGACTCTTTCATCACTCTTCACTTACACAAATATTATGTCTACATTCCTTGACGTATATTATACCTTTCCGGATCCGGAATTTCTCCTTATTGCTTGTTTGCCAGTTTAATTTGAACTTGTAAACTTCAGCAGCAGCGAATCGCACGAAATGATTTATTATTCTATTTCGTGTGTTTTTTTTTTTATTAAAATTTGTTTTGTCGTTTGCAGAGCATTTCACGTTGTGCAAATATATTTAAATAATAATTCATTCGTCTTTTCCGTTTCGTACTTTTACACTTTTCTGATTTTTCTTTGTGTTTTTGTTCCACAGGATGCGAAAAAACGAAAGCTCGTCGGCGTCGGATCCACCTGATGCTGGAGGGTCGGCCGCCCACGGCCAGCGCGCCTCCTACATGACAAACGCTTCTTCGTCTTCGAGCAGCGGCGGCCGGAGTAATTTCAAAATCGGCATCTATGGCTGGCGCAAACGATGCCTCTACGTCCTCATCCTCGGCCTGCTCGTCATGGTCATAATTAATCTAGGTTTAACGTTATGGGTCCTCAAAGTTATGGAGTTTTCCTCGGTAAGCACAATTTCGGGTTTGCATATTGATGACGGCGTTAATATTTTAACGTTTAATGCGTTTTCGACAAGATAATACTCGTACTTACATAATAATTGTGTAATAACTACAATAAATTATTATTAATAGTATATTGTTTACTAAATATCAAAATCAATAAAAAGTAAATTTAAAGTAAGTCATACTTAAATACCTACATGTTTATTCAATTAATTATTAATGATGGTAATTATGAGATAAAAGACTACATCACATTTTCATGTTTAATAATTACAATCATAATGAGGGACATTTTAAAACGATAACAAGAAGCGACCGTTGTATATATATATATATCTTAAAAAATTAACGGTGATTAATGCGGAAGGACAAAAGCGCCACGAGGAATATAATTGGAATAATGAGCGAGCCGGTATAGGCGAGGCGGCGTCGATGTAGTCATCACCGTCGGCGGCGGCGGCGAATCGTCCGCCTCCGTAAAATTATTCTGGTAATTATGTCCCGAAGGTTTTTCAAGCACTCGTGCAGCGTTACATTTTTCCGGTTTGTCCGCTCGACTCTGCTTTCATATTCATCGCAAATCGCCAAGTCGCAGTCGGACTTAGTACAATTGTTTTCTGCATTCGACTTCCTCGAGCTATCCCAGCAATTTGATATGATATCACTAGTCTGAGGATCCTACTTACCTGGAGTATTACCGGATTAAAGCGATCGCATCGCGGCGAGCTGGATTACTGCGCAGCTGGCATTGTAATTGCATTTATAATCAAACAATTTAGACACGAATTATTATTTTTTATCACATTAATGAGCCGCGTTATTTGTTTTCATGTGCTTTGTATTTGTGTGTTTTTGTGGTGTAGATCAAAGCCTACCGAATCACTTTGTATACTTACTGAAAATGTTCAGATTCTCGCTTTCTGGATTAGCGCTGTAACGAAAACACAAAGAAGTCGACCGAGCGAATGGAAAAAAGCTCCATTTAAAATATTTTGTAATTAAAACTTCTTTAATTGAGGAGCAGATGCAACAGTTGTTTGATTATTCGTATCTTTTTCAACATTGCTTTGTTGAAATTGCGAGGAATGTATATTTCACATTTCTATGAAATTGGCAATTAATTTATATCTTTTTTCATTACAACGTAATAAAATATTAATCAAGTGTTTCAATTCTTCAGCGCTGATATTATGACACCAGATAGATCTTTATGAGCTCGTTAAATCTCAAGCACGTCGTCGGATATCCCTCTTAAACCTCTTGAAAACTTAATGATTAGAGATTATTACCGTGCTCGATAATAATTATGATCCTGTTAATAATAAATTACATTCATAAAGTGTAGCGCATGTGTGTAAATACGAATTAGATTAAGTTGTGACTTAGTTTGAGTCCTCACAGACAGTAAAAAGAACGAAACGCGTAAGAAAAACGTAAACCCAAATTTCCCTCGGGCTGCTCTCGTCGCTTTCGAGAATGAAGCCTTCAATAATTCAACATAATACCGATTATTGCTGGATGCTGCGCTCTGTATGATTGCATGGATCGGTGAACGGAATCATGCGACGATATTTCCACGAAATAATTCAATGGAAACAATCCGAACTTTTTGCCGAACACATAAAAATATCAGCAATAATAAAATGCTCCTATGCTTAGTTTCGTATATTAGGATAATATTAATGTTTGTTTGCTTTTGTTTCAGGAGGGTATGGGTCAATTGAAAATTGTCGCAGGCGGGTTGCGACTAGAGGGCACTGCATATGTCCTCGACTCCTTAATTACACGCCGGATACGTTCGAGGACCGGCCAGTCGATCGTTGTGGAGTCCAGCAAAAACCTGACCCTCACGACGAGAGACGCGCACGGCAAATTAGATAATATTATTTATTTAGGTAAGTGGTGAGGCAAAAACCCTCCGTGTCTAAAACGGTTGGAAAAAAATGTGATTTTAGTAACGAAGCTCTGTTTTCTCACTCCCTGCGCAGGTAATGATCGTTTCGAGTGCCTAGCAAACAATTTCAAAGTGATAGACGACCGAGGGCACATTCTGTTTTCGGCGAGTCGGGATGAGATCGTCGTTGGGTCCGACACTCTGCAGGTGACGGGTGAAGGCGGCACAACGTTCAGTGGATCCGTACAGACGCCACTCGTGCGAGCCGATTCCGGGCATGACCTGAGGTGAGAGAAAGTGCTGCTTAATGTCAGAGTAATCTCTTTGCCATCTTGATCTTTATACCCTTTACACCCCTCCTACCTCACCGCCATTAGTTGACCTTAAAGGAAATCTAACTGATGGCATAATTTATAAGATTAAACTTTTCTAAAATATATTGCCATATGTTTGTAACATTCGAAGGATTTGCCTTCAACAATTCCTAAGAAAGTCATGCTACTTTTATGACCTCGAACCAGACGCGTTTTTCTTTGCCGGCCAATCCGCAACAGATGCGCTTCTCCGACCGTTCCAAAATATATCGTGCACCGGCCGTCGTGGAGCACTAGAACAGTCAAAATGCAAATTCAACTACTTTATCACATTTTGTTATTTTCCACGTATGTACCTAATGCAATCCGGAAGGGGCTAAGCACTACAACCGGCCATTCTTTATAATGTAAAATTTCCGCGTTCAACCTATGTCAGCATCCGCGTGCTGTACCTCATGCTGCCACACTCCAATTTCTTCCACCCCGTTTCCATTTTGGAGATGCTTGCGAAACTTGTTTTGCTGTTTTGCAAACTTTACATTTGCCGCTGGCTTCCAAGCCAAGACGCTCTGGAATGAGACACGGCGAACGAGAGCGAATTTTATAGTTTCGCCATAATGCTCTTATACAAATACAAATTTCATCCAATCAGTCACAACAATGTACGCTTGATAAAATTCTAACATTTTAAATCCTACTTTCTGCGAAACAAGACTTCAACTTGACATTTCCTAAATTAATTTTTATAAAAATATGAATTTCTCTCTCCGTGTATTTCTCATTTATTTAAGGACTTAATAAATTACAGATGTTATACGTATGAATATTTTTAGATTGGAATCGCCGACGAGAACGCTGGAAATAAAAGGTCCCCACGGCGTGAATATCGTGTCGCGAGCTGGCGAGATCAAGGCGATGTCGCTGAACGACGTCAAGCTGAAGTCCGTCGAGGGGGCGATCCGATTAGACGCGAGCGTTATCGTAATGGACAAAATACCAACGGCGATACCAAGCTCGAAAGTGAGTCAATCAAAGAACCACGATATCTATCAGCTCTGCATATGTAATAACGGCAAACTGTTTCTGGTGCCGCCGCATCATTACTGCTCCGACGATGGCATCGTGTGTCGATAGAATTATTTCACTCTTCTAACGACTAAAACAAAGCAGTAGAACCAACGAATTCAACTATATACTCGTACATGGTGCGCGGTTTTCTAAAACTGATTTCCACAGTTTCCAATGTGAGATAATCCGATACGTTTCACTAAAAACGATTACAACCTCATGCATAACTAAACGTTGTTGTGATAACTTGTAAAGATCCCCAATTGCAGTTACATTACAACACGAATCGCTGCCAACTCGTGACTTTATTGAGTTCACGTTGTTATGACCCGACCCACAGACGACTTGCATTGTAATGAGTCGTGACGTACGTGCGATTGCAACAAATTTATCCTCCAGACAACATGTACATAAATGTAATATATGTATACATGAAATGAAAATGTATTAATATAATAATGTTAGAATTGTAAATTTTATATACAATGGAAAATGAATAGATATTGCGATAAAGGAGCAAGCAGTAAATGTATAAAGATTGTTAGAATGTTTAGGCGATATCGTAATAGGCAATAATAATTGTACAGTTTCTGATTGCATAATCAGGCTACCATTAGTGGTTATAAAAGTATCATCAGCGCTATTAATGCCTTAATAAACTGTATAGCTTTATGAAAATTGCATTTGTTTGAAACTGTCTTTTGATATTTATATCTTCCGATTTTATTCATCGGGAAATTACTTCTAGAGTACCATCTGTTGGTAAATAACTTGAAGTAAGTATATTTGTGGAAAATCAATATTTACTGGAAAACTGCTTTTTATTTTCAACCTCGATTCCCTTTTTAATTTAGTAGAATTCTAGATGCCGCTAAAATTAAAGTTTTAATGAAATAATTTACTTCTATTTCTTTTTATCAAATATATTAACAATAATAATTTGCATGACACATTTCCTGTAAATGTGGGCCGCTTGATTTCACACCCATTCTATATTAATAACGTTGGCGCCGTCTAATTAGGCGACAATAACAGTCGCATTCCACGATATGCCGGATAAAATTAGAATTAGAATATACGTTAGTTAGTTCTGGAGAGCAATACGCGCGCGGAAGATGTTCTCCCGATTTATATTCATTTTACTTCTGTTTGCAGTGAGCGGCACTCAAAAAATAGACAACGATGTTATTAAAAACTACAGCGAGTTTTTTAATTTCGGACATAAAAAGAATCTTAATAAAATCGGACGTGAAAAGTATGAAAATTCAATTATTAAGTCTAAAGTGGATGTACTGGGTGCTGTGTTTAAACAGAACATTGCGTTTATAAAAAGTAAAAATCTCATGGATTTAGTATTTCTGATCGATGCGTCTTCCACCGTGGGTCAGCATAATTTCAATAGTGAATTAAAATTTGTAAAGAAATTGCTGAGTGATGTTACAGTGGATTATAATCATACCAGAGTGGCAGTTATTACATTTAGTTCACAAGGAAAAATAGTAAGTATCTTTTCATAATTAATTTAAAAATATTGAAGTATAAACTTTTAGAATAAAAATATTGATGAAATCACATTTCCAAAAACTGAAAACAACAAATGTCTACTCCTTAATAATGAAATAAATAACATTGAATATACCGGTGGAGCTACTTATACATTAGGAGCTTTCAAAGCTGCTAAAGAAATATTGCAAAACAGTCGTGCAGATGCCGAAAAAGTTTTGTTTTTGATAACTGACGGATATTCGAATGGCGGCGATCCGATTCCAGTTGCAAACGAGCTGAAGCAATCGCAGGTCACTATATTCACCATTGGAATCTCCAATGGGAATATTAAGGAACTGTATGAGATTGCGACCCAGCCAGGGGAGTTGCACAGCTATCTCTTAGATAGCTTCGAAGAGTTTGAGAGTTTGGCGAGGCGTGCGTTGCACGTCGACCTACAAAGCGGCGATTACTATCCGCTGGGAATAAGCAGGCCTTGCGACGGCTTATGTGATGGCGGTAATTGTTGCGATAAGAATGCGTATTGTACATGTGGTACTTCTACAGGGCAATACAGTTGCATTTGTGAACTGGGTTACTATGGATCAGGACTTGTAAACTCATGTTCACGTAGGTTTATGATAATCTAGAAAATTTTAAATTAATTTTTGTTAATTTTAGCTTGTCCATCAGGAAGTTATGCAGAAGGACCTAATTTATGTCTTCCATGTCCAGATATGCATCACTATACTAAACCTCCAGCAATTGGTATAGAATCTTGTAAATGTAAAAGTGGTTTCAGAAGTAATGAAAATTCTACTTGTGATGTTATTACTTGTCCGAAAGTTTTGCCTTTGCAAAACGGATATTTTGTTAAAAAGAAAGAATGTAGTACAGTATTGAATAGTGCTTGTGGAGTTCGTTGTAATGTTGGATATACCCTAGTTGGAAGTAGTATTCGTTTGTGTCAAGAAGATGGTACCTGGAGTGGCCAGGAACCTTCCTGTCAAGTCAAAACATGTAATAAGCTACCCACACCTGCACATGGATCAATTGAATGCAAACATACGGATCTTCAAAATTTTACAACTTCAAACAACCACATGCCAGTAGACACCACGTGTAATTTTAAATGTGAACGAGGATATACTTTAGTAGGATCTGCTTCTAGAACTTGTCTACCCCTGGCTCAATGGGATGGTCTTCGTTCTGCTTGCAAGCAAATAAAATGCAATAAACTATCTAAAATTAACTTTGGATTTATTGAACCTAAAACCTGCGCCGTGGGTAAACAACCATATGGTAAAGACTGTCAATACTCTTGCATGGATGGTTTTGATTTGATTGGAGTTTCTGAAAAGAAATGTGCAGATGGCACTTGGGATAATCAAGATGAGGTGACTTGTAAAGATGTTACTCCACCTGATTTGGCATGTCCTGAAGATGTAGTGTTGGAAACATTACCAGCGAAACAATATGGCATTCTAAATATTATCATTCCACCAGTCACAGATAATTCTTATCTCAATGTTACCACGTGGTCTAAACCTGTTAGTAAAGGACCATATAAATTCAAAATTGGTACCCATCAAGTTTCATTTTATGCTCAAGATGCTTTCAACAATAAAGCAAAATGTTCCTTTAATGTCACCATTCTTGATAAGGAACCACCAACTATTGAAGCTTGTGTGGACCCACCAGTTTTCATTAGTTCTGGGCCAGCTAATATTACCTGGGACGAACCAAACATCTACGATAATTCTCAACATGTTAAAATTGAAAGAAATGCAACTTTTGGTGTGTTTCCGATAGGCACCACCAAAATATTGTATACAGCCACTGATAGGAGTAATAATACCAATCATTGTATACTAAATATTATAATTGAACAACCAACATGTCCACCTATGGCACCTCCTCTTTATGGTACCTCAAAATGTAACAACACTGATAATAAGAGTCATTGTGTGGTCACTTGTAATGACGGATACGCTTTGCCAATTCCAGCAGAAGCAAATTTTATTGAAGATAACACTACACAATTTTATTGTTCAGCAGAAGAAGCGAATTGGACAAATGTTGCTAATCTAACAACACCTGAATGTACCGTTATTGAAATACCCGTAGAAATAACTCAAAACGGTTCTATACAAATTCCTGATAATGAAACAGAAGCATGTAATGACAAAAGTAAACTGCAAAATATTCAAGAGAATATTAAAAAGAGTTTAGAAGAAAACACAATAGAGACATGTGGAGATAAACTTGAGTGTGATATAACTACAGAACCGGAATGTACTGATAACGAAATTAGTATTAATTTAACAAAGCGTGATGTTACGAGTACAAATACCACGCAACCTAAAACAAGACGTCGTAAAAAATTAAATATGAGATTTCAAATAAAAGGACGCAATAGAAATCGAAAACTTTTAAATAATAAAAAACCTGGATTTTTATTAAGTGGAACAATTGGAAGATATAATGTTACAGTAAATCGACCCGAAATTATATGTCCCACTGGAAGTTTCAAACGTAAATTTAAATGCAGTGAGTATAATGAATAGCGAAAATTGAAACTAATGTTAACACGTTCCAATCTGAAATATTATTTTAGTTAAATGCCCGCTTGGGACCTTCCACAACGTTACATCGAATTCGTGCCAGAGTTGTGATATTGGCAGTTACAATGATAAAATGGGTCAGGCGAGTTGTGTTGAATGTCCGGAAAATTATTCGACGAGAAAATTGCATGCTAAAACCAATTTGGATTGTATAGGTATTTTAACACGTCATTTACGAATCAATAATGCCGAAACTTTTTGAGTTTTATTGATTTTTTTCAGAGAAATGTATGCCAGGAACATTTGCACATAAAAAACAAATAAAACATCCAAGAAATCATCCAAATGCAATAATTGAACGTGCGACATTAAAACCGTACTGCAATTCATGTCCACTGGGAACTTTTCAATCATCATATGGTCAAATTAACTGTATAGCGTGTCCCACAAATACTACAACTACAAAACGAGGAGCTATTAGTATCACAGAGTGTGAGCAATCACAACATCCATGTTTACGCAATCCTTGTCAACATGGTACTTGTCTAGGATTTGGAGACTATAGTTATACATGTGAATGTCATGAACATTACTCTGGAAGTAATTGTGAAATCTTCATGAATCCATGCAATTCTCATCCATGTCAAAATGATGGAAAATGCACGTATTCAGAATCTTTTGGTTATAATAACGATCGAGTTACTATGTTTACCACATATATTTGCACATGTCCAGAAGGATATTCAGGGAGAACTTGTGCTGTTGTTGCAAGTCAATGTGATTTAAAATGCAAGAATAATGCTACCTGTGTATTGGCGGAAGATGACGAGCCAATTTGTTTATGTTCTCGAGGATATACAGGAAAATTATGTGAAGAAAAAGTAGAGAAATGTAAGAGTAATATATGTGAGAACAATGGTACTTGTGTGGAGATTGAAGACGAATTTAATTGCATTTGTGAACCTGGATATTTAGGCAAAAGATGCCAATATGTTCCTTGTGATTTTAAACCTTGTACGGGGAACTTTGTCTGTGTTAACGGAAATTCTAGTCAGGCAACACAAGATGACTTTAAATGTGTATGTCCCGAAGGTTTCACAGGCTCAAATTGTAGTGAAATTATTAATTATTGTACTAAAAATCCTTGTTTGAATAATGGGATCTGCAATTCTATAATTAATAATTTTACATGTACTTGTCCAAAAGGCGTAAAAGGAATTATTTGTGAAATAGCACTACCTAGTGCTTATATTTTAAAATTTCCAAGATCAGGAGTTACTGATTATATTCAAATGAAAGGCTTTGAAACAGATTTGAGTGCAATTTCCGTGAGTTTATGGATGAAAACAAACGACAGTTTTAACTATGGTACAATATTATCCTATGCAAATAAAAATTATTTTAATGCATTTACTATAACTGATTACACTGGGTAAATTTTTAAATATTTATCTGTTGAATATTTCTAACCGCTTTATATTTCAGAATTGTACTTTACGTCAACAATGAGTATGTGGTAACTGACGTATTGTTAAACGATGGAGAATGGCATCATATTTGTATTACATGGAGTAGCCGGACCGGAGATTATCATATTTATTTAGATTCTTCTTTGGTTAATAATGGAACTGACTTAAGTAAATCCAAAATAATTAATGGCAGAGGTACTTTTATTCTTGGACAAGAACAAGATGCTCTGGGAGGGCGATTCAGTCAATCTGAATCATTTCTCGGTCAACTGACCCAGTTGGATGTGTTTGATCATGAGTTAACTTCAACTGAAGTAAAAACATTAATGAACAATTGCAATCCATTAATAAAAATATCAGGTTCAGTTTATGCCTGGGCGGAGTTTTCTGAAAACATTCGAGGTGATGTTAGCATAGAAAACAGCACGTTTTGTCAACAATGTGATGCACCACATCCTCCTAAATATGGATCAGTAGAAGTTCAAGAAAATATAGCTCTATATATTTGTAACAAAGGATATAATCTTAACAAATATCATCGAGGTCGTAAGTGTTTAAAATCTAGTCAATGGGAAGGTGATGATCCAATCTGTATTGCAATAAGTTGTGGCCATCCCGCGTATGTATCAAATGGATACTATATAGGAAACAATTTTACCTTTGGACGCCAAATTGAATACAGGTGCAATCATGGTTTTAACATAACAGGGTCCTCGAAACAAATTTGTAATGAAACAGGAAAATGGTTTCCTGATAGCCCTAAATGTTTAGGTGTACACTGTCCTAAACCTCTGGTACACAGAAAAGCAAAAGTAACAGTGCAACAAATTGAAGATAATGGTGAAGAAATGAAATTTGAAGACATGGATAGTTTTACATCAGGAACTGAGATTGATATTAAATGCCCAACTGCAGTAAATCCTGATGAAGAAACTACTTTAACTTGTATGTCAGATGGCAAATGGGATTATGATCCACCAAAATGCAAAGGAGAATATACTTTACCATGTAATCTTAATCACGCCCCGGAAGCACCTGATAATGGTTATAGAGATGAAGATTCTTACAAGGAATTACTTGAAGGTACAAGTGATACTATTCAATATGTGTGTAGAAAAGGTTATAGGCAAATAAATGGTAACTTTAGTACGTGTATTGTGGATGGATATTGGTCAGAATTACGTATGCAATGTCAAGGTATAATTTGTAGTTATAAAAAAACTGATTTTATACTCGTAAATCCATATTTTATTTTTAGTTATAACGTGCAAGGAGCCCCGACAAATGACAGAATATGGATTGAAAATATCACAAGGACGAGCAAATATGTATGCAATAGGACATATGATTCGTTATGAATGTACTGGAAACTATATTTCAATCGGTAATTTGATTGCACGATGTGTTTATCCAGGGATTTGGAGTAGGTTTAATGGTAGTTGTCAAAAAATACGTCAAGTACCATAAAGTTCATACCATTTACTACCTAACAACTTTGAATGTTTTCTTACATTGTATTGATTAAACTTCCAAACAAATATCAACAAGTTTTCATGTGTTTCCCATTGCTCCGTAATATTTCCCAAACAACGTCAGTTAAAGTTGGCACTTTTCAGTGTCAACACACACACAACATTTACAAAGCATATTTTTACAAGTATCCATTCTAAAATGGATAAAAATAAAAAGGCAAAACTTAATTTACGTGCGATTGCATGCAAAGCGCGTAAAAATGGCACATTTACACACAACATGGACTTTACTGAAGCAAGTATGCAAGTGATGCGACAATATAACATCACGGATCATAAACGCCAGCAGTTGCTTGGCTTCATGCAGAAAAACATTGAGGAATTAAAGAATAAAGAATTCAAACGCCATGTTGAACCCGAGTATCCAAAGGTAGTAAAGAAGAACACCGCTCATGCTGATCTAATCAAAATGGCGGATCAACTACAAACTACTCCTATTGGAAAGTATGTACAAAGAGATATTCTACACCGGACAGGCATGTTGAAGCAACAAGAAATGTTTCATGATACTGTGGCACAAGTAATCAAAGAATTCAGACAAGAATGGTTAGAAATTACGCACACAATGGGCATTCGTAGAACAATGCAGAATTTAGATCATTCAGATTCACATCCAGTTTTAGATCCGTATAAATTTTTTGGTAAAACTGAATCTTATCCTGAATTTTTAAGAAACCGCGAGCGGTTGAAGAGACGTTTATTTATTCAATATCCATTAATGCATAAAATACTAAAAGCTGCAAGTATGTTACCTGATTTGCTAGTTGATTTTGGAAATTATAGAAGCACAGAGTATGAAATTCCAAATATTATGATAATATTCAACGAGGAAATTGAAAAAGGCAAAGCGGCAGTGCGCAAATATCACTTTAGAGTTACCAAAATAATACACACTAACAAACAAAAATTCCCAAGCAATCCAAGAGCACTATCTCAATTCAAAAAAACTGGAACTGTGTTGTTAGGTATTATTATATCCAAATTAATTCGTAACACTATAGATCATTTAGTAGAAGTAACTGCTACACCAGATAAAGTTCCTTATTTGAAATTAAATCTGACTTATGAGAATCATCTTTGCCTCACTCCCTCGGCAGATGAAACCAGTGATATGTTTTCAAAAATGGTTAAGAGACTTGCTGAGCTTGGCAATAACTTATTAGCAATTGAAAGTATCATTGATGATAACATCGGTGAAATATTTATTCCGATTTATATAGAAGATGACTTTATTGAGGGAGCAATCTTGAAAATTTATACGAATATTTCTGATATGTACCAGCCTGTTTTAACATATGTACAAAATATTGAAAGTAATTTTATGTCGCTGCAAACAACCAGTTCACCTGACATGGAACAAACCTTTGAAGAATCATGTAATAAAGTTGACTTTTACATTGAACTAATACGTAAAGTTGAAGATGTGGTTACGAATGAATACTATGCAATCGGATCTTTAGAACAGGAAGATTGTAAAGCAAATTTGAAGAAGTCTATATACGGAATAATTGAAGATATTGCAGCTAAATTAGTATTGCAACAAGAGTGGGAAAATGAAGATATCATTGAAACTTTCGAGAATTTAGCAGCTAGGGCACAAGTGATTCCACAAACAAGTGAAGAACTAATGGAACAAGGTGTGTACATGACGTGGGCCAGAACAGAGTTAATGTCACAACTCACAGAAAGAATACAAACAATGTTGACTGTTATTTGTAAACTAATGGATATTACCACCATTACATATCACGATATGCAACTTAATGCAAGAGTTGTGCATTGGTTGTGGGATATTCAACCAATTCTAGAATTAAACTCTTCAAATTATGAACAGTTTAAATTTGAATTTGAAGAACGTCTAGCAAATGCAGTGATTCAGATTCATGCAGACATTGAAGCTATTTTACCATATTTACAAATATTGGATAGCATGAATGATTCAGAAAATGCACGGGAATATATTCAAGCAATGGCTGAGATTCTTGTTAGAATAAGAAACTGTGAACAACAAAAGGAATGGATTAACTCAGAAGAAGTAACGTTTAAATACCCAGTTTCACCGTTTAGTGAACTAGAAGAATTGAAAAATTGGGTGTACAATTTCTATCATTTAGTAAAAATGTGTCTCAACTGGAATCGATCATATTATGCGTGGATGGATGGACCTTTTGAATTTCTAGACCCACCATATGCTGAAGAATATGTTGAGGATACATATAAAGAATTTATCAAGATTCAAAAGACTTATAGGAATAAATTACGACAAATGGCTGGAGAAACACATGCAAGAAAATTTGTTGGATCTGTTGATGATCCAGACCCTTTAAATCAACCTGCACCTTTACAATTATGCAGAAAAACAATGCAATACATAAAAGAATTCAGACCTGCTTTGGTATTAATGAGAATTATGTGTAACCCAGCGTTGTTACAAAGACACTGGGATGAAATGTCAGAAATAGCTGGTTTTGATCTAACACCCAATGCTGGAACCACTTTGAGGAAGATGACAGAAATGCATTTAGATGCTAACATGGACGCATATGAAATTATTAGTAGTGGTGCCATTAAAGAATTAGAATTAATAACTAATCTGAAGAAAATGATGGCTGAATGGGACGATGTTGTATTTAAAACTAGTGTATACAAGGACACTGGTATTGTTATTCTTACAGCCCTGGATGATATCCAGGTGATTTTAGACGACCACATTTTGAAAACATTGACAATGCGTGGTTCTGTGTTTGTAAAACCCTACGAAACACAAGTTAAACAATGGTATGACAAAATAATGCGTATGAATTCTACAATTGATATTTGGGGCAAGGTACAGTCCCAATGGTTATATCTACTGCCCATATTTTCATCAAAAGATATTGTTAATCAAATGCCAGCGGAAGGTATTCTCTTCAAAGAAGTAGACTCTACGTATAAACGATATATGCAGGTTGTAAGTAAAGATCCACATGTTATTGAAACAGCTGGTGCTATGGGTCTGTTGGAAGCAATGGAAGGTTGCATGGAAATGTTGGATAAGATCAATGATGGTGTAACATCTTATCTAGAAAAGAAAAGATTATTCTTCCCAAGATTCTTCTTCTTATCCAATGATGAAATGCTTGAAATATTATCTGAAACTAAAGATCCTCTTAGAGTGCAACCTCATTTGAGAAAATGTTTCGAAGCTATCGATAGTTTACAATTTGATTCACTTCTTCAAATTCACGCGATGATCAGTGGTGAAATGGAAAAAGTAGATTTCATTAACATAATAAAAACAGAAGAAGCAGGTGGTAGTGTTGAGAAATGGTTAGTCCAAGTTGAAGAAGAAATGTTATTATCAATCAAAGAACAGTTATATCAAAGTTGGATGGATTATGTGACTAAACCAAGAACACAGTGGATTCAACATTGGCCTGGTCAAGTTGTAATCGCTGTTTCACAAATTTATTGGACTTTGAGCATGCATCAAACAATGGCCCCGGATTCTCCTACTACGATGTTAAAATATGCAACGCAATTGAATGATCAACTACAAGATACTGTAGCTTTAATAAGAGATCCTTCTTTGACGAATTTATCGAGGATTACAATCAAGGCATTGATTGTTATTGATGTACATGCAAAAGATGTTACGCATGACTTGAACAAACAGAATGTACAATCAGATTCTGAGTTTAAATGGCTTGCTCAGCTTCGCTATTATTGGGAAGATCAATGTAATGTACGCATGATTAACGCTACAGTCAAATATGCTTGTGAATATCTTGGAAACAGTGATCGCCTCGTAATCACACCTTTAACAGATAGATGTTATCGAACACTAATTGGTGCTTATCATTTACATCTAAATGGAGCTCCAGAAGGACCTGCGGGTACAGGCAAAACAGAAACAACTAAAGATTTAGCAAAAGCACTTGCTGTGCAATGTGTCGTGTTTAACTGTTCTGATGGTTTGGATTACAAAGCAATGGGCAAGTTCTTCAAAGGTCTTGCGTCAAGTGGAGCTTGGGCTTGTTTTGATGAGTTCAACAGAATTGAAATCGAAGTGTTATCAGTCGTTGCTCAGCAAATTTTGTCGATTGTGCAAGCTGTGCGGGCAAATGTTGATAAATTCGTTTTTGAAGGCACGGAATTAAAACTAAACCCGGCAGTTTACGTTTGCATCACAATGAATCCTGGTTATGCTGGTCGCTCTGAACTACCTGATAATTTGAAAGTGCTCTTCAGGACAGTTGCAATGATGGTACCGGATTATGCCATGATTGGTGAAATTTCATTATATTCGTATGGGTTTATGGAGGCACGAAAACTGAGTGTTAAAATTGTAACTGTTTATAAATTATGTTCTGAGCAGTTATCATCGCAAAATCATTATGATTACGGTATGCGAGCTGTGAAAAGTGTGTTATCTGCTTGTGGTAATAACAAACGTCTATTCCCTAACGAAAATGAAGATATTATATTGCTTCGAAGTATTATTGACATCAATTTGGCGAAATTCTTGGCGGATGATGTTCCGCTATTTGGTGGAATTATTAGTGATCTGTTTCCGGGCATTGTACTACCTCAAGCCAACTATAAAGTATTCGTCAAGTGTTTCAAGGAAGCTGCAAAAGCACGAAATTTGCAACCAAGAGATAGTTTCCAATTGAAAGTTATCCAAACCTACGAAATGATGATTGTCCGACATGGCTTTATGTTAGTTGGTTTCCCTTTTGCTGGAAAAACATCTACGTTGAAAGTATTAGCTGATACACTAACACAAATGAATGTTTTGAATATGCCACAACTTAAAGTGCAGTATCAGTTTATTAATCCCAAAAGTATTACAATGGGACAACTGTATGGTCAATTTGATCCGGTGAGTCATCGACTTTTTGCTTTGTTTATTATTTGCTTTAATATTACGTGTTTATAGGTATCATATGAATGGTTCGACGGAGTTGTCGCAACTTGCTTCAGAAATTTTGTGGTAGATCCAGCACCAGATCGTAAATGGGTTATTTTTGACGGTCCCGTTGATGCCGTCTGGATTGAAAACATGAATACAGTGTTAGATGATAATAAAAAGTTGTGTTTAATGAGTGGAGAAGTTATGGCGATGACAAGTTCAATGTCAATGATCTTCGAAGTCATGGATTTGGCACAGGCATCACCAGCCACTGTAAGAATTTTAATTTATTTGATAAAAACACTTAAAAATTGCTAATTTATAGGTATCACGATGTGGAATGATTTACTTAGAGCCGGCTAATTTGGGATGGCGACCATTTTTTGAGTCTTGGATAGTCAATCAAAATCCAGAATGGTGTGGGGAATACAAACAAATGATTATAGACCTATTCGAATGGCTAGTTGATCCCTGTATGTATTTTATTAAGAAATTCTGTAGACTACAGAGTAATCCAGGAGAAATAAACATGGTAAAGAATATGTATACGATTCTTCAAATGGTATTGGATAATGCTTGCGAGGAAAGCACCAAGAAAGATGAAGATTTTAAATTTATGAAAATATGGATTGAAGCGACGTTTATTTACGCTGGGGTTTGGGGTTTAGGCTGTACCTTAGACCAAGATTCACGAGAACGTTTTGATGAATTTTACAGAACAATGTGGCGTGGTGAAAATCAAAGTCATCCATACCCACTTGAAAAACTAGAAGTATTATTTCCAAATGAAGGATTACTTATCAATTACAGCTACACTTATAGACTTAAAGGTGCCTGGAAATATTATCCAGAACTTGTAAAATCTATGAGAGTAGAAGATGCTCAGATTATTCAACGTGTTCTTGTTCCAACAATAGATACAGTAAAATACGTTCAAATGTTGGAATTGCATATTCAACACAAAGTACCGATACTTTTAGTAGGACCAACAGGGACTGGCAAAAGTTACTATTCTCAAGATACTTTAATGAATCGTTTAGATCAGGATAAATATGAACCTTCATTTATTACATTCACAGTGAAAATATCAGCTAATCAAACACAGGAAATGATAATAAGTAAATTGAATAAAATACGACGAGGTAAATATGGACCTAGGGCAGGAAAACATTCGGTAATCTTCATTGATGATATGAATATGCCTGTTAAAGAACAGTATGGTGCCCAACCACCAATTGAATTGTTGCGGCAATATTTTGATCATAAGAATTGGTACGATTTAAAAGATACGTCAATGATATATATTTATAATACATTGTTTATTGCTGCAATGGGTCTGGTTGGTGGAAGCAGACAAGATGTATATCAACGATTTTTAAGACATTTTAATGTATTTTCGATTAATGAATTTTCTGAAGATAGCATGAATAAAATATTCAGTAATATATTGATACTTGGTTGGAAGAAGAATGGTTTCCCAAGTGATGTTATTATCACTGTGAATGCAATAGTAGCAGCCACAATGGAAATTTATCAGAAATCAATTGAACAGTTGAGACCCACACCTGCAAAATCACATTATGTGTTTAATCTGCGAGATTTTGCGCGTGTTATTTTCGGATGTTCATTACTACGTAAGGATTCTGCAGAAGATCGAAAAACTTTTGCAAAATTATGGGTGCACGAAATTCTCAGAATATTTTATGATCGTTTAATAGAAAAAGAAGATAAATCTTGGCTTTATAATGAAATCAGAAGTACTTGCAGAACTTTCTTTAAAGATACTTTTGATAATATATTTGATGATTACCCTAAAGATGCCGATGGAAAAGTAGCTGAATACGCATTGAAAAATCTGATGTTTGGAACTTACTTAGACACAGATGCAACAGAAGATGATGTGAAATATGAAGAAGTTGTTGATCCAGATGCATTATATAATCTGGCGTTTGGTTTTCTTGATGAGTATAATACAACGCATAAAGCTAAAATGGAAATTGTACTTTTTAAGTACGCCCTTGAACATTTGAGCAAAGCGTGCCGAATTTTAGCAATTCCATCAGGGAGTGCCTTACTGGTTGGTGTCAGTGGGTCAGGGAGACAATCATTAGTTCGATTGGCAACTGCAATCGCGGGGCATACCTTCTTTCAACCAGAAATCAATAAAAACTATGGCATGAACGAATGGCGTGATGATCTTAAGAAGGTACTAAAAGAAGCAGGAGGAAGAGGAAAATCAAGCACGTTCCTATTTTCCGAGGGGCAAATTAAAGAGGAGAGTTTCCTTTCTGATATTGATAACCTTCTAAACTCTGGTGAAGTACCTAATATTTATGCAATTGATGAAAAACAAGAAGTATTGGAAATGGTACGTTTGGCTGCGCAAGGTGGAAACCGTAATTTGGATATTAGCGCATTAGCAGTGTTTTCTTTCTTTATAAAACGATGCAAAGAACGTTTACATATCATGCTATGCTTCAGTCCAATTGGTTCTTCATTCAGACAACGATTACGTTTATATCCTTCACTTGTAAATTGCTGTACTATTGATTGGTATGAAGATTGGCCGGAAGACGCGCTTGAAATGGTTGCACATAACTGGATAGGAGATATTAATCTCAACGATGATGTAAAGAGTTCTGCTGTTATTGCTTGTAAACAATTTCATGTAGTTGCCCGACAAGTTTCCAGTGAATTCCAGAAAGCAACAAGTCGAAAAACGTACGTTACTTCAGCGTCATATCTAGAATTGATAAAATCTTTCACTGTGTTGACAAACAAGCAGCAAATGGAAATAATGTTAAATAAAAACAGATATCTTACTGGTTTAGAAAAATTACAGTATGCATCTTCACAAGTTGCTGGAATGCAAAAGGATTTAGCAGAGTATCAACCACTTTTGTTAGAGATGAGTGCCAAAGCAAACGAAATGCTCAAACAAATCGAAACAGAAACTAAAGAAGTAGAAAAAACATCCGTTCAAGTCAGAAAAGACGAGAAAGTAGCAAATATACAAGCAGCAGCTTCACAAGCTTTAAAAAGAGAATGTGAAGCTGATTTAGCTGAAGCTATTCCGGTTTTAGAAGAAGCAATTAACGCTCTTAACACATTGAAACCAGCTGATATTACTTTGGTTAAATCTATGAAGAATCCACCGGAAGCAATTAAGCTGGTTATGGGGGCTGTCTGTGTAATGCGTGATATTAAACCAGATCGTATTAATGATCCTGCAACAGGTTATAAAATATTAGATTATTGGGGTCCTAGTAAGAGATTATTAGGAGACATGAACTTTTTACAGTATTTAAAAGACTATGATAAAGATAATATCAAACCTGAAATCATGCAGAAAATTAGAAAAGAATATTTGCCTGATAAATTGTTTAAACCGAATGTTGTTGCCAAAGCTTCTAGTGCTGCAGAAGGATTGTGTAAGTGGATTATTGCAATGGATATGTATGATAACGTAGCACGGTTGGTAGCTCCTAAAAAGGCGAAACTGGAAGCTGCAGAAAGAGAATACTCAGCCACAATGGCACTGCTCATGGAAAAGAAAGCTGAATTGACGAAACTCGAAGAAAAATTAGCACATCTTAATGAATTACTTGACGAAGCAATGCAGAAACAAAAAGAACTCAAAGACAACGTGGAAAATGTAGCTAATAAACTCGCTCGTGCTGAAAAACTAATTGGAGGTTTAGGTGGAGAGCGAAGCAGATGGCTCCAAGCTGCTGATAATCTTCAACTGCTTTATGATTCTCTAGCTGGTGATTTGTTAATATGCTGTGGACTGATTGCATATCTATCTCCATTTACCCTCCCATACAGAGTAAAAACTCTCGCGGGGTGGCATGAGTACGTAAAGCAATTGAAGATACCCTGTAGTAAAATATTCAACTTTTCGGAAATTCTTGGAAGTGATATCAAAGTACAAACGTGGTGTATAAACAGCCTGCCACGCGATGCCTTTTCTATTGAAAACGGAATCATACTTGACTCTTCCCGACGTTGGTCTTTACTTATCGATCCGCAAGGTCAAGCCAATACATGGATTAAAAAACTTGAGAAAAGAAACGAATTGGAAATCACGCGACTGTCCGATCCAAATTACATGAAAATTTTAGAGCGTTGTATTCCGATAGGAAAACCAGTTTTAATGGAAAATGTTCAAGAGGAGCTGGAAGCACCATTAGATCCATTGTTGTATAAAATGACCTTTACGCAAGCTGGCATTGAACTAATAAGTCTAGGTGATAATGTTATACCATTTCATAAAAACTTCAAATTTTATTTGACCTCGAATTTGAGAAATCCTCATTATTTACCTGAGGTGTTCAATAAGGTCACGATAATTAATTTCTCATTAACAATCGATGGGCTTCAAGATCAATTACTTGGTATTGTAGTTGCCAAAGAACGTCCTGATTTACAACGACAACGAGAAGAATTAATAATGCAAAGTGCAGAGAATAAATCAGCTCTAGCTCGAGTTGAAGAAAACATTTTGAAAACTTTGAGTGAAAGTCAAGGAGACATTTTAGAAGATGAAAGCGCTATAGAAGTTTTAGATTTTTCTAAAGCTCTTTCCATAGACATTATAGCAAAACAAAAACATGCAAAAGAAACCGAGAAGAAAATAGAAGGATTTCGATTGGATTATAAACCAATGGCGGAACACAGCGCTGGATTATATTATTGCGTTTCGGACCTACCTAACGTTGACCCGATGTACCAATTTTCGTTGAACTGGTTCATAAATTTGTACATCATGAGTATCGAGAATGCGAACAAATCGCGTGACTTGGAAAAACGACTAAAGTTCTTAAAGGACACATTTACGTATAATTTATACTCGAATGTGTGTAGGTCACTTTTCGAAAAAGACAAATTAATGTTTTCGTTCATTTTGTGCACGATGATTATGCTGTCGCAGAAGAAATTAGATGAAAGAGAATTTAAATTTTTACTGACCGGAGGCGTAAATGTTGAAAATCCAGCTGAGAATCCTGATAAGAATTGGTTGAGCGATAAATCTTGGGACGAAATATGTCGTGCGAGCGACATGCCTGCGTTTAATGGACTAAAACAACACGTTATCAAAGAATCCGGTCAATGGCGAGCGTTATACGATAATCCTACCCCGCAAAATGCTCCTATACCAGCCCCATTCGGAAATACATTAACTCCATTCCAAAAATTAATTATTCTCAGATTAATTCGACCAGATACGTTATTTTTGGGAATTTCAAATTTTGTTACAAATGAACTTGGTGCCCGGTTTACACAACCACCTCCATTTGATATAGCTAAGTCATATGAAGATTCCACATGTCTAACACCTTTGGTGTTTATTCTAAGCCCTGGTAATGATCCACTTGCTGCACTTTGGAAGTTTGCTGAACTCAAGGAAATGCAAGAAAACTTCAATTCCATATCTTTGGGACAAGGTCAGGGACCAATTGCTCAAGAGTTAATGGAACGTGCCCAGGCAGAAGGTGGATGGGTCTGTCTACAAAATTGTCATTTAGCAGTTTCATGGATGCCCTCACTTGAAAAAATCTGGGAAGAAATGGATCTCGGCAATACACATGAACATTTTAGATTATGGTTAACTAGCTATCCATCAAACCAATTTCCAGTGACCATTTTACAAAACGGGGTCAAAATGACCAATGAACCACCAAGTGGCCTACAACAGAACTTGTTAAGATCTTACATGAGTGCCCCTATCAAAGATCCGGACTTTTATGAAGGTTGTCCAGGAAAAGACGCCATGTTCAATAGGTTATTGTATGCAGTAGCTTTCTTCCATGCAGTTATCCAAGAACGGCGTACATTTGGTCCTTTGGGCTGGAATATACCCTATGGTTTCAACGAATCTGATATGGATATATCCATTCAACAATTACAAATGTTTGTTAATGAATCCAGTGAGAACCCATATGAAGCAGTAACTTACTTAACAGGAGAATGTAATTACGGTGGTAGGGTTACAGATGACTGGGACCGAAGACTTATCGTCACTATTTTGGCTGATTTTATAAACGAAAAAGTAGTGAATAATATGGATTATCTCTTCGTAAACATTGATGAAATGTACGGATTACCCAGAAAAAATGGATATGATGATTACGTTGATTGGATTACAGGATTGTCTAGTATCCATTCACCCGAAGTTTTTGGTTTGCATATGAATGCTGGTATCACGCGAGATTTACAAACAAGTAATAATATTCTAGACTCAATGATACTTGTGCAAGGTGAGGATACTTCAGCAGCAGGTGCTGAAATTGATAATATCATAAGCTTAATTGCAAATGATATATTATCAAAAATACCAAAACCTTTTGACATTGAAGAAGCAGTTAAACACTATCCAGTTGAATATTCTGAATCAATGAATACTGTCCTAGTTCAAGAAATGGAACGATTTAATAAATTATCAAGAGAAATTGTTAACTCTTTAAACAATATCTTGAAAGCCATCAAGGGTTTAGTCATCATGTCCCCAGATCTTGAATTATTGTATACATCAATATTTCTGGGACGTATTCCAGCTCAATGGAGCAAAGTATCCTATCCCAGTTTAAAATCTCTACCAAATTACATCACAGATTTTGTGGAACGTTTGGAATTTTTAGATGATTGGTACAAGAGAGGTAAACCTCAATCATTCTGGTTATCCGGATTCTTCTTCACTCAAGCTTTTCTCACTGGAGCTAAACAAAATTATGCTAGGAAGTATAAGATTCCTATAGATCAGTTGACATTCGATTTTGAAGTACTTAAAGTAACTTCAATAAACAAAGCACCAAGTAATGGCATTCATACATATGGGCCTTTCACTGATGGTGCTCGATGGGATCTGCATGCTGGAGTTTTGCGAGAATTGTACCCGAAAGTATTATTCGATGTTATGCCAGTTGTGTGGATCAAACCACTATTGGTAACTGATTATGATGAACACGGGCGATACAAATGTCCGTTGTACAAAACTTCGGAACGCAAGGGAATTTTATCAACAACTGGCCACTCGACAAATTACGTGCTACCGTATTTATTGAATACTGAACTACCTTCCGAACATTGGGTCAAGCGAAGCGTAGCGTTGTTGTGTCAGCTTGATTGATTTTGATCGTGATTTATGTAAATAAATGATTTTAGGTAGAAGTTTTCGATTTTTTTTTGTGTCTCAAGCAATGCAATAACTTTTCATCAAGTGTGGCGTGACCTTCTTATAAAAAAATAAATTGGCAAAAGTTTTAATTACCAAATAAGTTTTTCTAGTATAATGTATTACTTTTATTCTAGGTTCTATAATAAATATAACGCTATAATGTTGACCGTGTTAAATGCCAAATTTGATTATCAAAGTTCTTGCACGTATGCAAAAGTTCAGCCGTTGCATAATTAATGTAAGAAAAATCGCGCTCCTTTATCGCAGTTAATAGCGCGGCAAAGTTGACTTGTAGAAGAAAAACAAATTGATTGCACCCGTGTAATCGATATTTCATACAAAAGGCACACCACCACGCACGCCCTGCGACGACATTGTCGGCAATTGTTAACTCCAGTTGTGTGGAATTGGCATTAAAGCAACGGTAAGCTCGAGCACCGTGTTCAGTCTTCGTCGCGATGCCGTCATTGAAACGCCTCGATGGCGCTGCCATGGAAACCTTGCAAGCATACACAAAAAAGTAAACGCGTTACGTGTGGCGTGCACGAAGAGCAATGCACATAAACACCACGCAAGGAAATAAACATCGCCGCGTCTGATACTAAAATGCACAATTAAATATTAAACAATGAGCGTGCTACGATGGTAACCGGATACTACATGACGCCAGTTAATCCTTCCGCTGTCATCTTACCGCCGTCGGAAGTCAACGATGTGCAATCCTTTGATAAACTCTCACTCACTTCGCTATGGGATTATGTGATACGGACACAATGCCTACCAGGTACTTACTGGATTATAATTAAATTCTGCTGATATTGGGAAATGCTTGATTGGTACCTTTGGCCAGCTTTTATTTGAGTTGTTTATTTTTTTAGAGAATTTAGACTTAGACGCATTTTTCGATACTGTCCACGAACGCCTCAAGAGTCCCGAATGGGAAATCCGGCAGAATGCTCTGCGGGTATTGGTTGATTTTATGCCGCTATTGCCGAGTGAAAGTTTAGACGAAAGAATCGGCACAGTTTTGCCAGATTTAGTCAGCAATTTGGGTCACTTGGGACCTGCTGTGCGTAAAGGCGCCGTAGACGCTCTAAAGACCTACTTAAATTTATCAACAAAACCCAATGCCATCACCAGGGACCTGGTTGAATGGGGAGTCGAAAAGTATCAGGAAAATAAAATATCCACAAACGTGGTATTAGGCATAATAATGTGCTTGCCGTTCGTTATCAACAGTAAATTAAACGACGCGACCATCAATTACATAATCCACAGGTTACTCGATAAGATCGTGAAGGTCATTCATCAGGAAACAGTGCTGCGAGCACTAGTTAGGATACGCGATCTGATTGGTGGGCCAAAATTCGACGCAGCTCTTTCTACCCACGATACGTACAACTGTAAACGAAACTTTGAACTTTTATGTGGTGTATATGATCTTCACTTATTCAGCAACACCCCTGCTCACCCTCGAATGACTAATTATAATTATGTTTGTGCGAAATCGGAAACATTAACGGACTCTGATGAAAATTCGATTTCTATCCCGGTCAACGATAATGACCGAGTAATTTTGGAAACGGAAATTCAACTAGAGTCCGGGCCATCTATCACGATGAAAATCCACGAAGAAAATTCGCCATCTACGAACCCTTCAAGTCCAGCAAGTAACAGGTATGTTTGACCAGCGACACGACATGTCTGATGATCGATACTAATGAGTACTCATCTGTTACGCGAACATTTTTATAACATCATCGTACATTCACCCCTTGCGGTCATCACGTGGCGTTGCTCACCCTTCTCAAACATTAGTTTAGTATGTATATTTTATGTGCGTGGGGCGCAATACACGAACCACACATACACACAAATCGCTTTGTAATTGCCGATAGAAATTGTGCTTTTATGAATGTTATCGATTGAAGGTGTCACATGCTTACAGGGCGAGTAGTCGGACGTTCAAAGTTCTGCCGGACCTAAGTCTGGACGACAGCTATATAGAATCGGTGCGACGAACTCCACGAAGGGTGCGATTCGGAGGAGAGATAGTTAAATTACGAACACCCGATAGTGATAGTAACTTGGAGGACAACGACGCGACTATTTCTATTATCTCGGATGGTGATCAACCCGTGATAGAAATAAAATACATCGAGAATGAGACAAAGACCACTACGAGAACGACTAGAAGTTTGATACCAATTCCGATCAAACATACTCAGTCAGCACCTGCGAGTCCAACTGGAAACAGTGCGTGTCGTAGTTTTGCACGATCCAAGGAATATAAATCATCACCTAATTTGAGTAAGAAGGTGTCACCTACTTGGGGAAAGTCAAGAATTCCACGAAGAAGAAACACTGAAATTAAAAACAGTTCAGAAACAAAGATTCAGATTAATATTAATGAAGGATCTAATAAAGATTTGTTAAAACCTCCAAAACCACAGAAAACTAGAAAGAAACTAACCAGAAGGGAGACATTTTCTGGTAGTGATTTGAACATTGAACCAAAAAGTCCTAAAAGTGAAGCTGGGAAACCTTCTGATAAAAAAGTGAAGAAGAAACCTTATAAACCAACTATAACAATACCTTCCATTCATCAACTGAAGCGTGAAGATCAATTTAGCCCCATAACAAGACACAGTCAGATTGAATTGTTTCATAATCTAACCAGAACACCTTCCCCACGTCCTGATGAAACTCCACCACCATTTCCTCTTCCATCTCCCACCTCAACTTCCAAAACAAACACAATACCATATGATGACATACCAGTTGGGCCCAGAAACAAAGATATAACCAGTCCCAAAAGTACAACTGTTACCTCCTTGCCAAGCATCGCTCCAGGACAGCAAACAAACACAAACGTTAAAATTCAAACCCCAAATCAAAATGGTAATTTATTTATGATGTTCATCCGGTTGCATATTAATTGCACCTTTGTGTGATTCTTTGTTCTATATTATAAGGTAATCACAACCCGCCAGAGGATTTGGCATTCCATATTTACACGTCGTCCGAGGGACCACCTGACGATTTGCGCGATTCGCCCATTCCGGTGAACAATTCCGGGGACTGCCTCACGTGTTCGAGCAGCGGAAGTGAAACTGGGATACGCGTCGAGCGCTTTCACACGGCGCACCTGGACGATACAATCGTCGAGGACTTGCAGAACATGGTGAGTGTCCTACTTAAGTGGACGCGTTTATAAATTTATGGTGTATGCGTGTGCGTTACGTAAGAATTGTGAGGCGCGACGTGTGGCGACACACGCAAACGTACGCCGGTATTTTTGGTTGTTTGTGTCGGGGGTTAAAAGCCGTTAGTGGTGGAAAAATAGACGCGCTTATCCGGTGATTTTGAGGGCTGTTAACCTACTTTCGTCTTTGTATACCTGCGGTTTTGCGGTGGTTGTAGGCTATCGCGATTGGATTTTTCTCGGACTTTACTTTTACTTCACTTTTAAATCGTTCCATTTTGGTTCAAATTATGTGCAAACTGTAGTTGTGATACTTACACAATTGATGACGAAGAGATTTGTTTGGTGGAATCAAAGTTGATTTGGATTTTAAATTCCAGAGCACTTATGGTTCACTAATGTGCAGTAACTTGTTATTACAACATTAATCAAAGTTGTTTTGAAAGAGTAATGCTTAAATTCTGTCCACCCACGTTTAATATCTCGCAACGCATTATTAAAAGTCGTAATTGATTAAGTTTATTGCTAATGTGATATGAAAAGTGCAATTTCTGCATTATTTACGCGGAATTTTAATTTTGCAGTGTTGCGTTGCATATGCGATATTAATCTAATTTATTAAAGAGGTTTATTGTTTTCGTAATCAGTAATTCTCATTGTTTACATATTTAAATCCACGTAACATAAACAGTACACGGTGAAGGTCTGACACAATTTTAATTGCGAAATACGTTTTTACATCATCAAAAAATGTTCCAGAAAAAATCACAGCTTTGTCACTTATGAAAAACGAATCTCATGCCACATTAGTACGCTTTTATAACTGCACAGCATGTTGAAGTGATTAATATTTATTTCGTTTTTTTGTATACCCGCAAAATGTCACTATTTACATGACTGGAATTTTCAACGACCGTTAGAGATATGCTAATATTGAGAGAGTTATTTTAGGATTTGCACATTTTGGCCTATATAGAATTTGAGCCCTAAATAAACCCATTAATGCGTTTAAATGGTAAAACATGATAAATTAGGTGGAAATATTTATAACCGAAAACTACAAGTACCTACACCGTCACGCCCAAGGACAACAATCATTTATATTTATAAACATATGGTCCCACAATGCATATTAATAATGTATTTTTAGTTATATTATTTTTATGAAACAATTTTTCATGTGTGGTTTTTATACATATTTAATTTTTTAATATTTTATACTGAAAAAACAGGTTAATGGCATGAGTGCAGGTGGTGGTTAAAATTTTGTTAATATAAAATTAGACGCAGTCACAACTTTAAGTAATATTTAAATATATATATTCGTCTTAGCATTTTTTGTTATGAAATTTTACTTTTAATCACCTATGCAGTGCTAGCAATTTAAAAGTTGATTTTAATCACTAAAACTTAAAACATAATTTGACTGCAACGCGTTTCTTGATGTAATGCACGTGAAACATAACGTGGAAAATCACAATATGCGGGAGCCGGGTGTTATTATACGCGTGGTATTGTCGGGAAATCGCTGTAAAATTTGCATTGCTCTCATTTTTGTATCGTACCGAAGGGAATTTCATACCACACTGATTTATTCATTCAAAATGTACGGATATTCATTCGAAAGGAAACTGGAACTACATGATAGTCAAGATTTTAATCGCTGTTGAAACAATATGGTGTTCTGGTGTAATATGAACAGGAAATTTGGACCAGCCACTAAATTTAATGTATTGGGGTTGCTGTAATTGCTCATTAATAAACATAGAATCTGAAAAGGGAAATCAAGTTGTAAACATCTGCTTACAATCGAAATGGTTGAACATAAAAACAAAATTGAAAAAAACAAGTTAAATATTTAGGTTAATGAAGTATATTGATTTCCAATGTAATAATTCATAAACTGTCTGGCTAAAAATACGGATGACCTTCACGACGGGTTCCTTCCTGATTATGTTGCAATTTTGATCAAGTGTTTGATATTAAATCATCGCTGATGTGCGCGTGATGATACTAGACATGCGTTTGGGCAGTACCCATCCTTGACCTTAAACACATGTATGTTTCTACACCTCCTACCACTTACAACTCACCAACACAAGTAGATATTTTGCCTATAAGGTGCACGCACATTATGAATTATCCAAGGAACTTTCCATTTTCATTTCCTCGCCCGCCCAATAATTACACACCCCGATACTTGACCTGTGGTGGTATGTGTCATGTTTTCGTTGAACGTGAGCCCCAGTTTTGCAAACTCTTTCTGGAAAAGAGCAACTAATAACGCCGGCGCACCACTGTATATTAATGAATGACCAAGGGATTTGTGTGTGAATTTGCAGGACGATATTAAAGCGCGCCAAAGAGGATTGGAAGAACTGCTCAGAGTGATTCGTACGCCGACGGTGTTGGACTCGCTCCAAGACCGTCTACCCTCGTTGTTCTACATTTTGTTTTCGGCCGTGCAGCATTCAACTTTACAGCCTACCGCTGATGTAAGTTCACATTATGTTTAAAAATAAAATTATTGATGTGTGTTTTATTTCATTTTAGGAAGCTTTGACAGTAATCTTCAGCAATATGAAGCAAGAGGCACTGATGGTACGGTTACAGCAGATATGTCTGAGTCTTGCCAAGTTAGGTTCACCTAGTGGTATCCGACTGGCAATTGTATTAATGCGACGTGTGCCTCCAAAACTAGTTGTCGATCAGTTATTGAGCGATTCTATAATCGGAGCAAAAAGTTCAAAGGTAGGTGGTGGCTAAACGTCTACGACTATTTTCGTCATCTAATTGATTGTCCACATTTTGTAGGTTCGTGAAGGTGCGCTTCAAATTGTTATGACAGTTTCACGCATTTACCCGAGCACTGAACTCAATGTCCCCAAGTCGTTGCGGGCTGTCATCAAAACCCTCTCGGATAAAAAGAAAAAAGTCCGACAAGCCACACTTGAAACCCTCGCGGCATTAGCGCAAATCACCGGTAATCCTATGGTGTTACAAGTTGCGCAAGATGTCACCGCAGCGATGGAGTCGCCAGAACGGCAACAAATTTTACAAGTGATTAGAACAAGATTGAGTAGAAAACAATTACCCACTGTGAATATTAATGGTACGGTGCAATATTCAGCACCTCAAGGAGATTCTGAAATTGAATGGTTATCTAAAGGACATTCTTCTTCATCGTCGCCATCTTCTCCGTATGTAATTAAAACCAGTCCACGTGGTAGAGACCCTGACGAGACTGAAGAAGTTGATGATAAAAATAACAATAGATTAGTGCGACGGCAATCGGAAAGATTTATTAGTCAGAGATTTGTCCCAAGCAGTGCTCAGGGTAATGTGAATGCGGAAGTTCTTCAAGATGGGTTTTCTACAAGGAGATTCGTGGAGGATTATTCACCGAGGACGTCAATGTCGGCTGAAGTTAACCATCATAGCAAGAAAGTAAATTACTGGAAGAATAATGCAAGAAATCAATCGTTTACCAATGAACAGAGTGAAGAAATTGGATCTGATTGGTCTTCAAGTAAGGTTAGTAATTTAAAAATTTTATTTAGAAATTTGAAGGTTAGTTTTGTCAGGCACATGAAAACCTACATTTTACGCACAATAGGCATGTAAAAAGATCAATTTTCGATAAAGTAATTGTCGTCAAGCAATAAATACAAATTATTCGGGTATCAGAAATGTATTATAAATAACCGGTAACCTATATACAGCTGAATACAGAATTTCCAATAATCAAATATTTACATCATAATTTAATATAGGTATTATAGGGAATAGGTATACAAACCATTATATAATATTAGTTTATAATAAGTAGGTCGGTTTTATTCTATTAACTATTGTTTCAATATTTTGTACACATGCGCAAATCAAGTTGTTTCCGTTGGAAATTTGTGCGCAAAAAGTTGACACAAAAAAATGTCCTCAAATTCAACTGCTACCCTCTTGGGGCACTCGATAATACACCTTATTATACCCACGAAATACCTTTATTCATGACGTAGGTGTAATTTCGGAACCTCGCATGCAATGTCACGTTAAGGGCGCAACACTTTCCACGCTACCGCAGGTCACATGGTCGCGATTCGCGCACACCGCATTCCCCGGTCTCCATACCTAACAAACAATGTTAACGTTTGGTCGACGGCGATAAATATCGATCACACAAATGTGAAAAAAAGTTCGACGTCAGAACAGGCCGAACGCTTTCGTTAGTCGTACCGGTGGCGGCGGCGCACACCTATTGAAATGAGGTGCAAAACTCGAGAACTTAATAATTGCATTCGATATTTCAATAATGATCAGTAACAACCATTGTAAATATTAATTAGTGTCAGAAGAATCAACAATATTTTACGGGTTTCTGTGTTAAAATGATTGTAATGGTTTGAATTGAGAGCGATCGACCAAGAAGTGAAAACAAAATGATCGTTTGTCGATTGGTAACACTACGTCCCTTGTTTCTCAACAATTTATATGTCGTAAGTAATGATCTTCAATCAATTTTGGTGTTTTTTTCTTTATTTTATTGTTTGTAATTATTGATCCAACGCTCAATTGTTTTATTATGATTATATGGAAAGTAAATCAGTGTTTGTGTGCGCGTGAAATTATTGAAAATGCATTATGGGTTACTACAATGATTACTATGTACCAGATGTCAGTTTGACCGGCTTTAACGAGGTGAACATAGATTGTCCTACTTTAAAGTCCTTCGAGTTGTCATCATATATCATAATTCAATGAAGAAAACAAAATACAATGTGAATTGAATTATTTTATTGTTGTACCGTGATTTGAAATAATGTTATTTTTGTACATTGTTTCCAGGAAGAATCACATGAAGGACAAAACGGCAATCGAACGCAAGTGTGGGCCATCGACCCGACCGCTTTTACCACCGTGGGCGCAGGGAAACTATCATCGGCTAACGGTAATTAATTACAACATTCTGATATTGTTTCACATTTTCATTATGCTGTATTTTTATCAATACAATATTTTAATTCACTTTTATGCATTTGATTTGTGCAGGTACCCTAAGGCAATTATATGTGGTGAAGAATGCAAAAGATTCGAAAACTGCCGCGACAAACACGGACTTTCGCACTGAATCTCCAGCACGTAAAAATAGCCGACAACGCAGTCAACGTGGTCGGTCGTTTTCGCCACCAACGTCTAATCGCACATCGACGTACGAAACGTTTCCAGATAGTCAACATGGTCAGATGCAATCACAACGGTCCAATCCACATATAAATCATGCGAATATCAGCCAAGGACGGTTTGTAAGCGGTAACCATTACAACGATAAACATTATTTGCCAAAAGGAGAGCAGGAGCCGATCAGGAAAAGTTTCTCATCGGAGCAGATTACTGGTCTGGATCGGTTTAGAAAGGAGCATACCTTCTCATCAGGATCATCTTCAAGTAAGTCTTGTCTTTTCAAAATAACATTTGTACTAATTTTGATAAATTTTGAAGGTTCAAGTGTTCGACAGAGTGGAAATTGGCGTGACCTGCGCAGTGGCATTCCGGTTCCTATTTACGATAGCAAGCTAAAAATAAGAACCAAGAATGCCAACAATGCGGGGAAAACGAAAGGGCCTATGACCATACCATATTATCCACCGTAAGTACATTAAAAACTTAACCATTTTTTTTAAGTTATCAAAGATTATCGGCAAAATCTACAAGATTGGTAGAACTGTTTCTAGTCTTACACAATAAGTTGAAAGATTGTGTTGTGTTTTACATAAATATTGAATACGTCCTTGGTGTTGCCCTGAAAGTCTCTATAAATATTAATGACAAGAAAAATACGAATTCACGACATTGAAACTAGTTTTGTACGCAAGGCAGGACCACGAACACGCAGCTGCCTAGTCGTCTGTCAATATTTTACCATTTCGATAATTAGCTCGTCTCAGAGGACGATGCGAACACGCAATAGAAAAACATCAATATCTTTAAGCTAATCAAACGGCAGATTAACAAAACTTATGCATAATGTATGACCAATTAGTAAATCAACCTTTAGGACAACAAAAACGTTTCCAACTAAAACTGCTTACACTTTGCAAACAATTAAAAGGAGTGTGGAGGTATTTCCGTTCGGGGAATATTGCATTCGACCATTGCACCTAAAATAGCACGGATTTCCAGATATTCTCATAACTCCTTAGGATATTTTCAAATTCTTATCTTGTTAGACTGATTAGACTGAACAGTATATTAAAACGCGCAATATTTAGTAACTTTTTTAATGTCTGTTTTGATATAATATATTGGTGTGAGCAAGGGAAATGCCAGACTTTAGTAAAATAATCGCGATGACCTTTTGTATTGAGTGAGGCACGCGATTGCAAATTGCGGAACGGAATGCGCTGAAACCTACGCGGCTTTCCAAGAAGCACGGTGTCGAAAAACGTCGTTCATAATTACATTGAAACGTGGCGAGTCATCGTTTTCTTATGTTCGATAGCGTGGGCCTCTTGTAATCAAAAACTTTAATGTCTGTACTAGGTAGCTAATAACCTTGAATTACTAGTTGGTGCTCGGGTAAATATCGCGATACTTTATTAAAGTCAAAATAGCGATTTACTCGTATCGTGGTTACTTCGCAAGGTAGTTTTTGTTGGTAGTTTAATTTGTGTAAGTAGCGAAAGTGTGAAAATGATCATTAATAATATTTGCAAGACATAAAATCTATACTCTATCAAGCAAAGCAGGGTCAATAAACATATACTTATATATGTTATACTTATACTTAAGCAAATTATTCATTTTTAAAATTATAAATATTATCTGAACATATCTAATTCCCTTGAATTTAATTATTTGCTTTTTTGTGGTAATAATCTTTATTCATATTAATTTCATTTTTCTGGTTGAAAAACTTATTAAGAATAGTCACGAAAAATAAAACATGCGACTTAAAACAGAAAGAAAGGTGAATAATTCTTACTGAAAATAGGCAGTAGGTATTGCAAAAAGAGTAAACTGACCTATTTAAATATCAAAAACATACATACGTTGAATATTTAATGAAATTTTGAATGATGAACACACCAATTGTACAAGCCCTATACACTTACGTGCATATATGACTGTTAAAGAATGCTTAACACAATTGAAAAGTAGGTTATACAAATGTGTTTTCCGTTTCAGTGAAAATCGATTTGATGCCTGCTGAAAATTTTTAATCTTATATCTAACGATTTTTAAAGTCTTAATTATGAATTTATAAGGATATCTGTTTTTAAACACATATAATAATTTTGTTTTGTTGAAACTCTCTGAAAACTTTCCCCTAATTCTTAAATCGAGGAGTAAAAACTTTTAAGTTGAATTTAAGAGTTTATAAAGAGGGTCGTAACCAAAATGAGGTCATCCTTTTGAATATTCATGCATTGTTGTTGGCGTCACAAAAGAATTCGAACGCATAGTCACCTATTTAGGGCGCAAGTGAAAAATTGATGCAGTTTATTATCAAGAATTTTGAACTTTTGCCCCATCATACGCGTAAAAACATTATTTAAAGTGCCATAGTGATAGGTAAAGTAGAGCATATATGCATTATTAAGAAGTGACAATTATTCCCCGACAGCATTATGTGTTTACTATAGAAAATTATTAAATTATCTGATATTGGAACATCAGGAGGGCGTTCTGAATATCAGCTGACCTATTTTATCACATTATTAAAACAAATATTAACTTTTTTCTATGGAAAACCTAATGGGGGTTAAATGCCTGCGCTAATATCAACGCAAAAATATCATTCAACACGAAAAAGCTCAATTATGGAGTTATGGGTTTATAATGCAAGTTTTTATGAGAACCACTGCTATTATTATTTCATAAATTATTACTTAAACTATAAAAAATTACGAAAAAAATCAAATGGCAAACACAACAAGACAAAAATGAGGACCGATGATTAATTATACAGTTTGATATTTTAACTTTTTTAAATAATTAGTAACTGAATTGATATTAATTAATTACTGTTCATATTAAATGTAAAATAATATATTATCTAGCTAATCTATAATAGTTAATAAAATATTAGGATGTAATGAACCAATAATATTGATATTTTAAGTTAAACAAGCAAATTACGTAACAATGTTAATTATTTAAACAGGTCTATGAACTTTATTATTATATGTATACTTGAATTTCATTTTAAATATAAAATCGCTATAAATGTGACTCCGCCGTTTATACTCGTACATATACTTGTTGCGTGCAATTTCAAAAAGCAAGTCTCCTATAAATAATTTATTATGAAATTAGTCGATTAATGTTCTCTTTGAGAAACGGAATGCCGATTACCCCAAAAGTACAATGTTTAAGAAATGAAACTCATGTTTCTATGTCGAAAGTAATAGACGACTCTTAACTAGTACCCCACCGAAACTGAAAGGAAACGACGTGAGGAAAATTATACGCATTGTGTGCGTTAATTCAGTAGGACTTTCCGCAGCCAACGAGTTCGCGAGGTCAGAGTGCCGCTTCTTTACATTCCTTACACCTCCCTCATCAGCACAACCATAGCACACAACGAAGTCGAGCTTATTTATTTCGACCGCACGCGGTTTGTCGTCGAGGTGTGCGCGTATACATACACTAGTAGCAATTTGCTGGTAGTACGGCATGTGGTCGATATTATTCCGGTAAATCGTGTGACGTATGCTGGTTTCTCAAAGGGGGGCATACCACCTTACGCTTTTTCCAGCGCGCGTGAAGTCCGAGCGCCTCCGTGTCGGTCAGAGAACGAATCAATGCGGCGGTACGACGTCGGCCACCGGCCAAGTCGAGGAGTAGCGTCGCGACGCCGCTCGCGCAACAATGAGTTTCGTGCGCGTTTCAATCGGCCCGCTACCAAAATAAATCGCAAATATTAGTGAACAAAACACACGCGAAGAACAATGCTGTGTCACAATGGGTACTTTAAGGAAGGCGCGTGTGGTGGTGGTGGTGATAATGTGTGGGGCCTTAGAGATGAGAAATACATCAAGTGGCGGAATCCGTTCAGGTGTTGCTATCGTATTTGTAGACAGCGGAAAGTCGGACACATGTCGCCACAACATTCAATCGGTACACCAGTACTGTCCATCACTGTATTACCCGATAATATGGAAATTGTGTACGTAGACAAATGCAATTTTTAATTGATGATTACTTGTGGCGTCCATTTTGATTTCATTACGTTTAGCAAATGTTACATTAGGTACAAACAAATAGTCGGTAACGGCAATTATTGATTTTAATGAAGAAATAAAAGAAGAGTTAAAGACCATTAGTATATACACACACTAATAATAGACCCATAGCAATGTGGTGTTGTTGAATGTTGTCGATTTGGACAAAAACGTTAAATTGTTGTGCGTGTTCTACCTATACTACGAGGTACCAGTACTGCAAACAAACAAACAAGCAAAAAACATTGCTACATTAAGATTACAAACGATATTTTAATATTTGAACAATGTTTAGTTAATACACAGTTGATGTTAGCTGTACTGCTAAATAAGAAAAAATCTAATATTTTCTAATCAATTTAAAGACTTTTAGAGACATAATTTACTTTTAATTCATTCATCATTTAATATGTAGTATTTCCCAACGTTATTTGAAAATAAAACCGTGAGAATTATTTTGATTACAGTGTAAAAAGTCCAAGTCCTACATCGACGCCTGAAAAACATGACAACGAATCAGTGAACCGCCAACCATTCTCGTCCGGCAGCGAATCATCTGGTTACTTCACACCGCCGCCCGAAACACATCACGAATCGAACGTTAGCCCCGATCTCATAACACCCACACTCACCCCACAAATCAGCCCACAACCCGAACGCTTCGTACGGATCGAAACACCGCGTAAGATAGATAGCGAGCCAGAAAGTTTCGACGATGATGAACCTGTCAACGAAACATTGCTCGTCGATGAACCGGACAATGTCAGCACGAAGACTGAATTTCGTGCATCGAGCAGTCTGAATAGTCTCAATTTCGTCGAGCGTACGCTTTCGAAGAATGAGACGACCAACAGTCTAGAGTTCTCGAAGGTAGCTTTTGATGACCTGGATGCAACGCGAAGAAAGATTGACGTTGAAATCGTTACTCATATTCAAAGGAAAAACGTCAGTTCTGCACCAGCATTGAATGACCTCAGCAGCGCATTTACATCAACTCGTCCTTCTACAGTAAAGACTACACTGCCAGGATCATGTAGCGAGTCTATTGACGATACTGAAGCACCTGAAGAGTTATATAAGAGTATCAGTCCAGAGAAGAAGTCACCTGTTAAAGTTATCAAATCGTCCGTGGCCCGAAGGAAATCTTCCAAATATGGTACTGGAAAATGTAACGAAGCAAGTGGGGATAGGCCATTCACAAAGCCGCGAGAAGCTTTTCATGATATTTGCGCACAACTTGAAAGCACTGAGTGGGAGGTGACGATGAAAGGATTACAGGGTTTGGTTAGACTGATTAGGCATCATAAGGACGTGGTTGAGAACCAGATGCACGCGGTGTGTGTCTTGTTGGGGAAACATGTTAGGAATCTGCGGTCGCAAGTTGCGAGAAATGCTTGTTATGCATCGTCGGAGTTGGCAAAAATTAGTAAAAGACCTTTGGAAATGGTAAGAAGTAGAAATTCACACGCTTTTATTACATTTTTCTAATATTATGTATTTATAAATCTTATTTAGGAGTTGGATGAGTTAGCGACTCCTCTTTTACATCGCACGGCGGATACTAATAAATTTTTAAGGAGTGACGCCAATGCTGCCTTAGATGAGATGTGCACACAATTATCAGTGCCCAAGTTGGTATCGGTCATTACATTCAGAGGTTCGTTGCATCAAAACGCGGTGGTGAGAAGCGCCGCAGCTCGATTACTATGCAATATTGTGCAGCGTCTTGGATCTGAGAAGGTATTCCAATTACCTAGAGATACACGTGATAAGATTCTATTGGCTGGAGCGAATGGATTAATGGAAGGAAGTCTGGAAACTCGGTAGGACTCTTTTGCGTTACAATTCTGTTTTTGTCTTTAGATAACATATTTAATGTTTGTTATTGTTTTAGACAACACGCTAAAATGCTCTTGGGATTGTTAGCTGAACATTGTCAGTTTCAAAAGGCTATGGCCGAAGCAGTTCCTGCCAGTATCCTGAGACACATAGAAAAAACAATGAAATTGCTTCTAAAATAATTCATGTGCTAAGTACTCGTTGCGTTAACTCTATGCTTATTAGGTATAATTATGTATTATAAAATATATTTTATAGGTAAGATTTTACCAAAAAGTTATATTAGTAGATGCAGTTTATTAGGTTTGGAACAAATAATTGTTTATTGAATATTTCGTTAAGTTTAAATTATTTTCTGAAGTTATTGTTTAATGTAGGTAATGCTCGTTATTTATTTAATTGTTTAGGGTAACGTCATATATGTTAAAAATTAATTGTACGAAATTTTTAAAACATGTAACGTAGTGTGTACATATGATATCATATCAGAAAATAAAATTATTTATAGTTTTCATTAAATAAATTACGTAAGACAATGACAAAATGTATTTTGTGACTGGAAATAATATGGTTACATTTTATGATACCTTTGAAATAATTTTAGACGAAAATAATAGAACAACGGCTAACATGCGCATTCCGCACTACTTGCGCCGACATCCCCGGCTGAGTACAGTCGCACAGTCACTGTGTGTGCCACAGTGTGGAGCAGTCAGTAACGTCTGGGCGGTGTTGACGTAGTATAATGTGTTTCTTACATCTCTCCAGTTTTATTGAAATTATAATTTAATCGCGTTTATTTGTGTAATCGTCGACGGCATATAGTACCGTACCGCATATAGTATTATAACGCCAGTTACTTTTCACTTATTTTAAGAAATTTTAATACGTTAATCTCTATCGCTTTTAGTTTACGACCCACTCGCGAATAAAAAACATGTTCAAACAGTTCAATCTTCAAAATTTGTTCTAAATCGTGCTCTATTTTATATTACAGCAGTTACCTTTTAAATCCTGAACATGTTTACGGGTGTGGTTTTCATGGAAAATCAGCAGCTTATAACAGGAAGCATTTCCATGCACCATCACAATGTAAGTTGTGTATTTTTTATGATAATAATATAATATAATAGTATTCATTTTTGTGAATGCACGACTTAAAATTTTCGCACTGCATTTTAAACACGATTTTTTTTTAGGTTTAATTTCATGGTATGCCACCCAATAATGTAAAACCCACTTCAATATCGATTCATGTTGCCACCATCAGAGCCTGGAAAACTTAAAGAAAACTGAAGAATGAAACTGACAAAAACTGCCTTATACTGACGGAGCCTCTATTTTAGTGTTTTCAATTAAAATTAGAAAAGAATAACTCTTCGTCCAAAAATTGCACGACCTTCATACTACCATACTGGCCGTGGGGAGCGGGACAGAGGATAGTTTGGCGAACTGCTAGCAGTTTCGTGGCAATTGTCAGCTGACACGGTGGCTGATCCGCGCTCTTCACTCGCTTGTCTGCAGATACATTTGTTTTTATTTCGATAGTTGTATAGGTATATCATTATTTTTAATATCAATTAAAGAGTAGCCGTTTCAAGAAGCGTTATAAAAACATGGCGTGGAAAACGCCCAGTATCTCGTAAATTGTTTCACTTTTTACCGTTTTCTTACCGTCATGTTAGAGCGGGAGAGTTCCTCTACAAGATGCATACCCCTCCTACCTACCAGCCTTTTTTGGAAATGTCCCAAAATGCCCTTCAAAAATGAACAATTTTAGGAAACTTTGAAAACATGGTGTGAAAAACGCCCTGTATCTAGTGAATTAATTGACTTTCTTAGAATTTTTCCACGCCAGAATAGATTTAGGGAGTTTCTCTACACGATGAATCCCTTGTCAACCTTCCAGCTATTCGGGAAGTACCTTAAAATTCTCATCAAAAATCAGCATTTTTAGAAAAATTTGAAAACATAGTATGGAAAACACCCTGTATCTCGTAAACAAACTGACCATCTTCTACTTTCTCTACACCAAAAGAGAGTCAAGGAGTTTTATAAACCCTTTGGAAGTGTCCTAATATCCCATTCGAATATCGTTGTCCGATAAATTTCATTTTTTGGTCGAATAACAGGGTCGAACTTTCTTTAATAAATATTTTTTGGTCAAAGAACAGAGTCAAACTTTTTTTCATAAAATTTTTTTCGGTCGAAGAACAGAGTCGAACTTTTTTTCATAAAATTTTTTCTGTTGAATTTTTTTGTTAAAATTTTTCGGTCGATTTTTTGTTAAAATTTTTTCAGTCGAATTTTTTTGTTAAAATTTTTTCGGTCAAAAAACAGATCGAAATTTTTTACTTAAATTTTTTTGGTCAATGAACAGGGTCAAACTATTGTGTTAAAATATTTTTCCGGCGACGACAGGGTCGAATTTTTTAGCGATTATGTCAAGAACAAAAAGGTCTACGAAAAACAAATGCATTTTTCTCTAAAATTGTAAATAGCACGAGTACAATTCTTCTCATGTTCTACACTACCACACTGAAAGTATCGGTGCTTACAAACATACAAGTTTCTTTATCTCCTGCAGTTTTGTGCGGTCGCCGCGCGGTGCCGTGCATACCACGTTAGTCTCATTTTTGTCGTCTGGTGATCTGGACGCACATTTTCTTTACAATATTTTGTGTCACTTATTTTTTTGTCGCGTTATTACGTACTGTTTCTAGATGCTCCTTCGATTGTGCGCGTGTCATGTGCGGCGTTCGTACACACGCAGAGGTAAAGCGTGAGTGATGATCCGTCGGCCGTCTGATACTCTTTTTGTATCATATGCGAATTTCATATTTATTTCGTATTTTCTTTGGATATGCCAAACGCGGAAAAATTTATTTTGTTTCAAGGTATGTTCTCCATTCCATTATTGACTGAACTTGTTTTTACTTCAACCCTGTGGTCTTTAACCACACAAATATTTTTGTCTCTGTTTCAATATCTACCGTTGATTTGCAATCGTATTCGATACATTGTTTCGTTTTCGTTTAATGTACAAATTGAAAGATTAAGATTGTCGTGTGCCGTCGGTTGCATTCTTAATTCTTTGGGGGCTTTTTCCGGCAAAACCCACTACCCATCATTATTAAATACAATTTTTAATTCCGAAAATAAGAAAGAGAAATCTTTTGCCTTTTTTATGATAAAATCTTCTTTTCAGCTAGTGCACCTTTTGAAATAATTGGAATTTTTAAATTCTATTTTTTGAATTTGAAAGATAATTCAATTCTTAATTAATTATTTAAGTAATTATTATTTTATCATTGACGGTTTAGGCCATAATTTCATAATTGATTTTTACTTGCCAAAATGGCTTTAATCTACAATTGTGTTACAAGTTTCCGATTTTGAATTTAATATACTCTCAAAAACCAGAAACAGAATTCAAAAATTCTAATTATTACCGAATCTGTATTTGTTGAAATAAAATATTTCGCCATAAAAAGGCAAAATATTTCTCTTTTTTATGTCGAATGCAGTTTTCACTAAAATGTGCAAATTGGGCATAAACGGTTAATCTTAGGAAAAAAAGTTACTAGAATAATCGATGTAGAATTAAAAGAACTGTTTAAGTATTTATTATCCTAAAATTGAACGTTTAGGGCCTATTTGCAATTTTAATTAGAAAAGAAAGGTGATTACACGCCAATAGGGCTTTAATCTATAATTTTGTTACTGGTGTCCGATTCATAATTTAATCGAAATTAAAAGTTCCATACATTGTACGAGTACAATTCTTTTCTTGTTCTGTATTAGCACACTGATATATCAGTGTTAACAAACAATCAAGTTTCTTTATCTCCTGCAGTTTTATGCGGTCGCCACGCGGTTGGCTTGCCTACCACGTCAGTCTTATATTTGTCGTCAGGTGATCTGCACGATCTGCACGCACATTTTCTTCGCAATAATTCGAGTTCCTTAATTTCTTCGCGTCATTACGTAATTCGTTAAATGCGAATTGTTTATACGCAGACGTAAATCATGAGTGATGTTCCGTCGGCCGTCGGATACTCTTTTTGTATGATACGCGTATTTCATCATTCCTACAATGTATTAAGCACAAGGTCCTTACAATTTATTGGATAAGCCAAACGCGCAAAAATTAATTTTGCATCAAGGTATGTTCTCGCATTTCTTAAGCCTTTAAGTCTTTAACCATATAAAAAAATTTTGTCCCTGTTTCAATATCTACCGTTGATTTGCATTACTTATTTGATACCTTGTTTTGTTTTTGTTTAATGTACAATTTAAAAAGATTAAGATAGTCGCGTGCCGTCGGCTGCGTTCATGATCCTCTGGCGGCTTTCCGGGCTTTGTGCTTTATTTTGTAATATCCAACCCGTCGCTTTTCCTTCATATCCAAAGAAAATACAATTTTTGAAATGTTCTATTTTTATGTTTTCTTACTTTTCACTTTTTTTTGATTTCCGGTCTAAACATTATGATTTTTTTAAATTCCCGATGGCTTTCTTCTTATATTATTTTGTTATTGTCGCCTTGTTAATTGTTTCCATCCGTTTTCCAACTTTAGTCTTAATTTTTCTTTGTGTATCACCCAGTAGATATATTTTCCTTATCATTTAATACACCATATTTATTATTGTTTGGGCGTTTTACTGTTAATTCTTAGAGTTTTCTGTTTGTAACACCCTGTATATTAATTTCGCGTGGTGTCAAAAGGGGAAAGATGTATGTTATCCCATTTAAACTTAGGAGTTATATTAATTTCCTTTGATTTTACTTGGACTGTGTTTCCCTACTTGTATTTTGCATTTTCTGTTTAAATGTTATTATATTATTTTTGGAACACGAAGGTAGCGGTAGAAGTGACTCGTGTTCAGGGCACCGTACGAAGGTAGCGGTAGAAGTGACTCGATTCAGGGCACCGTACAAGGGTAGCGATAGAAGTGAGTCCTATTGAAAAAATACAAATTATTTTTGGACGTTTTAGCCCAGGAAATTTATTTATTTTATACTTTTATCTGATAGAGAATTTTCCAAAGTTTCATAATCTTCAATACGTTGATCGCTATCGTTTTTAGTATAAATGATATTCGTTAACAAAAATATTCAAAAAACATGACCCAGCACCTCCCTTTGCCCATTTACGTGAATATTTATTTTAGGCGCGATATTGTGAACACCAATTACTTAATTAACTAAGGTACACAGAAAACTTTTTCGAAGACAATAAATTATTTATTTGTAATGATAAATTAAATTACTGTTTTTGTCAATCTTATTACATCCCAAAGTCAATATATTCTTTTCTTAAGCGGGAAATATTGAAATATTGAAAGTAAAAGTAGATTCCGTGTATATGTGCTATTTCAATATTGAGAATTTTAGTTTCGTCTTCTCAACTACGTGTTTATTAGTACGTTTGTGTATAAACAACTTTTTTTGTTCGACTGACGCGTGTTATCACTGTGTGCCTGCCTTGCTACGCGTCGTGCACCCGGCAGTCGTTTCACCGCGTGGTCCGCGAACGTGTCTCTCTATCGCCATGCGTTTTGAGGTTTTAATTGTATTAATCGTCGTGTATTCTTTCGGCCATCGTCAAAATATTCGCAATGGGAATGTGCGCCTGTTTTGCTTAATGATTTATGGAGGTTAGAGTCTTCTTAAGTGAGAAATAAGTGTCCGTTAATCCTTCCGCGAGTTTTCAGTTGATAGAATATATTACAGGATAGAAAATCTCCTTATCAATGCACAGGTTGGTGGATAATTAAAATTTATCGCGGAAAGTTAACGCGGTTTAACTTAAATTGATTATTTAATTAGACGGATATTAATTTTGTAGATTACAAACACGTGGCATTTTTATTAGAATTCTTCTTAGTCGCGTTTCCGAAAATAACATGCTTCATTTAATTATTACAAGTACGGTTTTTAAAATTATCTGAGGATAATTTGCCGTCGGCCGACGGTTCGGTCATGTTTTCGACGATCACGTAAACATTTTTGATCGAATTGCATCATTAAATTAATAATTTCTTGTTGAAATAAAATCTTGAGCGGTGAATAGTTTTTCGTTTTCGTAGTCTCAGTATATCTTAATATTTATAAAGAAATAGTTATTTTTATCGTCTTGAATCACTGTGTTGCTACGCGCCGTCGCTTGCCGTCTGTAGATTTAGATGTTTTCCGCCGGATATTCTATCAATTTATGAGGATGCTTCACCATTCGCTTACCTTATACAGTTGATGCTACCATCAATTAATAAATATATATTCACAATATATTAAAATGTAAGTGTTTTAATTTTGTAGCACGTTTTTGCTAAATTGTCCGATGATTTTCGGGTAAAATCTCTGATTTTATACTCATATTAAAATAATGTTGTTAATTTGTAAATTTCCCTCTTCATATTGTGAATATTGACTCCCTTTGTAGTTTCTATTTTCTTTTTTGAAATAAATTAGTTTTCCTAACAGCACGTAGAAAATCACCTTTAGTTCTGAGTTTTGTATGTTCTATGTTTTGATTGATAGGATTTTCTTGTGCCCGTGAAAATTTTGCTTTAACTGTGGTTTTTAGTATTGTTACCTTTGCACTTCGAATTTTCTTTCTGGAACACCCTGAATATTAGTTTCCCTGACTGTCGAGTGAGCGGCGTTTGTAGTGTTGAGAGTTTTTTGTTTGTACTTTAAATTTTCCTTTTGTAACATTCTGTATATTTGTTTTCAATCACCTAGATAATTGGCTATTTACTAATTTCATTATTCCGGCAGAACTTTATGAAGTAGTACTTGCTGGCATGTGCGCGGCTATGCAGGTCGTAAGTCCTGCTCAATATGGCGGCACATATTCTGTTGACTTGTAAAATATATACTTGTATTCTACGAGTTTGGCTAATAAATATATAGTAAGATATATTGACTTTTTTGATTTGTGTACCCCTTCTATCATTTCAGGAACAGGCTAGAAACTTTCCTCTCTCAGTGGTTGATCCCCACTATAAAAATTGTTAAGGTATCCTGTGTGATTTGTGTGCTCCTTCTTTCATTTCAGCTACAGGTCAGAACTTGTAAGAATATTCTTAAGTGTCACCCCTCTTGAGGGGACTTAAAACTTAGAAATATTTGAACAAGACCTTATAAGGATTGTCCTTATAATGAGTTCCCTCTCTCTGGTGGTGATCCCCCACCATAAAAATTGTTGATATGCCTAAGAATCCTGGGGATGAAGCGCAGAGACATCGTAGCTGTAGGATGGGCCGGGAGCGATGGATGGAGCGACCTGTAGACTGTCTTATAACGACACGCCGCCAAAAAATTTAAAAATCTGATCTCCCCTGTTCTCTTTCTTTCTTCCATCCATCTCCTCCTCTTCTCTACTCTGTTCTCTGCATTCTATCTTCTTCTCCTCTTCTCTCAACTACTCCTTATTCTTCTATTTCTCTGTTCGCGCTCTTCCACTTACTTTCTAACTTCTCATATTACCTTCACTTGTATTTCAATTTCACTTATATTTCGTTGCAATTCATATATGCAACCCAAATTACACCTGATATTTTTATATTTGAGAAAAATGCCTTCTATATCTGAGACTCGATCCGTGCCCACGAGTATGCTAGCAGACGCACGTACCCACTCGGCCACCGAGTGTTTTTGTCATTTATATTTGATTCTTTTATCTATGTTTCTACTTTAATCAACTTTTTAAAAACAATAACACAAGCCTTAGCTATGTTGCACACGCTCCACGCACTGTACTATACTATGTTATTCTATGTGTACCCTTAAAGATAAACTTGACTTAATACTAATCCTGAAAACGACCAACTGAACACTAGGGACACATGTAAACAAGAATGTAAAATTAAATTATCCTTTATTGACCAAATCAATGACAATTATTATAAAGCAATAACATGGTAACTGGAAGATTTAAAAAGTTAAATAAAAGTAAACTTTTATTTGATGCTACTTACTCCTTTGTTCTTCAATCAATAAATGACAGAAGAGCGCAAACACGTTTCTTCAAATTGTAGAATTGAAGATACGCAGGTATTTACTAATCTACGCGGAGATTCCCAATGTACTCACTTGTATTCACGTTTAACAATTATATTTAACTTGAGCTCCTTAAATATCCATAGTCATCAAAACATATCCGACGAACGCCACGCACGTACCACAATTAATCAATCAAATCATTCGTTGTGTTAACTCAACATATAAGATTGTAAAATCCAATAATATCACATAGAATTTTATAAATAAATGTTTTAAAATGGATTACGTATTCAAAAATAAAAGTAATCGAATCTAGTAATGCTACAAAATATCAAGAACCGCGAGAAAGCGTCACCACGTTTGATTAATGAACAAAACACGTGCGCACTCGCAACAGCGCTCAACCGACTAAGCCGAACTAAGCAACCCCGGGAATTGATAACTGACCCAAAGTTGGAGGCGCATTTTTCTATATGTATACGATAGAAATGCGATTACAAATATGCAAATTTTTGTTAAACATAAAAAGCAACCACAAAAATTAAGTATGAATTTAAACCTAATCGATGGTAGCGTCACCTGACCGTGGCGGAACATAACAAACTTGATAGCTGACACTAGCGTCACCTGGGTGTGACGGAAGAAACCATTAAAAATAGGCGGCGTCATCAAGTTTTGAAACTTTGGAATTACCCGGAAATCTGCATTACGTCTGCTAATATTTAACATTTAATTCAATTTCCATTAATGAAGATGATTTATGAAAATTATAAACAAATTCGATACTTACAATCTGATCAAAAAATCCTAGGACATTTCGTTCGCCCGATAGACACCTAAAACTACCAAAAATCAGTACATCGAAGCACAAAAATTATGTTTTTGCAGGTTTCCCTTGTGCTAATCACACAAATTATAAATGTAAATGATATACAAATTCAATACTTACAATCTGATAAAAGAATCGTTGTCCTACGACATTTCGTTCGCTCGTTAGACACCTAAAACTACCAAAAATCAGTATATCGAAGCACAAAAATGATCTTTTTCCAGGATTCCCGTTTGCTAATCATACAAATTATAATCATATCAAAAATTATGAAATTATATTATAAAAAATTTATCGACGGACTATTCGAATGCGATGCAATTAGAATTGCGATCCTTAAGACGCCTTCGAGAGCGTTAACAGTAATTCTACTTAGATAACATAAAGGACTCAAAGAAAAAGAAAATGTGGAAGATCTATACCAAAACAAAAGCACCACCAAATGTTTGAATTTACCCATGTTGCAGACACAACTTCTGCAACAAACTAATACAACCCCATGGAGAATTTAATTTGATATTTCTAGAGATGCCCCCTTCTCGAATTAAAGCTAGACAAATACCAAATATTACAGACCGACTGAAATTTCTGTTTCGGTTTAGGCCAAGAAATCTAGTTTCGGCTTTTGTTTCAGTTTCGGCCAATAATTTTGTTGCACCATAGAAACTTAAATTAAATATGTTTATGTAAGTTACAGTTTCGGTTTCAGTTTCGGCTGAAACTGAGACCAAAGCCGTAATTTCGGTTTCGGTATCGGCTGAGAAACCAGTTTCAGTTTGTATTAAATGCAAGGCTTGCGCTGACTCAATTAAAATAAAGGAATACATTTTGTACAGTGTTAAAATAGTGACACAATTAAATTGAAAGTAAACCCGAGAACGAGTACTGAATGCAACATAACATGAAATACAAGACTTGCGCTCCCAGTGCAACTCAATTAAATTTAAAACCCAAATGTGGCACTGTCCTTCTATAAAATTAAATAATCCACCCAATTGTCTTTTTATTATACTAATAGTAAAATGCAATTAACGAATCTTAGGCCCCTCCAAGTTTTATTCTTGAAAATGCCTGGATTATGATCGCCCCTGAGATCGCCTCAGGAAGTTTAGTCTAAAAAAAGTCAATATTAGAATCCAATATTCAAAAAAAAACATTTTATTACTTACATTTTTCTTTAAATCCGCAAATCCTACGAAAAGATGGTGGAGAGGAATATTCACCGATGATAGCCACTAAGTACAGGATTCTCTCAATCATAAAAAATGGTATGGATTTTTCCCTAGCCACAATTACCTGAAAATATCAAATTATCATTATTTCATTCACGATTTTAATATTCCTTTATTGGACTGTTCTTGTATGATTTTCGAGGTGCAATAAAAAACTTATACAAAATTGTGACTCCAATTCAGGGCACCGTACGAAAATGACGGAAAAACTAACTACTATTCAGGAACCCGTACGTGGGTGACGGTAAAAGTAACTTTCCCGTAGATTCAGAATCTCCAACCTGTTCATCGTAACAGGATTTAATATAAGAGATAGTATAAGATTAGTTTAAGAGACGGAAATACATGAAAATACGTAGTAGGGTAAAAGAGGGTAATGGGGGTCACTTAAGGGAAAACTCAAATATAATTTAAATTATAAACAAAATACTTATTGCAATCGCTTATAAGCATTGTTTACTTAAATACCTATTATTTGAAATAATTTTCGGTCACTTTGACAATCAATTTTGGATATTATTAAAGTTAAAAAAAAAACAGATTTGACTCCCATTACACCGACATGCGGGTAATGGTGGGAACAATCGGAATCAAACGAAATCTAGCAGATATCGCAGACATAATATTCCGCAAAGTCCCACCCAGTGCATTTCACATGAGCCCATAGCCCACATGAAGTGCATCAGAACCACATTTAATTGTTTTTTTTTTAAATCGTTGCACATTAGACATCAGTTTTCCAAATCTTCATCCTCATCGCCCTGGCATAAGTCATCAGTGCCAATATTGGAATCATAAGTTTTGTTACTTTCCCGCAGTATCGTTTCTGCAAGAAGGCTATTGAAAAATAAGTCACATTGCTTTTTATAGGCCATTTAAAGCGGACTAAAGACAAAAACGTCCATTGGGAGTCGCATGACTCCCATTGCCCACAATTGCACTATTGTGAAAAAAAAAACAAAAAAAATATTTCTTCACAACATTAATGTAATCTGAACTGCACATCACGATTTTGAATGTTTAACTACTTTTAATCACCCCACAAACTTTCTATATTTTGCGGACGTAGCGTTTTCGGCGGTGCCGGCCGGCCGTCCTGTGCGGCAAGAGCGTGCCTATAAATAGCGCGTCTGAGGCCGCGGTTTTCCCTGTAGCACTTTGAATTTAGCAGCGAAGATATTCCAAAGACAGCAGGAAATCTTCATGGTATAGGGAAAGGTGGATAGTTTTACTCCAAATTTAACGCGTGCGGGCCACGGGCAGTAATGAATAAATCAAAACTACTGGATCGATTTTAATCACATAGGCTATATATTTTAAACCCGTGCGAAGCCGTAGCGGGCCGCTATGTTTTTATATACAACGTTCACAGTTTTTCTGTAGTGTATTTAGTATCAGTATTGCAACCGTGCGAAGCCGGGGCGGGTCGCTAGTTAATTATAAATTAAAAGGTAGGTATTACAAAGTTAGGGACACGGAATTAATAATTCAATTAATAACTCACCCGAAAACAATCACGTGTTTCGACACTCAGGCGCAAGTGTTGAAACAAGAAAAAGCCAGTAATTCAATGATAAAATGCCGATAATAGGTTTGTATATACAAAACGAATTAAACGTCCGTAGCGACAAATCACGGCTAGGTCGCTGGATTACACTACACAATAAGTTGAATGCAAGAATATCAAGTAGGGGAGAACTACTACATATGTAGTAGTGCTAAAGAATGTTGCATTGTCAGTATTATTTCGGCACTCTCACGATCTCGTAAATATCAGTAAAAAATGAAAGTACCTTTGGATTGATAAGAATATACAAGATACGGCTACACATCGGTTCACTGAATTAATATTCTGAAACATCTTGGCGATTTGAGTAGAGCTAAATATGTATAGGCAAATATATAAAATGAATACTTACTCTGTCTTCTTAAAATTCGCATGATGCTGATGGATTGCACTTACGGTCACACACGATTATGGTTTAACAAACTGCATCACTCGTGTACTAACTGTACCAAATTAAAAACGAACAAACATGGTTACCCGCTGCATTGCACGCGTCTAACCCGTAGAAAACGCACACTACAAATGAAGCAAACAAAGCATGGCGTCGAATGGCGCCGAATGAGCATGGTTTTTGGCCAGGGCGTTGATAAGCGTGCGCACTGACTGGGCTGCGCACAAACATTAATAATCGCCTAGCGAGAAGAAACCGAAATACACCTGAATCAAATAAACACCATGAACACCAATAGAACAATGAAATCCAAATAAAAAACAGTAAAAAGTCACGCATGTAATGTTTAACAATAACTTGCGTAGTCAACCAATTTTATATGCGTATATGTTTATGTTTTAGCGACAAACTATTTACTTTTACCGATATATTATTTATTGTTATTTCTTGTAAATTTGACTGAATGTATTTTATGTATGTATCTTTGAAAACGGGTTGAGCGGTCGTCGTTTCGATGCGCCGTTCTTCTTCCAATAAATGAATATATATACTACAAAAGCCTTGCAAAAACCGCAAAATTTCAAGCGTTTCGTCCATTGATTGCTTAAAAACTGATTTTTAGTGCATTTTTTAAGACAGACTTTTAATCAAAATTGTTATTTTGCCATAATTCAACTTATACACGCAATTTATTTCTTTTTTAATTCATTAGCTTAAGAAAAATATGGAAGAAGTTTTATGTTAAATCACAAATATTAAATTGATATTTAAGTTTTTATTATTATGGCCACAAATAAATCAATAATTAAATCGAACAAACAACAAATAAAACAATATTAAATAATATCTAAAGGTGCGTTGTGCTTCTAAATTCTAAATACTTAAAGGTACTGTTTCTGTGTTAACTAAACGCCTGAGCAAGGAACAATACCAGTGACAGTTTTAGTCACAAAGTCTTTCATCTCCTGATTGGTCATGTTTCCGTAAACACCAGCTCTATCAGGCTTTGCACAGCCATCTCCCCAGGAAACAACACCACACAGCTGACCATTAACAGCTAGAGGGCCTCCAGAATCTCCTTGGCAGGAATCGACACCTCCTTGTCTATATCCAGCGCAAAGCATTCGGATTGTAATAGCTATAAAGAAAAATAATTAGCAATTCAATTTGAAAAACAATAATGTTTAAGTTATTTATAAACTTACCATTTTGCCCATATTCAGCCTGACATTCTTCATTAGTAATCACCGGCACCTGAGCAACTTGCAAATTTGTCGGAACACTTCCCCCTTCGGTTAGTACACCCCAACCTATAATAAAGGCAACTGTCCCAGGTACGCTATCAAATGCACAGAGTGGAATCGGTCTAACAACGGGGGAATCAAAGAAGTTGCCCATGATTTTCACCACCGCAATGTCGTAATCGTTGGTTATTGGATTGTGCAATGGATGCTCACGAGTGCACATTACGTTCGATATAAGACCTCCAGAAGCATGTGTTGAACTTCCATACCGAACCTTAAGAACCTTAAATGTGGTCGTGCAATGCGCGGCTGTAACCGCATATGTTGATGTGACTATTGAACAACCGCAAATATGGCTCCCCAAAAATTGTAGCGATGCTATGTAGGGGAAATTTTCGATGTCTGTTTGAAATCCTCCAACGATTCTTCCTTCGTCTATTTTTTTACCCTTAGTTGATATTTTGCTTGTTTGGCCAAGGGCCAAAATCACAAACAAAAACAAGAGGTTTTTAAAAACATCGTTGCACAGGTAAATGTTGAAGTTACTAGTAGTTAAACCAGTTACGGGATAATTTTTGAATGATATTTTTCCTTTATATACACAAAAATTGAATGAGAGTGAATAAAAACAAGTGAAAATGTCGTCAATCCCAATTTCATCACAAGTTTATTATGTGTTTTCATTCCGTTCTATATTATTTGCAAAACAACAAACAATCACAAACCACAAAGTCATTGCCTGGTTCAGTTGTCACAAGAGTGCAAAATTTCGTAAATTCTGATAAAACGCAGACCCCCTTCTTTTAGCTTACAGCCATATTGAATGAAAAGTGAAATATCAACTTAGTTATTCATTATAATTTAGTGCAAAACTCCCGCATGCACCGTACAACATATTTTTGTCGTAAAATTGGACAAATATAACTGATAAGATACATATAAGTATAACATTATCAAAGATATGTAGATAGGTGATGTTTAATCCAGTCTAGTAATTCAATTGCTGCACAAATATAAACAACTAAAGCTGCGTGCTCCTACATTTCCATAAAATTTGAATAGTCGTGGTAAAACGCAAAGAAACGATAATATTTTATAGCCACAATGGTTTCTTTTCATAAAAAATGTAAGTATGTTAAGTTTTTGGATTTATTTATTTGTTATTTACCGAAACATGGAAACTGCACACTCAGCAACATCCAAAATCTCAGTGTCCAGTTAACGCGACTGTTTCACAAAATCTAAAAGACTGCTAACGTCTGAAAAAACACCAGGTTTTCCTTCTTGTGCACATGCATATCCCCAGGAAACAATTCCTATTACTGAATTATTCACAACCAATGGACCACCAGAATCGCCCTAAAAATCGAATTAAAATTATAATCAATGTAGGAATATTCAAACAAATCATACCTGACACGTATCCTTTCCACCTTCCAAAAATCCAGCACACATCATTCTCTCAGAAACAAGCTCATCTAAAAGTTTAATTAAAAAATTAATGAAAACACAATTTTTCTAAGTAATTTCTTACCTGGATAAGAGTTAACACATATAGCTTGATCAATCACAGGTAATTCAACAGCATTCAACATTTGAGACACTCCACCTCCTGCTTGAGTTCTTCCCCAACCAGCAGCCTTTGCCATCGTTCCAGGAAGCGGTCGTTCAGAAGGTAAATCAATAGGTTTTACTTTATCATTAAACACCAGCTTGTATTTCAACTTGAGGACAGCAACATCATAATCAGAGACCTCGCTGGAGTAATTTGAATTGTCGCGGATTGAGCTCACACTAATTGTTTGCCCACCTTCATACAACCTTGTCGATCCAGCTTGAATCTTCAGAAACCAACGCATCGGAGCGTGTTTCGCTAATTTCATGCAATGTGCAGCTGTAAGTATGGTATCCTCGTCGAGAATAGCTCCGCCACACATATGCGACCCAAACATTTGTATAGATACCATGTAAGGATAGTCTTCAATGAAGGATATGACGCCATTGATGATTTTTGCGTCATATTCTGCTGAAGTGCTCGCAACCGCAAATAACAATAAAACAAAGTAAAACATATTAGAAACCATTGAATATTGTACTTAACTTGACGACGTTTGAATACGAACTTGTTTTGTGGGGTTTTATCTATTTTTAAGAAATATTATGCATTTCGGTGACGAGGGACACGTGAATATTTACATACCATGGCGATAAAATCGATATTAAGTGGTTAAAAAACTATTTTAACAATGTTAACAGTTAGTACAATTATTACCGTGCAGGTGAAAAGTTACATATTTAAATATTTGATTGGTGGATTGGTAAATAAGCGAATCAACAGAAAAAACTTCACAAAGCAACGAACTTTTTCATTTAGTTTAATAAGTATTAATATTATTTTACAGTTATACGTAGGTTGTAAATAATAAGGGTGTTTCAAACGCAAATATAACTTACTACTAAACTACCGTCATTAAGAGAGCCTTGAAAATCTGCGATTCGTCTTCAGACGACGTTTGGTCAATTCCCATCGTATAAATCAACGAAAACGCACAATACAATCAATGGAAATTCGGTTAAATTATAATTTAATTCATATTTACACCGAATTAACGAATAAATATTAAATACAAAGACGTTTACTCTAAACTTTAAATAATAATTCTCAACTTGACTGCCGCCACAGCGATTTGTACTCGTATCACTTTACAACTGATTTCAAGCGTAATTCGGTATAAAAAAACATGAAACAATATCATAATTGGGAATCACAAATGACAGTTGCATTTTTTACTAATTTTTATTTATTCATTTATTTTATTTATTATTAAAAACAGATTTCCAACTTATCATTTTTTAATTTATCTTTTAATTTAATGTAGTTTCGTTACTATAATAAAGAATGAAAATGAAATAAACCGGCGACTTTTGATCGAATTTGAAATAATAATTAAGATGATCGTGTCGTGCGTGAGACACGGCAATCACATCGGTTAGATTTTGCTTAAGATTCGTGTTGTTTCTCTCGTCCTGCACTGTTGCTTACAAAAATTATACAATACATACAGGCGTTTCTATATACTATAATATTTTTCACTTCGTCTCGTTTATTTCATTAGTTTCCTTCAGAGATATGCAAAAATAATTAATGTTTTCATCTGTGTGTGTTAGCGTCCATCATTCGAACCCGTCTCGGGATATATGTAACTTTTATCAATTAAAATAAGTGTACGAGCTATAAGTCGTCTCGGGGAACGGTCGCGTCCGTTCTCGCCGCTCTAAAAATGAAAAACTTTTCGCACCGCTAGCTCGCCTAAGTGGTAAGGGTAGCCTGAGAAAAGAAACAAACGTCGAACGAATGACGTCGATGCGGGAAAATCATGGATCCGTCTCGAGATTTGTTCGCAAATGCTTTTTCAGACTCTCGAAACGTGTATAACGTGTGTGTGCTCGGACGAATGTCGCCTGGCATTTGTTGGAATCTTAAAAATAATTTTTACATATGCTTCGTCGCTTCGCCTTGCTCGCTCATGCTTGCTTTCGTGTTTAGTAGTAAAATAAAAAACGAAAATTATTGAATAATAGTTATAAAAAATAGTAGCATTAAGTTATACATAAGAAACGAACGAAAAAACATCGGTTTTTCTCTTAAGAACGAAAATAATAATAGAGAACAAAATAAAATATTGATTATAATACACACATTGTTTTTTTGTATCGTTTTTTTTTCGTCCAAAAAGTGTTAGCGTTATATTATATGGCTGACTGAACGTTTGCACTCTTCGCGCATCGCGACCAAACGCCGCGGTGCCGCACCTCCCTATTAATAAGTTAATTTACAACACTCTCTTCGTCTTACGCGCACCTCATCGTCGATCACGCTTGCTTAACTTATTACATTACGATTCCCCTCGTGAGTTTACAAGTTTCGTTTCGACGTCTCTGGCGAAAGTCTCTCTCATCACAAAAACAATGAAGGAATGGAACGAAACGTCGCCAGGGCCATAATATAATATAATAATAAACTTTTCTTCGCTTTTTTCATTATTATTATTATTAATCTTAAATCCTTATCAATAATAATATTTACTTAAATCCTTAGTAATTTATTTTTCTTATATTCATCGATAATACGATTAAAAGTGGCTAAGTATGTTGTGTTTTACTGCATTATTCATTTTTCTGCATTCTGCTTATAATCCATTGTTAATTATACTTTAATGAGAGAATTGCGGTGTGCACGCTTCCTTCCATTCTGGTCGCTGCGCTGGTTACAACAGTCATACTAAATGTTATATACCTATTTACTCGTCGTCTAAAACGGCCCCCCAAAATAAAAGAAACCTCCCCGTCTGTTGTTCAGAGGATCAGCGAACAGCTTGTCGGTTATGTCAGCGAGCGCCGCCGCCGCGCGCGGTACGCAGCAAAGCATCACTGTGCGCGCTCCGTTACACGCCGGCCGCCATACACGCTTTAAACAGTCTTTTGTGAGTTTTGGTTTGTTATTTGTGATCTTCGCCACTCATCGGACAATAAAATTTACAATGACACGACAACATTAGTCATTCGAGAGAATCTCTTTCATCGCACCGTCCCGCAACATTAGGTTTTTCTGCATTTCATCTCGTTTTACTTGATTTGTTTAAATGTTTAGTCCTTACTTAAATTATTCATATATTTATATATATTTTTTGTAATTCTTACTTTTATATGCATCAATTATGTGTTGTTTTTCCTCAGTTTCGGCATAACTGCGTACGCATTCGTTTACCTTGCTGTTTGTAGTGCGAAACTTCGTACAACGCGTTACGATTACTTCTGTAGCTCTATATGTACACCATCAGAGAGGAATGAATGAAAGGCGATGCGAGAGGTGGTTCTGTTGTGGATGTTTGGCTAATGCAATGAGTGGTCTCGTCGTCTTGCACACATCGAATGCACACGTGACTGTAATGTTTCGATATTTAGACGTTGCTCCAATTCGAGGATGGCGTTTCGAATGTGAGAGAGTGAGTGGATGACTTAGACGCTTTTTCGCTTTCTGTTCTTTGTTTTTAAAAAATGTGTAATTTTTAGTTTTACTTCTTTTTTCTTGTTTCGGCTAATATTAAGGTTGTAAATTTGTTTTCTTTAACGATTATTTTTTGTTTTAAATAATTTTGTACGAATTATTTAGTCGTCTTCGTCCTCATCGGCATCTTCCTCTTCTTCTTCGTCCTCCTCTGGTTCAGGTACAGGAGGGGGGGCCACTTGCATCAGCGGATTGTTCTTTTTTTTATACGCTGTCATTTCCTAAGCGGAACACAAACGAAACAAAAAATTAATAACTTCACCACAACGGTTTTCTTCTTTTTTAAGCATTAATTAAGCAATTTGTATTTAATTGTCGCATTTTACGACTTAATTGTGCGCATTATTCAGCTGCTAGCGGCGTGTAAAAAACGGATATTTCACTTACTTTTTCATAGCGAGCCTTGTCTTTCTCGGCGATCTGTTCGTATTTTGATTTAGCCTCGGGATCGGCGTCTGACCACCTTCTGCCCAGCTCCTTTGCAATATCACCAACACCGTATTCGGGGTTGGCGCCCTTCACCTTGGCCCTCTCGTCGTGACAGAACCAGAAGAAGGCGGACCTAAGAACACCACATACAAATTAACAACTCTATCCAACAAATTATTCACTAACGTGCAAGCAAATATGCCGCTGAGAAGCGGTGATAATAAGCGCGACGAAACAATAACAAAGTTTATTGCTCGCGCATTACGTTCCGTGTTCGAGATTTAATTAAGTTAATTAGCCCATGAGAGCCCGACGTGCGCACACGTCGCGCTCGGAGCAAATAAATTGATTAAAACTCGATTTCAATCTAGCACAGTATTATGACCAAAGAAACCAATAAAAGTTTAATGATCGATCAAGCTGTGCCGTCCGTCCACCATGCCACATGCAGTAAGATGAGCGATGAACGGAAGCGCCGCACAAAATGGCTTTCCCCTTTAAAACACGGCGCGCACGCGAGAGTGCGGCGGCTGCATTCCGCGCGCGCGACGCGGCAGTGAGGCTTTAAAACGCCTCGCGACTTTAATTCAAAAAATCAATAACGCGTATCAATGTCATTGCTGCTTGTTTGTCGCGCGCGCGAGTACGCAACCAAGAGCGAAAAAATAAACTCGACCCACAGAGAGTGAACTCTTTCAAACATGAAAAGCAGGCACTTGTACGTACAACACTCGGAAATAAAAACTTACAATGAACGTTTTGGTGCATTGGGATCTTTGATTTGCTTCCGCTTCTTGCCTCGCGTCTTCTCGCCCTTGGGCGGCACGTAGTTCTGCATCTCGGCGTCGTAACGCTTCTTATCGTTCTCAGCCATCTCGTGGAAACGCTTCTTCTCCTTGTCGGACATGGTCTGAAAAACAAACAAGCAAATTTATTTAAAGAAAACTCGACATTTATCGAAGTTATACTTTGATTGGAGACAAAAAAAAAAACAATCGCAAGTGGCCGAAACATCTCCACGAATTAATTTTAATGAAAGCAATGGCAATAAACTTGTTATCTTCATTTTTTTTCCTTAAAATGTAAAAAATAAACCAAAACTAAGGAAGTCTCAGCCGCATGCATTGAGTGAAGAGTTCGACAAAAAAAACACCGAAAGTCGATGGAATTTTAATTAGTTGCAGGCGCTCTCTGGGGCCGAACGAAAGAGTTAATTTTTTTACGTTCGTTCGTTTTTAATTATAATTCGGCGCATAACACGCGGTCACTTAATTAACCCAAAATGTTTATAAAACCAGAAACCCATCCGCACCGCATGTTTTAAAATTTAAATTTGACTCTCTTTCCGTTAGTCATGTTGTGCAGTTAAGACAAAAAAAAAATGAGAAAAACTTGACCAATTCTTCAAAATAAAGCCAAAATTCTCAAGTTCGTAGCGAAGGGCATAACAGAAAATGAAAAACACCGGCGCGCAAAGTTTTAATGTGTAGCGATCAATGAATTTCGTGCATGTAATTTTCTTCGTCTCCCCTTCGCCCTCGCCTTCTCCCTTCGTTCGTTTTTCCGCGCTCGCCCTGGCGAAACGAGAACGGGAACGAACGCATCGCCATCGACGTGTTCGCCCCGGCGGCAAACACCCCACCGCACCCCCGCATGCCGGCGTCGGAGCCGCCACCCCTGCGCACCCACCCCCTCCGCCGCTTCCACTTTCCGCACTCGCGGCGATGGCGGCAGGCAGGCAGCGAGCGGGGTGTCGGGGCGGTGGTGCCGGGGTGTTGAGGGGGCGAGGCGGGCGGCTTAATATAAATTCGTCCCGTCCGCTCGCCTCTCTCCTTGCCTCGCACCCCGTCCCGCCGCCTACCGAGGGGTTAAATGAAAGGGTTTTCGCATTTCTTGTTTCTCTCTTCGCGCGGCGGCGTCTCACTCTCCGGCGGCGGCAGCGGAGCTCGTACGTACCCCGACCGGCGGCCGTGCACGTTCCGTTCGGCGTGCATTGATTTTCATAAAGTAAAAAGGGGCGCGCGTGCGTCGGGAGAAAATATATAACGAAGTAATCTACTAAATACTCGGGACGGCGGGAGCGAGCGCGCCGAGGGGAACGCCGAAGCGCTCCTTTTTATCGCCGAGGCCCCGAGACCCGACGCGGCGCAGCCGCCCCTAGTTTCAAATATTTTTGGGCAAATTTATTAGTTTTGTTCGTGCCTCGCCAACGCGTTCCCCTCACGCTCAGCCTGGCTCGATATTACCGAGAATAAATAACAAAGTTGCAGCGCGAGCAATTTCAATTTTACAACTAAAAAAAAAAAACGAAAGCAAGAAAAAAATCGACAGTATTATTACCTAAGCAACTACAACAAAATGGGAAATTTTCCAATCAGATTATTATGAAACAAAACGAAAGTTGCAAAGTCAACCAGCCGGAGGCGCAGTTCTAGCCTTCAACGAAATAAAATTATGAATGAAAAGACAAACAGCGCGCAAAAAACAAAGGGCGCATTGTTTTCTTTTAATTGAGAGCACTTTGGTGCCGCGGTGTTTCTCGCCAGTGGCAGCTGCGAGAGAAGAGGCGCAAAGAGGCAAGCTGCGCGCCGGCCGTTGGCAGGTACGGCGAGAAAAAGATATCTTCGGCCGGCCTGTAACCGTGCTGCCTGCCTCTACCTGGCTAGGCACTACTACATTTTTTATTGTTTCTGGTACGGCAACATTGCGGCAGTTCATATACCTGCGCCCGGCCAGAAAACCTGTTTGCCTTCGCGGACCAGATCCCGCGCCCGCCGAAAAGCGGCAGCCGCAGCGGCAACACACAACCGGCTTGAAACAAACGGCGAGAGCGGCGTTCGCTGCTCCGCGCGCACCATGGCGGGGTACGATGACGCCGAGGAGCGAGAACGACGAAACGCCGGTCCCTCTCGCTTCTCGACGCTGCCGAGCGCTCTTGTAGCAGGCGAGGAGCGCGAATCGGAAAAAATAACGCGGCGCGTTCTAAAATTACACCGAAACCTTCCTACTGGTTAGCGCTGCTGCTGCTGCGTGCGTAAACCCGCTCAGCCAGCAAGGCTCTCGACCGACTTCCAACTTCCTCAAAAACTCGGCTCTTCGTAGCATTGCCATCGCGGCCATTAGGTAGGTGGCTATTACGATGTGCGCCTGCCGCGCTCAAATGTTTGATTGCAACGTAAACACGTCGTCGAGTTGTCTGGCCCGACCACATGCGTGTTGTGTGATTGAGACGTGCGGCGCGCGTCCGATTCCGCATTCATCGCATTATATCTCGTCGCATTCATTGCTTGCTTACCTTCCATCTCTCTGCGCACTTCTTCGAGAACTCTGCGAAGACAACATTCTCCTCCGGGTGTTTCTTCTTGTGCTCCTCGCGGCACGTCTGGACGAAGAAGGCGTAGGCGGTCATACGGCCCCTCGGCCTCGCGTCGGCTCCCTTTCCTCGCGGCATTCTACCTTTGTGCGTCGGCGCGGGTGGATGATGCACCGGATGGTGGTTCTGCTGGTGCAGCTGCTGGGTTTGCTGATGGTTCTGGTGCTGCTGTTGTTGCTGTCGGTGCGCGTCGACGGCTTGCCTGTGCAATTCGTGCGCTTCTAATTGTTGTCTATGGTGTTCGGCTAGTTGCTGATGATGCCTTTGCTGAGCTTCAAAATTCGCTTGCGCTTGTGACTAGAAACAAAACAAATCACAAATTAAAAAAAAAAAATCATGCATATACATATCATAAACTTTGGATGTACAGAATGAGAAATCGCGCCATCGAGGGATGTTTTTGCTAATTCTTTCTAATTTCATGCAATGTCGCATACTCTCATCATTTCGTAGAAATTCCAATAAGCCATGGCGGCGTGCGGCGGATCGAAAATTTAATCGCGGCCCACGCGCGCTCGCGCTGCTGCCTGCCTTGCCTGTTGGCGGTGTTGGCGTGCTGCGAGCGCGTCTCTTTCGCCAGCGCCGTCCGTCCCTCTTCCGCGGTGCGCCCGACGCGCCGACGACGCAACCACGATCGACCCGACCGATTAAAACCGACGACGGCGGAGTCTTGTGCGCGCTTTGCGCCACCCAAACAACCAACAACGAACGAACTCTAGCGACGAGCCTGTTCGATGGGTGTTAATAAAATTTTAAGCTTTTATGAAACTAGTTCTTCCGCTAGTTTTTTATTTTTTAATTTCAAATTTTATTAGCGCCTTGCGACTTGATATTTGTCGCATTCCTCCCTCTAACTAGACCTAGTCAATCTGTATCTATTTAAAGAGAATAATTATTGTTCCTGGTCCGATGCTGTGTGCGCGTTTTTAAACCATGCCACCACGCCGCACCCAAAGAGCGCGCGAGCGACGCACACCACCAAAGCGAGCCACGACAAACGAACCGTGCGTCCGTCCAAGCCCAACCAACCCGAACCGAACCGTCCGACCGAGCGGCCAACAACAGCCGGCCTTACACACGCACATAGATACACCGACCGACCGACCACCTGTCTTGACCTCCAGCGAGTCGAGCAGATAATGACCCTACCGACTACTACCCGTACACGCGGGGCCCGGTGTTCGGCCGTTGCAACCACGGAGTGAAAATCCAACACGACAAAGAATACTCTACCAAGAGATGACCAAGTTGCATTCAAATAAAAATACAGAAAAAAACTATATATTAACCCTTACATGAAATTGACAAAACTGCAAGTGAATGAGACACGTTTCGTCATTTGATTCGCAACGGAAACAAATAAACAAAACAAAAAACGCAGCAGTTACGCGCATACCGCGCAATAAACGTAAAAATACTACGACGCTACACATTCATTGCAAAATCGGTTATCAAATGTTGGCCGGTTATAGTATGTGGGTGTGTATGTGTGTGGTGCTAGCTTGTGAAACAACGTTATCATCGCCCCGGACGATATTCGCTCATCGTGTGCATGCTAAGCGCGACGCTCCGGTGGTTAGCGCCGCTGGTCGCGCTTGAGAGGAGGATCCGAACAAAAACAACGGACATTTTGTTTTGGTTCGCGCGCGCTGTTTCCTTCGCCTTCGACGCCGCCGCCGCCACCACCGCCACATCAGATGGGGGGCGCGCGCCGGCTCTAATTAAAACAAAATAACGCCGACGTGTGCGAGGGGCGCCGCGCGGCTCCCCAGCTTAATTAATTTTGAATTAGGGCGCGCGCACACGCTCCCCTTTTCGCAGCACACAGCATCGCGCGAGATTCGCATAACATGGCGCGCGCGCGGCGCGGAATATTTACTCAAAACTTGCGAGAGGCAAAGGCACGAACACACCAACCCACACGGGCGGGCGGTTCACGCGTGTGCGTGCGGCTCGAAGCGATCGAATTCGTGCACACGCACACACCACACACACATACATCTACGGCCACGCGGGCTTCTTTGTGTGCGGCGCCTCGCTCGGCGTATGTTTATTGGCGTCGTATCGGCCCCGTCGATCGTGTGCTCTACACGCACACACCACCGCCACCACTGCCGCCACCGAGTGGAACCGAACGAACACCCCGCAAACGCCCGAAGATTAAAAATATAATTTCGTTATTAGTATGCGCGTCGCGACGACTACACGCTGCGTGCCCCTATCGCCAGGCGAGGCCGGGCCGCGAATACGCGCGGCGTAGATTCGCGACGCCGCCGCCGTCGGCGACGCAAAATGCCGCGGCGGAGCGCGCCGCGCGCACGGAAATGCAATATGTCAGCAGTGTGGCGGCGGCAAGAAATCAAAACAAAACACGATCGCTCGCCAGCAATAACAACAATCACGCGTGCAAGCCGCACAGCGGGCCGGCCGCATGCGTGTGCACGTTGCTAGCAACAATCGAATAAATATGTAATGTACGTACCACTGGAGGGGGAGTATGTACAGATTGCATGGTTTGCATATTAGGGGGTATGTTATTCTGCAGATTGTTCTGTCCGTTATTTTGCATATTGTTACTTTGCATTGAATTGTCCATTGCACTAGGATACGATGTCCACCATTGCGCGGCAGGCGCGGGCGCGTTCATCGCCGGATTGCCACCGGCCATGCCGCCGCCGAGCCGGTAATCGTAGCCGCGAATGCCGGCGGCGCCGACGGGGCTCGTGGAAGACACATTGGATATCGTCGTCGCCGGATTCTGGAAGCTGCTGGCCATCTTATACGAGAAGATCTGCTCTTGCTGCGTGGGCGCCGCCTGCGTACCGACGGGGTGGCTCTGTGCCTGCGGAGGCGGCGGCTGCGGCATGCTCTGAGACTGCATCATCTGGTGGTGCTGCAGCGTCTGCTGGTCGGCGGCGACCGCGCCGGGCCACCACATGCCGTCCTCGCGCGCGCCCCAATTGGCGCGGTGATGGTCGGACATGGTGGTGCGCGGTGGCGGCTGCTGCTGCTGACTACGCGCTTGCTTGGTGGCGGCTGGGGGCGCGTGTGCGACTATCTTCGGCGACTAGGGGTTAGGGGGCTGGAGTCGCGGTCTTCACGCCGACGACGCCATGACCGCCCGCTCGTAAAAGAAACCCACAGCGGTGCGCGGCGCTCACCATGCACGACGAACGATCCGCTTGCTCTCGCTTGCTGGCCTTCTTGCGGCGCACGTACTTTTCAAAACAAAATGGCCAATCCTGGCACGGTCGTCGCGCTACTTCGCCCGCTCGCTCGCACGCACCACACTCACTGAACGGACGCGCGCCGCTTGCGCGAACCCAAAAACAACGCAACTATTTTTAATTGAATGGAGCCGAAAACGGAGCGCGCTGCGTGTGCCGTCGCCGGACGGGGCACAAACAACAAAACGGGCGCACCACTCGCGATCGCGACTCTTACGACCGACGGAAGTTGCGACCGGCAGACGCGATCAGTGTTTTTGTACGAATCGGCTGCGAGCGCACAGCCGCGGTCCACATATCTCCGAACGTGCAGCAGTTTCGCGGATGCCGCACCACTATTCGAAGCACCCGGTCACAATTCTCTATCAATCGCGTACCACCCGCACCAATATTCAACGATATTTAACGCAGCGAGAGCCGACTGAAATTCTCTCCTCTCACTACCGCGCCGAGTGCGAGCCGCTTGCTTGCGATCTGGCAACACGGTGAGGCAACGGGGGACGCCAATACTCCGCCGCCGTAGCGCCACCGCACGCAGCGGCCGCAAGCCGAAGCGTCCGACCGCCCGTCCCTCCCCGCGCGCGCGCGCGCTGCTCGTAGCGAGCGATGCCCCCCGATGCCCCGCCCCGCGCTCCTCGCTCAATAAGACATTCCCAGGGTCTGCCGACGCGAGCGTCGTACGTGACGGGGCGAAGCGGGGCGCCGCACGCCGATGCCATTAACCCACACAAACGCACCCGGCCGCCGCTCACCAGCACCGAAAAGACGCCCGTGTGTTGGTGCGTGCCCCTCGCTTCGACCCGACGCCGAAGGCTTCTACGCCACGCCGTTGTTTCAAACAAGCGACGCACGCGGCCGCCATATGCACACGCCGTTTTCAAATCTCATACAACCGCCACCATTTTATTTTCGCCCAGCAGTTTTCATCCTCTTGGTAAATCTTCATCGGCCGAAAGTACGATGAACAATTCAATGCAAGTAACAATATTTCAGCAATATACCCCCTCTCAGCATCTATGTTACATTCGAATATTCAATACGAAAAACCTTGTTTAAAAAATACGACGCACAACGATGACCGTTATTTTGCGCGCGTAGTATACAACGCCACCGCAGCATCGCGAAAAAAGTTCGAAATAGAATCGATACCAGCGCGCTCTCCCTGCGGTCTACAATACCATGGGAACGCAGTTCGCGCCGACGATCAATAGATGGCATTACTTGTACAGCGCCTTCCAAGAACCACACGACGGGTGGTATTTGAAAACTTCGACGAAACGAACGACAAACTTCACACAACCGCTGTCAAAAGCAGGTAGAAAAATCACGACTTAGAAAATCATGCGTTTTGCTTTCGCCAAAATTCGGAAAACGCGCGGCAAACATCGACTACCGCCATTGCTGGCGTCGTGTGGTCGGCGAATGCAAACAACATGGACGCGAGAGAGAGAAAACAAAACGCAGTCGCGTTAAAAAGCAACGGCAGCGAATGCACTTGATGGCTCGCGAGCTTCATTCGTTCGTTTCGTCGAAATTCCCGGCGCACAACAAACATATAGAACATGTAATATTGTAATATGTAAACTACGTACAAACTACACACACAGCACATAAATATAAATATAGCATGCATACATTCACACTGGTCGAGAGCGCACGATTCGATTACGATGATGTCGGTGTATGCGTGGTCGGTACTCCAACGGACAAACAAAACACACACACACACACGGCGAATTGTAAATATCATATAATAACGTAATTCAATACGCGCGCGCGCGTTGCATTGCTTATAAATGCATTTAATCCGATACGTTGTTGCAGCTTGCACGAAAACTCCACGAAAAAATAAACCGGCACAATGCGTAAAACAAGCGACAAACAACGGGCGAATATCGAAACCACGCCACAATGTTTATCCGCCGTTAAGCGTACGCAACTGTGTGATGTAAACTTATCGCGCGGGCGCGAAATTCGAAAACGCGCGCTGCAATATTCAAATCCGCCGTTACTATGACAACGCCAAAGAGGTTAGGACTTTGTTTATGCGCTAAGTCTTGCGCCAACCACCGGCGTCTCACGGGCACGCATCACAAAGAGATAAACCGCTTTAAAATTGCCGATATTTACCTTATTTGTAACCCGTGCTGCGTGGTATGTCCGTGTGTGTGTGATCGACTGGCACGTTAAAACATTTGGCGGCAAATGCGGTGAACGCACGCACTCCACACACAACAAACACACATATCCACGAGACGAGACAGAGAGAAACAAAACGCGCGCGCGTATGCTACTATACTTCAAAGCAGAGAGCAATCGGCGAAACAACTGACGACGACGTCCAACAACGACGGACTGAGACGCTTCGAACGCTATTACGGATATACGCGGTCTATAACGCCGGCTTGCGTTGTGTGTGCGGCGCGGATACGCGGAGAAAACGGTTACCGAACGAAACGAAATACTGCACAATGTACGGCTTTGACGCGCGTATGCGTGTGTACAAATATACTAAGTATGCCGCATGCATGCGACGTGCACGTTTACGCGCGCAATCTTCGTGTGTGTGTGTGTGTGTGTGTATGTCGCCGTGGAGAGCGCGCGCACTTAGATGTGTGTGTGTGTGTGGGAGCCGTAGAAGTTGCTTGTTGAAGTGTATACGTACCGATCGTGTGCGGGTTGAGCGAATATGCGATGCTAAGCACTGTGCGAGCCGTGGTGAGCGTCGGGTACTGTGCACTGGCGTATACTGTACTACTGCTAGCTGCTTGCTATGGTGCTATGGTGCCTTGGCTTGCCTGCGCGCTGCCTGCCCGCTCTGCCCTGGCCGTACGTACGTATCAATGCTACGCTTGCGAGCCGAGCAAACGAACCGACAGACCCACAGCTAGCACCACTCAATGTCTATGTGTGTGTGTGTGCCTGTGCTGTGCACAAGGGGCCTACGTTGCTATGCTCGATCTGTTTAGATGTGTATGTGTGTGTGTGTAAACGCTTCGCATTTGTTTCAGTATGCTATGCCGTATGCCGTGTACTAGCCGTTTGTATACGTTGGGTATGGCCGCAATGGCCGCTTGCATGCTATAGGACGCGCCGATGCCTTGAATACTATATACACCTATATAGCGTGCGCTGCGATGGGCCCGCAATGGCGCGCGCGCGTTTTCTAGAAGCCGTTTCCCGTCCGAATTCCCCTCGTTCGACCAACGTCATCAATGAAACACCCGATGGAAATTGAGCGCCGAGGGCCTGGGGCCCGCGAATGTGGGCCCCATCGCCGCAAACCGAGCGAAAATGCTAAAATCGCCGGCCGCCCAACGCCCGACGCTTGCCATGCACGGCACGGCGGGCTTGGCGTGCTACATGCATTGCCTCCAATGGACGTCCTATGCCGTGTATACAGCGCTGTGGCGTACGCGTACAAACCATATGAACAAAGCAGTCCGCGACTTTACGAATAAATTTCGACATCTTCCCGTCGCCGAATAAACTCGAAATTATGCCAGAACACGCCCAGGAAAATCAGTAATCGGTGATAATTATGTCAGAGTTATCCACCGCGCGGTACGCTGGGTAAAAATTAATTTCGACGCGCTTGTCGTCTCACCAATGCTTTGCTTATGGCAGCCATTTGCTATGGCTTGGCATAGCCCGTATGCGGTGTATACGCGCTGCCGTGCTCGCCCGCCGTTCTAAAATTCGACGCCGCGCCACGAATAAAGCACTTTCCACGCACACCGATCACCCGAAACAATAACACATCTTAACGCAATCACTACATTAATTTCTCATTCTGTGACAACTATCTACTTAGCGAAATTTAACGAAAAATTCTTACCTGATCAGGCCTCGCACTAACTGAAGATAGAGCTTTGTATATTCGGTGACCCCACGCCACTTGCGCTCGGAACAAGAGTAACCATAGGGTCCGCCGCGCGCCGCCGCGATTGGCTCGTTTCGAATTTGCCGCACAACGCCAGCCAATCGCAGACGCACGCCGTCGTTTCGCTCACGATTCTTTTTGACAGCCAATAACATTTTCAGTTGCGCAATACGGCACGGCAAGTGTGTTTTTCAGCGTTTGTCGGTTAAAACGCGACGATTTATGCATATCCTAAGTTACCCACATTATCAATCTAATCATAAACGCCATCATCAGACGAGAATCTGCAAAAATAAAGCATTTGTCGGCGATTTTCCGTGTTGTGGACACATTTGACGCCGCATGACAGCCGCGTTCGGGCATACACGAGCGGCGACTTCGGGAGTTTTTACGCGGCCCGCTCGATGCGAACACGCACACCATCACAGCACACACATTATACGTACACGCGGTCGTCGTCGCACACCAAACACCACGCCGGGATGCATGCCGCGCCGCGCGCGTCGAGCCAGCGACAACAAGCATCGACGGCGCGGTGGGCGCCCACTTCGCGCTCGCACCGAATTCAGCTGATCGACGTTGCGGGCTCGTAGAGTCCGCGTTGCTTTGTTTCGTGGCATAAACAAATCGTATCGTTACCGCATATCAACAGATAATCGCCGAAAACAAACACAGTGTGAAACTTCCACCCGGCGTGCACCTCATTGACAAAAGCGCATAAATCGCGAGTGATAACAGTTTGATGCGATCCAGCGTGTTTCGGATGCATTTTCATCGTCATCTTCCATTGGGGTAGCGAAGTTTGTAAGCATGTGAGGTCACGTTGGTTCTGTGATCGCACGTGCACGACGCAACAGTATTATCGCGACGATTCAGTGCAATTTCTCCAAACAAAAAAAAAAGTAAAAGACTTTGATGCAACATGAACGGCTTCAGTGCCGGTGAAGAAGACTCGCAGGGTCCGTCGGACCACACCTGCTGCTTGATCGAGACCGGCGTGCGGTGCACGCGGCCGGCCGGTAATGCCGCATACAGCAACAAAATCGGCAAGTTTGTCCTGCAACGACGAATGCCACTGAAACCTGACACTACAGTAAGTTTACAATGTGAAACATATGTTTATAATCATAAATTGACGGTTTAAATCAAAAACAAGATCTGATTATGTTATTTTTGTGTGTTTAGGCTAAACATTTTTACATTTGTGAAGACCACAAGCGACACATTCATCAAGCACGTTGCAAACGACGACGGAAAGACTCCGAGGATGATAGCAATGAGACTGATACTGATATACCTGAAGTAGACTTGTATCAGCTCCAGGTGAACACTCTGAGAAGATACAAGCGACATTTTAAAGTCTCGACGCGGCCCGGACTTAATAAAGCACAAATGGTTGAGGTAGTTATTGAAAACTTATAAAATAATTTAAAAAATATTGAATTTTCTCGTTTTAGACGTTAATGGAGCACTTCAAATCAATACAAGTGAAGGAAAAGGAGGTCCTGACATTCTTCATCTACACTGTGAAGACAAACAACAATAAACTCGACCAGAAGAATGGTCTGAGCGGCGAGAATACGTAAACTTAACTTCACGCTAGTTTTCTACCGTTTTTTTTACGTAAGAGAACCCTTAAAATATCAAATTAATTTATTGCGGATTGTAATCCGTCGAATTTACAATTTTTCAATGCTTAATTTGTTGAAATATCAATTAATTTTTTAATTGAATCGTTTTACTTCATGATTTACTTCTGCTTATATTTTTATGTGTTGATATTCAATGAAAATGACTGCAATGATGTTTTGAAATTCAAGAGTGTATACCAACTGACGAACAAATGATTACTTATTTTCCATAACATAACGCCGAGTATTTTCCGCAAATATATTATGTAAATATATAGTAATACACTTACTTTCGACGACCTTTTGTCTTTTTTGTTAGTTTATCCGCGTTTAGGACGATTGTTGTTTCTTCTTCGCTGTCGCTGGTGTCCATTGCTAGTGTTTGTTTGCCTTTTTTCGCTCTTTGCACTAAAACAAAATAAAAATTATTTTATTACATAGAAAATTAGTCTGAATATCATACATTTCGCATCTTCTTCCATTGGAATAAGCTCGATATCAGGTTTAACGTCTTCTTCATCATCATCTTCAGCATCACTATGTAAATCCCATTTGTTGTCTTCTGTGTGCGGTGGCACTAACGCTGCGCTTTGTTTATTTATCTGTTCGACTACAGCTGGCATCAAACATTCTTTTTTGATTGTGTTTTCGGCGTTATCAGCATCGGTTTTTTCCTTCATCGCTCGCTTTTTTGATGTTTTTGTCGTCCAGGTGTTGAGATATTCGCTTAGAGCCAAGCGGTCTTTTTCATTATCGACGGAATCATCAAAGAGGTAACTTCCGCTAAATCCGGCCTGTTTACCTTCTTGCCGTGCTTCGGTATCTTCCGCTAGGGATTTTTTGATTAGGCTGATGACTGTGTTCGCTCTGGTTGCGGCCCGGTTTGTGGTTTGGAGGATTTGCTCGGGGGACATCATCGCGCTGCCGGCGAGGTGGAAACCGCAAAGTTCTTTGTAACTGTTGAGGCCTATCGTTAGCTGGGCTTCAGAGACTTGGTCTTCGAGGAGGGTAGGATCCGCAAGGATAATATCCCTCAAAAATTCATGTATTTAAGTTAAAAACAACATAATTTGATGGAAAAAGTGCGGTAAATAATGTTTTTCTTTATTTTATTTATACATGATATTGAATAACATTTTTTAGTTCGAGTTTAACTTGTTTCGCTTTGATAGAGTCGTCTAAAACTTGTTTTTACATTAATTTATCTTAAAATTGTTTTTAAACGATGTCTTTGATGTGAAACATGTTAAAATCGAACCAATAAATGTAATTCAATATACACATAAATAAAATAAAGGTTTTTAAAGGTTTCCTTACCCATTATTAAATATTGCATAAGAAACACAAACAGGATAATGATGTATAACAGTAGGAATTGAATCCCTTTGTGCATAAGTATGAATAATAACCTCTTCTCCATCACAAGTAACATCAGGCCGTCGAAAATGCGCTAAAGCTGCAAGTGCGGCTATAGATGCTGCATCCACAATATTTCCTTCATCATTCAATACATTACAGTCAACTCTGAATGCCCAAACTTTCTCATTGACTTTTATACACAATGATTCCAAGTCAACTGCTTTTGAGTCTTTTATACACTTCTCCAGCAGTCTGTTTAATTGTACAGACAAATCTGATGGCCTACCCACTTCAAATTGAGGTGCTGCCAGTGGTGACAACTCCAAATTTACATAGAGTATACCTTCGGATGGTCTTGTTGACTTTGGGACTTGTACTTCACAGGAAACTTGTGCCAACACCCTAGAGATAATAATTTTGTAATTAATAATGAAATATTTGCTGATTCGAGCATGTTTTTGGTTGGTTATGGGTGATAATAGGTTGTTACTCACTGGGTCTTTCCCAAAGCCACATGGCATGAACCCCAGTCACTTCCAAATTGAATTTTGAGTTCTCTGAACTCATCAAAGGCGCGTCCATCTACTCGCTAATGAATGAAAATATTATTGTTGTATTATATAGAAGGTGAAAAGTGTGAGACGGGACTTACTAGATTTTCTATAAGGCAATCTTCGGTGAATTTCTTTTCGTTGTTGGAAACTGTTGCTTCTCGAAACTTGGACATGTTTATATTTGGTTATGTTTAGGTTTTGTTTCATGTGCGTGATTGTAGGGAATTTGTTTTCTGCCCTAAAAGTTTATAAAGTTTAAAATCTTTAAATTTTAAATTAATGCATATTTAACAACTATTGAACATTATTAGCTATTGTTGCCAATATAACTATTAAATTTTAGATATTTCTTTAATTTCCAGGTGATTTATCTTTAATAACTACGTTTTTTTTATGTTTTAACCAAATTTATTGCAAAATCATTTAAATAATTAGAATAAACGTTGTAATACTAAAGATATCTTTAGCATTAATATAATAACAAGTTTAATTTAACATTTTTATTAAAATAATTCTGTTTTGGTTTCAAAAATAATCTTATGTTAAATTAAAAAAATGAAAGCGATAATAACCACAAAGTGCGCACAATTTAAATCACAACTCACTGTTATAGCGTAAGTAGCTAGCAATATATCGCACACTATTTAATTTCTTACCTTGAATTGCGCGTGACAAATAATTCACACCGATTTATCCATTCGTGTTGTACTTTCAGGTGACAACGTGGTGTGTGCACGCCGAGAGACGAAAACATAAACAAAGGTTAGGCAGTGATACACGGAATTCGAGCGCCGCAAAACTTGCATGGCAATCAACAATCAGCATGTTTGAGGCAGAATAGATTGTGCGGTTCCGCTGCTAGTTCAAATGCCTAGCAATCGTCGCATCGCATACTGGATGTCGGACAAAAAGTCCCAGAAAGTCAACTGGGATGAGTTCGAACGTGTTTGTGCCAAATATGGCTATGAACTTTTCAAGGTAAATATATAACAAATTTACATATCTACTATATAAAGTTCATCACGAATATTTATAATAAATAAATTATAGGTGGACCTGAACAATCCTCTTCATAATCAGGAGCCATTTACTGTCTTCCTGCACAAATTGACTGACATCATCGCTTCAGCTATTTGTGGAGATGAAAATGTAAGTTTTTCAACAGAAAAAAACAGTTTTATTGTTGTGTAACACAAATGATCATTTGTCACATCGGGATTAATAATTTTACTTATGATTCATTTCAGAGTATCATGATAATCTCTTCAATAGAATCTTATTTATCAGTGAAGCAAGATGTAATCGTCGTTGATCCCATTGATAAACTCCGCCAACTTCTAAACAGATATGACTGTTACAACATGATTAAATCCACAGATCTTCATCGCTCCGGCATTTTCACGCCAAATTTCTGCCAAATTACTTCAAAAAGCGCCAAAGACATTGCAATTCAGTTGAATGAAGCCCAAATAAGCTATCCGTTCATTTGTAAACCTATCTTGGGCCATGGATCGAAGAGCGCGCATGAAATGATGCTTGTATTCAACGCAGACAACCTAATTGACTGTCCGGTGCCGTGCGTAGCGCAGTCTTTTGTCAACCATGACGCTATTTTGTATAAAATATTTATTATCGGCGCGGCGCATTACTATGTGCAGCGGCCATCGCTGAAAAACTTTTACCCGAGTGACTGCGAGTCAATTCACTTCGATAGTGCGCACATTTCGAAAGCTGGCGCAAAGAATGTGCTCAATAAATTGGATCCGAATGAAGCGACGGCGCGGAATGACATCCTACCTGATACCAATGTGTTTCAACAGATTGTCACCACGATTCGGGATGCATTTGGCATGGATCTACTTGGAGTTGATGTTGTGATTGAGAATACTACTGGACAGTATGCTATTATTGATGTCAATGCTTATCCCGGTATTTTTAAACTTTATTTTACTTAAATTCATGATTTGATTTAATTTCTTGTTATTTTTATTTAAGGATATGATGGTTGTCCGGACTTCTATGAGCATTTATTAAAGTGTATTGATGCAAAAGTAACATCGAGAACTGAACAATCTAATGAGAAAACCGAGAAGACTGATAAAAGTTGTGAGTGCACGTTACATTCGGACACGATAACCAGTGAGAGACAGTTTTTAACGTCCGCTACCGTTTGATACGATTCTAGGACTTTTTCAAATATTTTATACATCTATTAGGTGTCTATTTATCTACACCTGTCTATTTTACACGTTTAGCTTGTAAGAAAACCAATTTACCTCTGTTTGTGTTGAAATTTGGTAGCGTTTGCATTCGCTGAATTTTTACACTTTTAATTCCAACTTGATATGAAATAAGTCTTGAATTGTTTCCTGTACTTAAGTTTTTTAAGTTTTTATTTAATTTTTAAATGTTTATTCCATATGAGATTAAAAATAAACGCGGTTCTAATGATAAAACTTTGTAAAATTTGAAACCTAAAGATTTACTTCTACATAACCTCAATAAAGTGTTTGCAAACATTTATCATCTCAAATAAACTTGATAAAAACATGACTGAAGAAGATATTATGAGTAATTTCATGAAAGAATACAATGAAATACGTAAAAACGCAAAATTGCTGCATTTTACTGACGCTGAAATCGATGAGATCTTCCTAAATGGTTTAAAACATGTCAAAACACCCAAATCTACAACATTTACAAAAATTACCAAAATTATCCTTAGTATTGTGTTAATTTCACTTGTGATTTATGTATTACTCTACATACATCAACCCACATCAAGTTTAGTCCTCCGAAACGTGCAGAGTTTCATCTATCCAGGCTTTAAAGTGATTAGAAACCTTGGTATTCCAATAATTTCTTTGTTTCCTGCACTTACAGGTAAATTTAAACGCTTTTAATAAGAATTCAATGCATAATATGTTAATATTTTTATAGCACTATATGATGAAACATGCCTAGTAGAAAATCCATACTTCCATGTCACTAATTTGGACTGTTATCCATGTGAACATGTTCATTCAGTGATAAACCTCACTGGATTATCCCTAAATCATTCATTTTACGAGAGTGGAACACCGTTTGTAATAAATGACCAAAGAAACTTAGTATTTTTTGCAGATTTAGTCAATCTGTATCAAGAAAATTCAATTATTTTCGACCAAAATGCGCCTTGGATGATCACATCAAACAATAAAAGCTTTAAACACATTGGAAATGTGTTAAACAATAATAATATACAATTCAGCAAAGATAATTTTGTTCATTGGCGTATTAATCGTATGTTACCAGCGAGAATCATAAGGAAATTATTCCCACGTCCGAGTTTTATTAGTGAATGGTCCGGACAAAGCATAGAAAGATACGTTTTGATTGACGGACCAAAAAGTCCAGGATATTCACTACCAAGCTTTGAATGCAGCTATGTTTTCGTCGTCCAAGGATCTGGGGAACGCGATATTATACTGGAAGCTACGCCAGAGTGTAAAGACAACTGCAGACGAATTCCAATTAGGTTGAAACCTTCTTATATTTGTAAGTTTTTTTTTACAAAACCTGTTTTCTTTGCGAATTAGGCTTAAATGTGACCTGCTTAACATTTAATAGCACTTACACTGATGGCAATCATTAATAAATATGGTAAATGCCGTCGTCAGACTTAAATACTTTTAAAATTAAGCTTAATAACTAACAACTCATGTTTTTTCATACTGAAATACGTAAAATTTTACCGAACGTGTTGATTACGCACGTTTGAAATTATAATTTTAAATTTTTATATACTCATATCACTGATGAAGTTTGAGTTGATATCTTTTTCTCTTTCATTAGTTTTCGAAACTTAGTAATAAATATTTAGCACATTTGGTTCTTTGTTACGCCTAAAACTATGTGAGTTATCTAATTTTGGTGTATTCCATATTCCAGTGTGGTACAACTGGTGGTACTGGAAACCGTTGAGTCTACCGGCCGAGAATTCCACCAACGTCTCCATCAGCTACGTTAGTTCGCACTGTTTGTAGTTCATATTGTGCTAGTCCTCTTATCTTAATAATTATAATTTCATACAACCCACTAACGTTTCGCTCATTTTGTTAATCATGTACATTGTACACATAAATGCAAATTCATTCGACGTAACAATAATCACTTTCACAATTCCACGAACAAACAAAAATAATAATTAAACAAAAATATAAATTCTTGAACAAAAGAAAGACGTTTGCAGTCGAATTGAAACTTCTCTGAAAACGACTTTGGACGTGGAAAATTTATAACATTAAAATAAATTTTTCTTAACAATACCTTCAATCACTCAATTTTACTCAAATTTCTTTCGTAATCTGTCTTTGAAGTAAATTGGCAGGAGTGCAACGAAGCCAAACGCTATTAATAAAGACATAGACGTCCAAGACACTTTTGCATCATCAGCAGACATGCTATGAAGTGTTTGTCCAGCTTGCAATGCAACAAATGATGGCGGCATCACACCGAGCAATGTGCCTAAAGCGAATGGTCGCAGAGGCACGCCGATGACAGGCGCTGTGAGGTTGATAAACCAGTTGGGCAGGAAAGGCGTCACGCGCAGGAATATCACATAGTTGAGCAAATTGTCGCTGTGTTTCGCGACGGTGGTCCCCCAGGCGGCTGCCTTCTCCGGGAAATATTTGTAGATGATACGTCTGCCCAGCAGATGCGAGATGAGGAAACAAAGTGATGCTCCTACTGCCGAACAGGTTGATACTAGGAACATCGCCTGCGGAAACGAAAATAGAAACCCAGAGAGCACCGAGAGGAACAGTGATCCAGGAATTGCAAATGTTTGCAAGCTAAAATACGTCTAGTTAAGGAAAAATGCTAAAAAATGTTAAAATTATGAACTTTGCATTGTTTACGATGTCTCCTAATAACTAATTCATAACTCATTAAATTAAATATTCATAGATAAATGAGTTTCACAACATATTACGCGTTGTTGAGGCAATTGTCGTTAAATTTTCATGTTTAAATGAATTATTTGCTTTTAAAAGGATACAATATGTACATAATACTGACACCAAAGTAGACATGGTAGAAATGATCGCCTTTGTAGCGGTATAATACAGTTCCTAAGTTTTTAGCATCTTCTAAGTTCCATGGAATCTTTATATGTTGCTTTTCCTCCCTAAAAACACAAAATATAACATAAAAATCCATAATTTCTTTGTTTATTATAAGTAGGTACTTACTCTTGTAACTCAGGAAATCCATTGTAAATCCACCAGAGGACAGCTAAAGTAGTAATGAAAATGCCCCCCAGGGCTATCACAGAAGTTCTTGTTGAATCACTTTGCTTCTTCAAAGAATTCACATCTAAAATCAATCAAAATAATAAATGCAGATTAATTTGATGCATGTAAAAGTGATTTACACCCAATTAATGATAAAGCAAACTTACACCGTGCAAATAAAGATCTTTCAGGGGATAATCTACGCCCGTAAAATTGTTCATTGTGAGGATTGTTAGTCAGGATGTGAGCACGAGTACGATACGACATTCTACCCTCAGGATAGTGCATATGCAAAAGCGATTGCGAGTAATAATCACTCGACGAGGAGATTTCGGTGGATTGTACGTAATAATCACCTTGTACATGTTGTCTGGTAACCATTGTTGCTTCCTTTTGTATGCACTTGTTCAAATGATTGTTGTTTTTCCTCCCTTTTGGTGTCTAATAGGATGTTGCACTAGTTTTAGAATTTAGTTAACATTGAACAGAATTTTCACGGCGTTTTAATTTCAGCAATTGTACGTTATTGCTGTCTCATTGCGAGTGTGAGCGTTCGAACTGCGACTAGCACAAGTCGATAACCGATTTTGAAATAATTTGCGCTCGTGGATTGTGGTTATTACAAAGTGACGTAACGTGCGTGGCACTCATTGGATACTGATTCAAGATAAGAATCAAATGATTCGTTGATTCAGAGTCTCATGATAGAAGCACTCCCACTCTTCTTTAAAATGGCAAATCATCAGTTTATCGTAGGCAACTTCTTATACACCAAAATGATGGCGCATTACATATTTCGCTTCCACAGGTAACATTTAGACATTTTTGTATGAAAACACGACAAAAAATTTGTTTATGTTATAGATGAACTTTATAATAAGAAGTATAGCTAGGTACAAATTACTTTTGTCGAATTGTTGCAATACGCATGATTAACATGTTTGAAGATACCAATGCGCCAATTATTTAAGAGAAATCAACCATTTAGCGCTTGCCTGTAAAAGCACACGAAATTGTATGTACAATCTATGGCGATTGGGGGCGGTCGGTACGTTGGTTTTGGTTGATCGGAGGATGATTCCTAAAGAGAACGGTTAAATATGCAAACACAATTTAAGCGACAGTCAAACCAAACATTCATCCCATAGAACTCTCGAATCATTTGTGTGACAGTACAGCTAGAATCTAAATTTCCAGGATTATATATTGAAAATTCTCTAATATTTACAATAATTTGTAAATTTCTAATCCAGTAAAATTACGTCAGTATAAAAGTATCTATATAAACTGAAAAACACTCATAATTTATTTATGTGCCAAAAACTAGAATGAATTTAAAGTTTTGAATCAAACTCGAAGAAATTGAATGACTAGGCTAGCAAATAACGAAAAATTCAAGCCGCCTCATAGGTAATAATCAAATGAATCAAACATCATTAATAGAATCGATGAATACTTACGAACCTTGTACTCTTTTACCTCTTGCCAACCTCGCACACATACACACAAACAAAACCCACCTACCATCAGTTGCGGTAGCCACCCCTGTAGCCGCCGCGCCCTCGCCCTCCTCTATACCAGCCGCCGCCACGCCCGCGTTGGAAATTCTGACTGAACTTACCACTCGGCGGCGTGTAGATCTTCTTGTCGCCGGTGAAGCCGCCGCGCTTCGCATTTTGATGGGACGCGCCGTTACTACTATTTTCGAACGTGATCGGCACGTGCCGTTTATTCCCGACCGCCGCAACCGCCTCCACCACAGGCTTCTGCTCCGCCGCCGCCTTCGCGGACGCCTCCTCTTTTTTGGTAAACGAAAGTGTTATCTTGCATTTGTAGACAGGCGGCGTGTAAAATAAGTCTTTGACAAGCGTTTGAATATTCGTGAGCAGCTGCGGGCACATCTCGCGGATACGTTTCTCTTCGGCGTTGAATACTTTATCCGTGGCGTTGAGGCTCAACACCTTTTTGCAGCCCTGTATGCCGCGGGAGAAATACAGTAATCGCGCGCGGAAGTCTTTCAAACGTGCTGGGTCTTCAGTGAGGAACTCTGGACACTGACGGGCAAGCGCGTGGAATGCGCAGAGCAAAGATTCGACGATGGAGAAGTTGAACTCGGGCATTTCGTTGCTGGATGTGTTCTCTGGTGGTTGCGGCATGTACAACTAAACAAAAATTAGCTTAAAAAAAAAAACAATTTATAATAGATCTGATTAATTTACCTGTAATACATTAAAGATGGTCTCAACTTGTTTCGTTGGATTTTCCAAACTGCCGCAAAACGGTGCCATTATCGCCAATTGCTGTGCAATACCTGTTTGATATTGAATTCCGTTATTCAAAGCGCCGATCGCCTCCCATTGATCCAAAACTTTATCGCAATAATATTTAACTAACTGTGTTGATTCATTTTTAGCCTGTATACAAACAAATAAATCAAATAAATAAATCGCATTAATTAAATTAAGGAAATAAATCTTACAGAAAAAAATGGCAAGATAAATTTGACGCAAGTTACAAGACGATTTGTGAAGTGAGCCTTTCCATTCGCTTGATACGGCTTAAAGTCCTTGTCAATTTCGATCTGCTGCAGAATAATTTGAGTGATTTCCTGTTGTCCAACAAACGACTTTACTAAATTCGTTGATACCAAGTAACTTATTAGCAATACAAACTCGTCAGCAATACAATTCTGAAATAAATCATTTTTGTTAATTTAAACACAAATTTAAATGTGAACAATAACTTACATTTAATGCAACTTTAATATTTGTAATCATCAAATCCTGAACCTCAGTAGTCATTATACTGGAATCTAATTGTTTAACTTTTGTCAAAATAAACTGAATACATCTATATCTCGCAATGGGTAGCAGATCTGGACTTTGAATGATCAGAAATACATTATTTATGACTGATACTGGATCTTTCTTCAATACTTCATAGAAAGCATTGGTAGCACATGTCTGTTCAGTGGGATCATCAACTCCCAGCATTTGTCCCATCACTTCAGTGATTTTCACCAGATGAGATAATGTGTCATTGCAAAAAGATGGAAGAGCTTTCATTGCACCAATTCGAATCTAAATATTAATAGAACAATTATTTTTATGTTGTGATAAATCTAGTTATAAAAAAAAACATACATTTTTGTCTTCATCTTCACACAAGTCAAAGATTGCACTGAGAGCTTTTGATTGTTGTGCTGGGAAAGATGAAAAGAATGTTTTGATAATATCTGTGCTAAGTTTCTTTTCCTTTGGACCAAGCCGTGTTGCCTTGATAACTTTTTCATATTCCTTTGAATGCTGCACAAACAGAAAGTTGATATTATTTGTTTATATAAAGATATGAATCGTGGCTTTGCATTTTTGACTTCGGTACAGACTCCATCGTTAACGTAGCCAGCGATTTAAGGTTAGGTGAAGCCGATAGCGTCCGCGCGTGTTATTTTAACCGCTTATTACCTCGGAGATTTTGTCGCCAGCATCTTTGAGCGTGTTGTAGATATCGTAAAGCTCCTCGACGTTCATCTTCGTTTGGTTGATCGTGTAATTGGGCCAAGTTCAATTCACTACTGGAGGAAAAATTGTGGAATAACAAAAATCGCGAACTAGTTACGCTCAGCGCCGCACGAAAATGCGATGATTGAATGCGGTGATTTGTGGGAGTGAATTTCTAGCTTCGGGTAACTTCGGCTTGGAAATCCTCCTAGTGGTGAAATAATGCACTACAATAAACAGTTTGGAAAATCTCCTATGTTAAAATTAAATAATTTGTTATTATTTATAGCGTTTTATATTGTTATTAACGATTTAAAATAAAGTTAATAATAATATAATTAAATTTTATATTGTCCGCTTCGTGGTTGTGTGTTGTCGTGTATTATCCCCATTCCTCGTGCTTCATCGGGATTACAGCACTGACAAGTGACAATCGCCGTATTTGTGGTGGTTGGTTGGGTTTGTGTTGGTCGGTGTCGGTGTTATCATCATGGGTTGTTTTACAGCTGTCAAAAAATGATGCGACCACGATAATGGAGTCGACGATATTCGAAAGGAATTGCAGTGAATATTTCGCCGATTCGCACACAACCCATGCTATGGATTAGCAGTCGAAATATGGTAAGAGTGACGCACACATCAGCCGCGCGCGCCCCGGCTCACCAGCAACACCCCATAACAGAGATAGCGCCCACCAAAAAGGGGCGCTCATTAGCCACTTTCTCGCATGTTACCAATGCTCTTTAACTAAATTTTCATCAACGATTCGAGAGGAATGAATGCGTACATGGTTTGTTTGTTTTAGGGTGCCAACATTTCCCAATTGGAAAGAGACATAGGTTCAGAACAGTTCCCAGCAAATGAGCACTACTTTGGATTAGTAAATGTAAGTTATTCTATTGCAATACAACTAATTTAACAAGCAGAGTTATATTTTTGTTGATTATTAAAGCAAGGAGTGTTATTTTATGTGTTTGATCAATTCTTATGACTGTTATTCTCATGAATTCATAGAGGTTTGAATTGAGCTATTGTTTTAATGATAATTGTTTAATATTAAGTGGAATTTTTGTTATTTCCCTTGAAATAATAGAAATAATGTTGTAGTTTAGTATTATCAACCATTGCACAAAGTTTTGCAATGTTTTTTTGAGTAGTTTAGGAATAATAGATTAAAATCTGTGATTTTACACAGTTTTTCTGTAATAACTTTAAAAATTTAAGTTTTTTCTGTGTGCATACCTTTTTTCTTATTCAAATGTACTGTATTGTAAACTTTTTCACTGATTAATTAACAATACTCATGTATTTTGTTTACAGTTTGGTAACACATGTTATAGCAACTCGGTGCTACAAGCACTCTACTTCTGTAAACCATTCCGAGACAAGGTGCTAGAATACAAAGCAAAGAACAAGCGCACCAAGGAGACGCTGCTCACATGCCTCGCCGACCTATTCCACAGCATAGCCACCCAAAAGAAAAAAGTCGGCTCGATTGCGCCGAAGAAATTCATCGCGAAACTGCGCAAAGAAAAGGATGACTTTGACAATTACATGCAGCAGGACGCGCACGAGTTTCTCAACTTCCTCATCAACCGCATCAGCGAGATTATCCTCGCAGAGCGACAGCAGGCGCAGCACGGTGGTGGCGGTGGCGGAGGACAAAACAACGTCACCGCCAATAATGTCAACAAGGCGAAACCGGGCGAGAATGGCACGATACACCCGCCCACGCCGGCGCCGGAGCCCACATGGGTGCAGGACATCTTCCAGGGCATTCTGACCAACGAGACACGCTGTCTCAACTGTGAGACAGTCTCCAGCGTCAACGAGTATTTCTTCGATCTGGCAGTGGACATAGAGCAGAATACGAGCATAACGCATTGCCTACGCTGCTTCAGCAACACGGAGACGCTCTGCAGCGAGAACAAGTTCGAGTGTGACAACTGCCGCAGCTACCAGGAAGCGCAGAAACGCATGCGGATCAAGAAACTGCCGATGATTCTTGCGCTGCACCTCAAACGCTTCAAATACATGGAGCAGTACAACCGCCACATCAAGGTTTCACACCGTGTGGTCTTTCCTTTAGAATTACGACTATTTAATACTGTAAGTTTGTTTTTTTGACAGTGTAGCGGTGAATTATATTATTATTTGTTTTAGTCGGACGACGCGGTGAATCCGGACCGGCTGTACGACCTCGTTGCGGTCGTTATCCACTGTGGCAGTGGGCCGAATCGTGGCCATTATATTAGTATTGTTAAGAGTCATGGATTTTGGTTGTTGTTTGATGATGATCAAGTTGACGTAAGTATAAACAGAGTTTTACACGTAGTTTTGAAAATACTACTATGGAAGTAATAATTTTGTGTAATAACTGATGTTTTGATTGTTTTGTAGAAAATTGATGCATCAACAATAGAAGATTTTTATGGTCTGACGTCAGACACGCAAAAGTCGTCCGAAACAGGCTACATACTATTCTATCAGTCGCGCGAGAGCTTATGAGTGTCGGCGAGAGCTCCCGCAGGCGGCGGGCCGAAGGCGGGTGCGAAACCTAAGCGTACGCCGTTCTCGTTTGCGTTCACCGGGCGGCCAGCACCGCCTTCGCAGCCGTCGCCACCGCCGCCGGCCTAGCAGCGTCTCCCGACGCCTCAACCGCGGCGTCGCGAACCAAAGAAACAAACTACAATTTTTACTACACGATAAACCTAATCAAATCGACGCGCCGAGCGCCCCCGTCGCGCTCCGCGTTTTTTGTACAAACAAAGCATAAACAATTGGCGCGGCGCGCGCACGAGTCGTGACCGCCGCAGCCACATGAACAGTTCATGAGGGTTATTAGCAAAATTTTTCGCTCATTGTAATCATCAACAACTCATCGTTCTAAACAAAAGTTATACTAACGCAAAGACACGAACACATACACACAAAACACACCCACATGATGAAACAAATCACGTACGTACTCTATCTTCTTGCCATCGCACGCAAAAACAAAACGAAACAATAATGAGTTGGTTTGTTGATAAAGGCGCCACTAAAACTGCACTCGAATTGTTGTAGAGCAGTTGTGCGGTGGCGATTTTCGTTCGTCCGGAAAATTGTGATGCGAAGTTTTCGAGGTTTTAATATCCGGTATTAATAGGAAAACATGTTTGTCGTTCGCGTTATATTTATTATCGTCATTTGCTCCTACTCCAATCATCGCCGACACCTTAAAGCGCAGCTAAAAATGACCGCAATAAACGCAGGAAACGTCGACGTCAAATCACTACAATCACAAGCAATACGTTTCTTACTGAGTTAGCGCGAGTTGCATGCAAAGCCGCACTGATTTTTCATACATTGTTTCATTGAAGCGAGCGAGCGCCGAGCGCAATTTGCGAACAAAGCAGCCACACAAACCGCAAACATTGTTAGAACGATACTGATTTTTGTATTTGTGCACCTAATGCGGAACAATGCGAGTCAGCGGAGACGATGTGAGATGAAGTAATGTCGGAACGATTTAACAAATGATGAGAAACATGAGGACAAAGAAGATACACTTTTGTTTGGTTCCACTCAGAGTGGAATTCTATTTTTATTCTGTACATATTCGTTAGATATTAATATAAAGTAAAGGATTTAATTGAAATTTTATGAATTTTTTGTCTTTGGCAACTTTCCTTACAATTTATCGATATTGGTTTCGTACGTCTTAAATTATGTTTCAGAACTATTTAATTATGCAATTTAGAAAGATAATACAAGCAGTTCGGCTACTTTCATCGTTATTTAAGCAAATACTTTATTCCTTTAAAAATGAAAGTTAACTTCAAAATTGAAATACGTTGAAACTGCTTTAGGTTGGCTACACTGCAGCAACAAAGAATATAACCTAAAATATTCAACATGTACGGTGTTTGCGCTTTTCATTTACGCCATAGGTTTACGCTATGGTTTACGCTCACTCAGCTAAGTTACTTTAAACAAACACTAGCACAATACAATCACAATGGAAAATTAATGTAAAATTAAGTTTAACGGAAATCATACAAATTAAAAGGAAAGGAAAAAAAACATTTTGATTATATTACAATGGATAACAGACCTAGAGGTCGTGCCGCCTTGAAAGAAGCTCTTTTGCGCTCACTACGTCGCCCTGGTGAAGATGAAACCGCTTCAACTGCGTCCCCGGAACCTTTGGCGCAGACAACTTCGGCACCTACAGTTTTAAAACCCAAGCCATCACGCGCTGAACTTATCCAGAAACTGCTCAGACAGGCATCTAGTGCAAATTCATCTACATCCACACCAACAGAATCACCTTCTGTACCAGTATCTCAAGTAACTCAGAAAATAGAGAAATTGCAGGTAACAGAACCTCAGCCATTCAAAAAAGGGGAAAAGTGCAAATCTGGTGCTGTAATTGGCATTAAAGCTAATTACATTCATATGAATTGTGATAAGGGCAAGGGTTTCCATAGGTATGAAGTAAAATTCTCACCTGATGTGGACAGTAAGGCGGCCCGTCATAAGTTGATAAAAGCAATAGTACCTGATCTTGGAGGTGTTCACATTTTTAATGGAATGAATGATTTGTACTTACCAATGCAGCAAAACAATGAAAGGCAAACTTTTGAAGTCCAGCATCCATTCAATCCAGAAATGATTGTTCAAATAGTTGTTATCTACAAGAGATTAGAACCTCCAGGTATGCTAAACAATTAAAATAACTCTAAAATACAGTTAATAGATTATATGTTTTTCTTTAATTTGTTAACACAGGAAGTAAAGATAGCATTCACTTTTTAAACGTGCTATTCAAACGAATCATGAACCAACTGCAAATGATACAAATCAATCGTAATTACTTCGACTTCTCCCTAAAAAAGTGCATCCCACAACACAATTTAGAGATTATTCCTGGGTTTGCGGTCGCCGTGGATGAAATGGAAGGCGGATTGATGATATGCCTAGACACGTGCCATAAACTCCTGCGTAAAAAATCCGTCTTAGAACTAATATCTGATATCAGGCGCAATTTTCCGAATGATTTTAAGGGAAAAGCTACCGATGAGCTGCTCGGACAAACCATTCTCACAACTTACTCGAATATGAATTACATCGTCGACGACATTTTATGGGATATAACTCCAACTCATACATTTGAAACAAAGAGTGGGCCAGTTACTTATATAGACTATTTTAAGAATCATCACGGTGTGGAGATTACAAACCACGGTCAACCGCTTCTTCTGAGTATGAAGAAAAAGAAAACTGGTATAGCTGGTAAGGAAGAGACTTTTAAAATTTGTTTAATTCCGGAATTATGCAATTTGACCGGCATTAGTCAAGATCTAATGAACCGCAAATTCTTGAAAGATATGGCCGAACATACTCGCCTGACTCCAGCGAAGAGATTTGATGTTTTGAATCGGTACATCCAGAATGTCCGATATAGTCCAGAAGCGAGTAAAATATTGAAAGACTGGGGATTGTCTATAAATGACGGTGTTATCGATTTGAACGCTAGGGTGTTGAGCGATAATAAGATCACATTTAGGAACAGGAAGATTGATACTTCTAATGTGGCAGATTGGGGGACTTCATGCGCTCGAGATAATTTGATTAATCCTATTAATATGACAAGTTGGATTGCCCTGTGTACAGATAGAGATGTGGGATTGCTAGAGAAATTTATTGCTCGCTTGTGTGGATTGGCCAAAGGATTTGGTTGTGTGATAACTCCGCCTAAGATAGTCAAAGTCGGGAAAGGAGCTGATATGAATTATAGGGAGGCTTTGGAACAGCACGCCAATGACAATGTACAAATCTTTCTTATAGTGGTACCCATAGCCCGAGATTCGCTTTATAATGTATTGAAGAATACAACGCTTGCTAGAAAAGGTATTTTGAGTCAGGTGGTGAAAGTGGGTACTTTAAACAATGACAGAATTGCCGGCGCGGTTACGTTGAAGTTGGGATTGCAAATGCAGGCGAAGCTAGGCGGTAGTTTGTGGGGGGTTGTCTTTCCGTCGATTTGTAACGATTTTATGTTTTGCGGTATTGATACATTCCATTCCAAAGGACACAAGAAGAGTGTAGGTGCTTTAACGTGCACCATTGATGAGAGACAAACTAGATATTATACGGGTTTGGCGTTTCAAGCGCATGAGATTGCGGATGCGTTGAAATTACACTTTAAAGCTGCTTTGGAAGCTAGGAGGGATATGACTGGAAGATTCCCGTCGGTTGTGTTCATGGTACGTGATGGTGTAGGAGATGGACAGTTGGAACATGTGAGGGAGTATGAAATGAAGCAATATTTGAGTGTAAGTTTAATTTATCAACGTTTAGTTTATGTTTTTTAATATTTTTATTTGATTCACAGGTGGGAGCTGATATTGGAGCAAATTTCAAGTTTTGCTTTATTGTTATCCAGAAGCGAAATAATACGCGTTTCATGTTGGTACAAAACCAAAACCCGCCGCCTGGCACCGTTGTCGATCACACGATTACACGCAAGAATTACGAAGATTTTTATTTGGTTCCTCAAGCGACACGCATTGGTACAGTCAGTCCTGTGCATTACATCGTCCTGCACAACGATTCTCCTGATTTGAATCTCGAGCGCATTCAGAAGTTGTGCTTTAAATTATGCCATTTATACTACAACTGGACAGGAACAGTTTCGGTACCTGCACCGTGTCAATACGCGCACAAAGCTGCTTATCTCATTGGCGAACACATGGAGCGCAAACCTTTGGACAGCCTGAATGACAAACTGTATTACTTGTAGACTGACTTTGATTTTTAACTTCACATTTTCTTATTCATTCATTCATTTATGTTTTTAATTTGTTTGACTCAAGGAACGATTTATTTGCTGTTTATTAATTTAGAATTACGTCCTCAGAAATGTGATTGTATGGTAAAAATGCCATATGTAAATGAAGTTTAGCAGCCAATAATTACCTTGAATCTAGTTACCAAATAATGTTAATTTAGTTCTTGTCTGATATTTCAGAGAAAATGACTTGTATCTTTGTTAGGTCGGAAACTTTTCGGACCACCCTCGTATAATGTTACACTAATGCTATAAATTTACAATTTAAACTTTTAAGAGAATTATATATTATATTTTTATAAGCAACGTTTATTAATAAAATATTCTTGTGTTCTTAAATGTACATAAATCATAAGAAATTAGAATACGAGTATTAAGCCATTAACTGAAAGTGTTACTGACAAGTTATTCGCCGGGCTTTAATGGAGGAAATTGCAAATTGCTGCTTTTCATCTTCAAGAACACTTTCAAGTCCTATTTTTCTGCTTTAAAAACGAAATAATTGAGAAACACAGGCTGAATAATTCTGAGACAGTTGGCTGCAACTATCCTACTTTGTTAGTCAATATTTGTATAGTTCCTAAATTAGTTGCTTTGACGCTGATACTTCCTGTTAATTTTTACTCAAGGTTTCCATATCATTTGAAAAAAAGGCTAAATTTAATAAATAATACAGTTGTGCCAAATTTAGTACCCTATAATCCAAGTCAAAGATTGTTTTGTGATTAGCTAAAGAAAGAACGAGATACAACGACATTACCATCATGTTAGAGCGGGTGAGTTCCTCTACAAGATGCATACCCCTCCTACCTACCACCCTTTTTAGAAGTGCCCCAATATGCCCTTCAAAAATTAACAATTTTAGGAAAATTTGAAAACATTGTGTGGAAAACACTCTGTATCTAGTGAACTAATTGATTTTCTTAGAGTTTCTCCACGCCAGAATAGAGTTAGAAAGTTCCTTTACACAATGAGTACCCTTTCAACCTTCCAGCTTTTCCGGAAGTGCCATAAAATGCCCTTCAAAAATCAGCATTTTTAGGAAAATTTGAAAACAAGAAGTGGAAAACACCCTGTATCTAGTGAACTAATTGACTTTCCTAGACTTTCTCTACGCCAGAATATAGTTAGAAAGTTCCTTTACACAATGAGTACCTTTTCAACCTTCCAGCTTTTCCGGAAGTGCCTTAAAATGCCCTTCAAAAATCAGAAGTTTTAAGAAATTTTGAAAAAGTGAGGTGGAAAACATCCTGTATCTCCGAAACTAATTGACTTTCTTGGAGTATCGCTACGCCACAATAGAGTCAGGGAGTGTGTCTACACGATGCATACATAGAGTCAGGGAGTGTGTCTACACGATGCATACATTTTCAACCTTCCAGCTCTTTTGGAAGTGCCCTAAAATACCCTTCAAAAATGAGTAATTTTAGAAAAATTTGAAAACATAGTGTGGAAAACACCCTGTATCTCGTAAACAAATTGACTATCTTCTAGTTTCTCCACGCCGGAAGAGAGTCTTTATACCTTCCAGACCTTTCAGAAGTGCCCTAAAATGCCCTTCAAAAATGGACAATTTTATGAAACTTTGAAAACACCTTGTATCATGTGAACTAATTGATTTTTCTGACGTTTCTTAACGTCATGTTAAAGTTCGAAAGACCCTTTACACTATGCATACCTTTCTAACCCTATAAACCTTTTGGAAGTGTCTAAAAATTCCATTCGAATATCGCTATTTGTGTCCAATAAATTTCATTTTTTGGTCGAATAACAGGGTCAAACTTTTTTTAATAAATATTTTTCGGTCGAAGAACAGGGTCGAACTTTTTAGCGATTATGACAAGAATAAAAAGGTCTATGAAAAACGAATGCATTTTTTTCTAAAATTGTAAATAGGGTCTAAACAGTTAATGTTAACAAAAAAAGTTAATAAAATAAACGATGTAGAATTAAATTATCTATCAGAATTCGATTAAAAATTTAATAAAAAATAATAGTTTCATGCATAGTACGAGTACAACTCTTCTCATGTTCTGCACTACCACACTGAAAGTATCAGTGCGTACAAACAAACAAGTTTCTTTATCTCCTGCAGATTTGTGCGGTTGCCACGCGGTTGGCGTGCGTATCACGTTAGTCTTATTTTTGTCGTCAGGTGATCTGGACGCACATTTTCCTTACAATATTTTGAGTTCCTTAATTTGTTGTCACGTTATTACTGTTTCTAAATGCTCCTTCGATTGTGCGCGAGTGATGTGCGGCGTTAAGCGCGGATTGTACACACGCCGAGGTAAAGCGCGAGAGATGACCATCTTATTTTGCATCAAGGTATGTTCTTGCATTTCTTCAGCCATGTGAAAATCAAATCCATTATTGACTGAACTTGTTTTTACTTCAACCGCGTGGTCTATAACCACACAAATAATTTTTGTCTCTGTTTCAATACCTATCGTTGATTTACAATACGTATTCATTACATTGTTTTGTTTTCGTTTAATGTACAAATTAAAAGATTAAGATTGTCGTGTGCCGTCGGTTGCGTTCTTAATTCTTTGGCGGCTTTTTCCGGCAAAACCCGCTACCCACCACTATTACATACAATTTTTAATTCCGAAAATAAGAAAGAGAAATCTTTTGCCTTTTTATGATAAAATCTTCTTTTCAGCTAGTGCAGCTTTTGAAATAATTGGAATTTTTTAATTCTGTTTTTGGATTTTGAAAGATAATTTACTTCTTAATTGATTATTTAAGCAATTATTTTTCTATCATTGACGGTTTAGATCATATTTGCAATTTTAATCAAAAAAATGGATTTTTACATGTCATAATGGCTTTAATCTACAATTGTGTTACATGTTTTCGATTTTGAATTTAATATACTCTCAAAAACCAAAAACAGAATTCAAAAATTCTAATTATTACCGAATCTGTATTTGTTGAAATAAAATATTTCGCCATAAAAAGGCAAAAGATTTCTCTTTTTTATGTCGAATGCAGTTTTCACTAAAATTTGCAAATAGGGTTAATCTTAGGAAAAAAGTTACTAAAATAATCGATGCAGAATTAAAAGAACTATTTAAGAATTTATTATTCTAACATTGAACGTTTAGAGCCTATTTGCAATTTTAATTTAAAAAAAGATAGGTGTTTACAAGCCAATAGTGTTTAATCAATAATTTTGTTACTGGTGACCGATTCATTTAATCGAAATTAAAAGTACCATGCATTGAAGCAGTACAATTCTTTTCATGTTCTGCATTACCACACTGAATGTATCAGTGTTTACAAACAAACAAGTTTTCTTATCTCGTGCCATTTTTGTGCGGTCGCCACGCGGTTCGCCTCGCGGTTGGCTTGCCTACCACGTCAGTCAAATATTTGTCTTCGGGTGATCTGCACGCTCATTTACTTCACAATAATTTGAGTTCCTTAATTTCTTCGCGTTATTACGTAGTATTTGAATTGTTTATACGCAAAAACGTGAGTGATGTTCCGTCGGCCGTCGGATACTCTTTTTGTATGATACGCGTATTTCATCATTTCTACAATGTGCATAATTAAGGTCCTTACAATTTATTGGATATGCCAAAAGCGCAAAAATTAATTTTGCATCAAGGTACGTTCTCGCACTGCTTAAGCCACTTGTAAATCAAATCCATTATTGTCTTTACTTGTTTTTACTTCAACTGCGTGGTCTTTAAGCCTACAAATAATTTTTGTCTCTGTTTCAATACCGTTGATATGCATTGCGTATTTGATACCTTGTTTTGATTTTGTTTAATGTACAAATTAAAAGGTTTAAGATAGTCGCATGCCGATTTAAAATAAAATTCTGCTTTGTGCTCTATTTTTGTAATATCCAACCCATCACTTTTCCTTCATATCCAAAGAAAATACAATATTTGAAATGTTCTATTTTTATGTTTTCTCACTTTTCACTTATTTTTGATTTCCGGTGTAAACATTTTGATTTTTAAAATTCCCGATGGCTTTCTTCTTATATTATCTTGTTATTGTCGCTTTGTTAATTGTTTCCATCCGTTCTCCTACTTAAATCTTAATTTTTCTATGTGTATCACCCAGTAGATATATATTCCTTATCATTTAATAGACCATATTTATTAGTGTTTCGGCGTTTTACTTTTAATTATATTTAGTTTTCTTTTTGTAACAACCTGTATATTAATTTCCAGTAGTGTCAAAAGGGGAAAGATGCATGTTATCCCATTTAAACTTAGGATTTTCCTTTGAAATATAGTAGTTTTTTGTAACACCCGGTATACTAATTGCCCGTGGGGAATTGTCAAAAGGGGAAAGATACCTATATGTCATCCCACTTAAACTTAGGATTGTTCTATAAAATGTTGTCCTTTTCTCTTTACATCACTCTGTATATTAATTTCCTTTGATTTTACTTTGACTGGTTTTAGATATATATTTCCCTACTTAAATTTTGCATTTTCTCTTTAAATGTTATTATATTGCTTTTTGGAACACCCTGTATAATAGTTTTCTGTAATTGCCGCGAAAATTATGCAAAATTTGTTAGTATTATGCTTGTTTGTTTCGTGTTCAGGACACCGTACGAAGGTAGCGGTAGAAGTGACTCGTGTTCAGGGCACCGTACGAAGCTAGCGGCAGAAGTGAGTCGATTCAGGGCACCGTACAAGGGTAGCGGTAAAAGTGAGTCGTATTGATAAAATATAAATTATTTTTGACGTTTTAGTCAAGGAAATTTAATTATTTTATACTTTTATCTGATAGAGAATTTTCCAAAGTTTCATAACCTTCAATCCGTTGGTCGCTAACGTTTTTAATTTAAATGATATTCGTTACCAAAAATACTCAAAAAAACATGACGCAGCACCTCCCTTTGCCCATTTAAGTGAATATTTAATTTAAATAAATTAAATAAATTGTTTATTTGTACTGGTAAATTAAATTCCTGCTTTTGTCAATCTTATTACATCCCAAAGTCAATATATTCCGTGATTCCGTGTATATGTGCTATTTCAATATAGCACATCGTCGTGTATTCTTTCGGCCATCGTCAAAATATTCGTAATGGGAATGTGTGCCTGTTTTGTTTAATGATTTATGGAGGTTAGAGTCTTCTTAAGTGAGAAATAAGTGTCCGTTAATCCCTGCGCGAGTTTTCAGTTGATAGAATATATTACAGGATAGAAAATCTCCTCATCAATGCATAGGTTGGTGGATAATTAAAATTTACCGCGGAAAGTTAAGGCGGTTTAACTTAAATTGATTATTTAATTTGATAGATATTAATTTTGTAGATTACAAACAAGTGGTGGCATTTTAATTAGAATTCTTCTTTGTCGCGTTTCCGAAAATAACATGCTTCATTTAATTATTACAAGCACGGTTTTTAAAATTATCTGTGAATAATTAAAATGACAATATTCATGTGGTCGACCACGCTTACTTTGCCGTCGGCCGTCGGTTCGGTCATGTTTTCAATTACCACGTAAACATTTTTAATCGAATTGCATCATTAAATTAATATGTAATTTCTTGTTGAAATAAAATCTTGAACGATGAATTGTTTTTCGTTTTCGTAATAAATAAATAGTTCGATATATTGACTTCTTTGATTTGTGTACCCCCTCTATCATTCCAGGAACAGGTCTCTAAGAGAGTTCCCTCTCTCAGGGGATGATCCCCACTATAAAAATTGTTAAGGTATCCTGTGAGATTTATGTGCTCCTTCTTTCATTTCAGCTACAGGTCAGAACTTGTAAGATAATTTTAAGTGTCACCTCTTAAAACTTAGAAATATTTGAACAAGACCTTATAAGGATTGTCCTTATAAGGAGTTCCCTCTCTCTGGGGGTGATCCCCCACCATAAAAATTGTTGATATGCCTAAGAATCCTGGGGATGAAGCGCAGAGTCATCGTAGCTGTAGGATGGGCCGGGAGCGATGGACGGAGCGACCTGTAGACTGTCTTATAACGACACGCCGCCAAAAAATTTAAAAATCTGATCCTCCCCTGTTCTCTTTCTTCCATCTCCTCCTCTTCTCTATTCTGTTCTCTGCCTTCTATCTTCTTCTCCTCTTCTCTACTTACTCCTTATTCTTCCATTTCTGTTCCCGCTCCTCCACATACTTTCTTACTTCTCATATTACCTTCACTTGTATTTCAATTTCTCTTATATTTCGTTGCAATTTATATATGCAACCCAAATTACACCTGATATTTTTATGTTTGAGAAAAATGCCTTCTATATCTGAGATTCGATCCGTGCCCACTAGCATGCTAGCAGGTGCACGTACCCACTCGACCACCGAGTGTTTTTATCGTTTATATATGATTCTTTTATTTATGTTTCTACTTTAATCAATTTTTTTAAAATAATAACACACGCCTTAGCTATGTTGCACACGCTCCACACACTGTACGACACTATGTTATACTATGGTGTACCTACTCTTAGAGTTCAACTTGACTTAATACTAACCTGAAAACGACTAATTGAACACTAGGGACACATGTAAACAAGAATGTAAAATTAAATTATCCTTTATTGACTGAATTATTTACAATTATTATAAAGCAATATCATGGAAACTGGAAGGTTTAAAAAGTTAAATAAAAGTAAACTTTTAGTTGATGCTACTTAATCAATAAATCAATAAATTAGAAAGTAGAATTGATGATACGCACTTCTTTACTATTCTACGTGGAGATTCCAAATGTACTCACTTGCATTCACGTTTAACAATTAAATTTAACTTGGACTCCAGTAAGTATCCATAGTCATCGGAACATATCCGACGGACATCACGCACGCGCCGCAAAGAATCACTCAAATCATTTGTTGTGCGTTACACTGGGCGGTTACTACTCAATGCCTCTCATTGTCAATCGAATCTAGTAATGCTACAAAATATCAAGAAACGCGAGAAATTGTCACCTTGTTCGATTAATTAACAAAACACGTGCGCACCACACAGCAGCGCTAAACCAACTATGTCGAACTAAGCAGCCCAGATAATTGATAACCGGCCCGCAGTTGGAGGGGCATTCTTCTATCTGCATACAACAGAAAGGCGATTACAAATAGATTGCAAGTTATCAAGTTATCAGGTGAAGTTTACAAAAAAAGGATTTAGAAAAAAGGTTTTTAATTACCGTACTGTGGTAAAATACCACATTTGCAGCTTTCCCATGTATTAAACACAGATGTTGTATCTGACAATGCTAAACAACTAGAATATTTAGAATCACATGAAATAATGGTTGTCCTACGACATCGGGTTTCTCCGCTAGACACCTAAAACAACCGAAAATTAGAGCATTCGAAGCCCTTATATGCAACAAAAGTTGTGTATAAAAGTGACGTACGCACCACAACTCAGCGCACTAAAAACAACAACAAAAATTATGAATTTAAACCAAAACGATGGACGCGCATCTTACGGTAGCGGAACAAAACAAAATAGATAGCTGCCACTAGTGCGATCTAGGTGAGACGGAACGAAACATTAAAGACAGCCGACTATCGTCATCAAGTTTTGAAACTTTGAAATTACCCAGAAATCTGCATTACGTCTGCTAATATTTAAAATTTAATTCACTTTCCATTAACGAAAATTATTTACGAAAATTATAAATAAATTCAATACTTACAAACTGATGAAAGAATCGTTGGTCTATGACACTTCGTTCGTCCACTAGACACCTAAAACAACCAAAAATCAGTACATCGAAGCACAAAAATTATCTTTTTTCCGGTTTCCCGTGTGCAAATCATACAAATTATAAGTGTAAATAATATACAAATTCAATACTTACAATCTGATAAAAGAATCGTAGTCCTAGGATATTTCGTTCGCTCGCTAGACACCTAAAACTACCAAAAATCAGTACATCGAAGCATAAAAATCATCTTTTTCCAGGTTTCCCGTGTCCTAATCACGCAAATTGTAAATGTGAATGATATACAAATTCAGTACTTACAATCTGATGAAAGAATCGTTGTCCTAGGACATTTCGTTCCCCCGCTAGACACCTAAAATCACCAAAAATCAATACATCGAAGCACAAAAATGATCTTTTCCAGGTTTCCCGTGTGCTAATCACACAAATTATAAATTTGAATGATATACAAATTCAATACTTACAATCTGATGAAAGAATCGTTGTCCTAGGAAATTCCGTTCCCCCGCTAGACACATAAAACAACAAAAAATCAATACATCGAAGCACAAAAATGATCTTTTTCCAGGTTTCCCGTGTGCTAATCACACAAATTATAAATACGAACAATATACAAATTCAATACTTACAATCTGATGAAAGAATCGTTATCCTAGGATATTTCGTTCGCCCGCTAGACACCTAAAACGACCAAAAATCAGTACATCAAAGCACAAAAATTTGGCGGGTTTCCCGTGTGCTAATCATACAAATAATATAATAATCATATCAAAAATTATGAAATTATATTATCAAAAATTATCGACGGATTACTCGAATGCGATGAAATTAGAATTGCGTCCCTTAAGACACCTTTGAGAGCGCTAACAATTATAAATAGAAATTACTACTACTTAGATAACATAAAAGACTTAAAGGAAAAGTAAAAAAATGCGCCACTAAACTTTCGAATTTACCCATGTTGCAGACACAACTTCGGCAACAAACTAATACAAGGGTTCTCGAGATATGACCCGATTTCCACAACAAAACCTAAAAAATTGGAAAATTGTCAAATTTGCAGGGCGATTTAAGAGAATTCGCGCATAATTTCTAGTGTACTGTTGATATTAATTTGTTATTTGTTGAATTTCGTGCGTTTGGTGATTAATTGAAATTTGTAGGCGGCATACAGTTAATTTACGTCGCGCTCAACATTAGCGTGCGTTCAATTTACCGTAACACGCACTCGAGGGAAACACTTTTAATGTAATTGTATGCAAAACTATCGTTAAGGCATTCGTGAATACTTTGTGGCTACAATGCGTCGTACGTATATGCGCTACGAATGTTGCGCACATTGTTGATTACACGCGCGACATTCCATTTCTAATTTCGGGAGCGCCCGGAAACGCGCACGCACAAAAGTCCGAGTGCTCAACAATGCGCACTCGTAAAAAAAGCGAGGCAGATAACGAAGGTAACGAACTATCAAATGCACGACACGATGTGATTCATCGTGCCCACTATAGGGCATTCAAAAATCGCCAACAATTGACTGACGCTCAAATCGGATTTGTAACTGCGGGAAGTGAACTGGAAATACTCAAAAGTATCACACATTGTTTCGGTATTTCAACATTTCCACGTTACAAAGTTCAATCAAAGTTGATTAAGCCAAAACTTGAATTTTTAAAAATTCGGATTTAATAAAAATAAGTGCATTTTCATGCATTTTCCTACGTTTTGAACAGTGTGCTGGATTCGCTTCTTTTTGCGTGGTGTTACGTTGGCGGATTGATGGTTTTTCTTCGTTTATGAGCGCACATTTTATGACAGATGATCCACACTGCAGTAAAGTCATGAAAACGCGGCAAAAAGGAAAAATCTAGTCATGCTTTGCAAGAAAACTAACACATTAACTAGTGAAGCGCACAATTGAGGACGATGCAAGGACACGGAAGAAACCTGAAAACAAAATAAAATACAAATACTTTTAAAATATTTAGTTTTTGTTTGTTCAAAAAATTTCAAAAAATTCAAATCAGTAACACAACACGATTAAATCAAAAATGAACATAAGTCTTGCAAAAAAATGAAAAAAGATAAATTCTACTATTTTAAAACTTTCGTTGAAGGTTTTATGTTATTTAAACATAAGTTAGCATTAAATTAGTGGCTTTGCGTATTTAGTTAACGCTTTCGGCGCCTTTCCTTTCCATTTCGAAGCAGTTTGAAGCAAAACTTGGTAGCTCCGTCGCCGGTAGCAGTTCGGTGGCAACGTGCTGCCGTTAATAGACCCTCGCACAACGTCCGCGTCGAGCAGTCGTCGTTCGAACGCGCTTGGCAACGCATCGCGACGCCACCCACAACTCCAAAAATTTACGCTCGCCACGCACCGCGCAGCAACACGTGCTTGTGAATCCATTCGAAATCCAACATTCAACATCTCAGCAACACCAACGCAAAACAAAATAATTAATTATCTATACGTATAGATTGCATTCAAAAAAATTAAACTGCGTCAAACATTTAATCAGTTGACTTTGTGAACTTGTGATCATGATCGAAGAAACTTTACCGCGTGCGAGGCGCCTGCAAACGTAGGAAAGGAAGTATTGTGTGCTCACATGTGCGAAACTGTTGTTAATTAGTTAGCAAAGTGTTGATTGTGCGGCGGTGCGTTATCAAGGAGCAAGGAGCGTCCCACCCACCCGAAAGTGCGCGCCGAGTGCACGTGCGGAGCGTAATAACCCCGCGCTAGCCCCAGCGCGCTTGATTGACATTAAGTGGATTATATTGTGGATACTCCTGTCGACGTGCGGTGGAAAATCATCATTTATGGGGATTTCACCGGCTTTTAAGGTTTGCTTTTTCATCAATTTCATAATATTCAATCAGAATTTTAGTTAAATCGTGCGTCAAGAGTTAATGTTTAACTACGGCAACTTGTAATTGATTTAAATTACTTCCCGTGTAATATTTTTTGCCCATTTTTCACGCACAATTTTTTAATTTCAATTTACTTTTGGTTGCGGCGCACGTCACGTCGAATTTATTTGTGTCGTGCAAAACGCCGAATGTGTTTGTGCGCTGTTCGCGCGAGTTAATTAAAACCGAGATTTACGACTTGCTGCTTTTTTTTTTTCGTTCGGATGCTTTTCTTGCTTCAATCTTTCGTCAATTTTGCGCCGTCGTTGATTGCCTGCCAAACGTCGCTCACGTTTTTCACGTCACACTTTCAATTCCTAATAAATTTCTGCCCAAAGAAACAATTAATTTTGTTACGAAGGTAGTCCTAAAGAATAAAGAAATTATGAAAGTTGCGCATGGCATAAAAATTGTTGCGCGAGCCAAGCGCACTTTTAGAATAAATAAATACCACCAGGAAACTGTCCGTCATGCGGCTTCTTGTCCTCAAAAGACATTTAATGAGTTAATTTTTCTTTCAACTTCTTTTAACTTAAAGTAAATTACTTATCATTACCTAACATTTGGCAGCATTCAATTGCGCATGCGTGGCAAATCAATAGCATTAACACTCCGGGAAAAATTAGTTTAATGCGTCCCTGCGGTGAAGTATATCCGAGCGCATGTGCTGCTTCTCGAGGTTAATTACTTCCGTGCGAACTTGAAACTCCCGCATCCACGAGCCAGACTTAAATTTAAACCCGGCGTACGTTTATTTAAGGATTCACGTCTTGGAGCGTTCGGGCGTCAATCTGCGAACGCATGTGCTTGCAACACAGCATCGAAATAAACTTTTATGCATTTGCAAATAATTACCGCAATACTCAACCAGAAATAGTTATGCACCTACGATAATAACTCGCAATACCATGTAGGTTCAATTTGAGGTTAGGTCTAACCTTAAAATGATCTGTATTTCTACTTCAACGCGTTAATGATGTGAAAATAAACAATAATGAAATTAATGAACGTTGAAAGATCGAAAATCACAATTTCCGTGTAGAATTCCGCAAAGAAAAGATGACGAATGGTTGAAGATGAAGATGCGTGCCAGATGTGCATCAACTTCTTCTGTTATTCAGTCTTTCCCTCTTTAAAATCCCATGAAAACGAAACCAAAGCACAAAGCAAAACAGTTTTTAAATGCACGCTCATAAATTTGCTGCAATTTACTAGTTTTAAGAAAGTCTTCTATTATTTTACAAACAGCGTGGCGTAGAAACCTAAAACTTTTATTTCTCAACGCGAAATAAACTTTATACTCAACGTACGACCAGACGAGAAATTTGTTTAGTACTTGTTTTATTAAGTTACCATGCGATACGAACATCGATCAAACAACAGGAAAAACACGCGAACCAAGTGAAATGACTGTAAACCAAACGTCGACGTTACGTGCCCCGCGAGCCGAAATGCCCGAAAGCGACGCGCATATATTAAACATTCTTCGGCGCAAGCCATAAACTTCGGGGTGTTTTGGTGCATTATGACAACACCAACAATTAACATACAAAGACCTCATGAGCCCGGCGATCCCTTGCGGCACCCCTGGCGACATGTCCCTCAACACCGTCTAAATAGCTCTATTATTGTCTAGTAAATTAAATATCTTTAACGTCCCAGTACTCCTCAAATTACATTTTTACAATAAAAACCTAAAACCTTGCTGTTGGCGTGATGGGCAGACAGAAAGTTCTTGTGGAATATTTTTTGCTTTCTAACTCGTTTATAAAGGGCTAGAAGACATTAATGCTAATTAAACTTAAACTTCACTTAAGTGACGCCCGCGAGGCAATTAAAAGTCGATAAAAGCGATTTGAATAGACGTTTCAGAGCCGAAAAAAATCAATGGACAATAAAATATCCAAGTTTGAGATAAGTCGAACTTTAATTCAAAACGTTATCTTTTGCTTTTATATTTTTTGTAATTTTACGACTTTTAGTGTCTAAATGATCTCATTCGTTCAAATTATTTGTTGCCACTGAAGAGTTGAACATTGCTTGATTTCTTCTCCGCACTGCGCCGCCACCAGTCCGATTGCGCTGATGCTTAGGCAATTAACTTAATCAAATTCAATTAAAAAGTACTTGCCTCGTCGCGCGCCTTCGCGTAAATTTTCTTTGCAATTAACATGCAAATTGCGAATCTCCCGATTTGCCTCGTTTCTCAAGCCGATTTCCCAAACTGGACTTATCTCATTTCTAAGAAGCGCTTTTCTTTAGTTTCGACTAAGTATTTTGCTTCGTTATCGTTGTCATTAAGCCGAAATTCGAGAAAATTATAAATTAGTTCCAAAATGTTCGGTAGGCAACATTTCACAATGTAAAATCATATTATATGTTCACACATGATTGCGATGAAAATCTAACAAATATGATTTCGTGTTTAGTTCAGCGTTCTACGTGTAACTCGTTTGTTCTGGATAATTACAGGTAGCGGAATAATGATAGTGGCTTGTGACCGCAGGCGATGAAATAATTGCACATATTACACGTGTAGCGATGAAACATTAAACCAACGAAATGTGTTCACTAATAAATGTTCAAAGTTTAAAAAAAAGAATTTATAAAAAAATAAACGCTGTGTCACGGTCGGACAATAAATCTGTAAAAATTACCAGGTTATTGACTCAGTATTCATAAAACTAGTGTATAAATCAAGTTTAATTAAATTTTTAATTATTTCGAGACAAAAATATTTGTTTAGGACTTGTCTATGCTAATGTTGAGGTTAATTTAGTTTAATTAATGCTTCTTTTAATCGATCAGAGGTTATTTCGTTTGTTATTGCGGTTTTGCGGTCATGTAATCGCACAATTGTTTGATCGTGCACATCAACAACTTGACTATTGAATAATTCAAACTCACTCTTGACAATACACGTTTTATCATCATATTTATTCCAGCACTTTGCGTTAAAAACTCATTAAAACAACAACAAATCATAAAATCGGTTATAAATTTAAATTTATATGATTTTAAATTTCCCCTCAGCTATAAATAAATTCATTTAAAACTTGGATAACTGGCAAATGCCATCAGTAAATTCCAATAAAATTAAATTGAATTTTTTTAACTTCGCAAATCCCATGACGATTTTAATTTTATTAAGTGGATTCCGTTGGTAGGTATTCAATTGTTAGCAATTTTTTGTTTGATTCAATTTTTCTCCGGCCTAGCGGTAAGCCTCGTCCAGCATTTTGCGCGTTGTTATCTCCTGGGAAATTCATTCGCATTTATAAATTTTCAATTTCGCATGCAACCGAACACAAAACAAACACACGGGACGCCCAATGCGAATGCAACGCAATGAAGCGACTTGATTTAGCCAAACATGTTTTGCAAAATGTACTGAATGGAAAAAAACACGAGGAAACATACGTGAAAAACATAAATTGCTTCATTGTTTTCCGGATTGTGCTGAGTTGTTTTTTTCGTTCTGGGGGGCGATTTTAAGTCAGGGATTTTGTATATTCCTCCAAGGAATAAATTGGATAAATACGAAGAATGTAAAACGCAAGAAATCCCAAGAAAGGTGGAATTTATTTAGAAACACAGAAACAAAGATAATAAAATACGCGGAATAATTGAATTCTCGTCCGGTGTACATAGGGTTGCATAATCTAAGCAAATTTAAAATTATTTCTTCAATCTTTGTGAAATTTAAATTTATTTGTTATCTTCCGATAAGCACTAACTTTGTTGCTTTCGTGTTGTATTCCGCTACTTTCTGATACTTGACAATCCAGCTGAATAGCTTTGAATACGCTTGAATGCCAAGATACGCCGTTGACAATGGCGGCAAACAGGGAACAGCAAAAAAAATGCACAAAAGATTGTCACAGACAACGACGCACGACGCCAGAGAAAAAGAAAATGTTCTGCCGTAGATTCGCATGATTTCTTTTCCGGCGACTGGGCCATTTGGGCTTTCCTGCCTTTCTGCACGGTTTGCTTCTTGTTCAATTTGCAAATGTATACAGAACCGCAGCCCAACATTCAACATGCACTCACGTATTCATATCGGGGATGTAAGATATGTATATCGAAAGGAAAATACTTGGAGAAATCCCAAGAAAATAAAAACATGAGAGGGAAAAAGCAAATTGATAGAAAAACTAAATAGAAGCAAATTTTTGTTTTTGCAGCCATTTTGAAAACTAACCTCAAAGCTTATGTGTTTTATGAGTGAATGTTTCTTCTGTTTCTGTTTCATGCGTAAAAACTACAAGTTATTTGCGACTTGTTGCTACTGCTTGTCTTTATGAGCAGTAATAATTCACTTTCTGTCATGTTATGACATTTTTTCTCAATAATTACGCATTATTACATATTTTTTGTATTTTTCTTTCATAAAGCAAACTTGAATCTAAAGTTTAAGGAGGAAACCAGCTTGTTTGATGAACAAATAATTCTTGAACTTCCTCTGCGTCTTCCATTCTTCTCTTAGACGACTAGTAGTAGTTTTTTTGCAGCGTATTTAAAGAGCACGAAGATGCATTGCAAGAATAAACAATCGCACGCTACATTTACACAAGATTATACCAACATACGCTAACATTGCAACGCTTCAAAGTAACAAAAGTATCAAAAACGTCGACAAAAAGCGTTCGGTAACCAGGCATGCCAAGAAACCATTCCCATTCACATTTGTCTTCAACGCATGAACGCAAATTTGTCTAAGCAAACAGCAGTTACTCGTACTTCTCGAAGTAGCAACAGGAGTACTCGTATTCTTCGAAATTCTAAAGTTAAATCCGCGCGTACACAAGTTGGCGCATAGTTACAAATGTAAATTTAACAAACGTTTTGGGCTGCGGGTTCGAAAACAACGACCACGAGGTGTACGCAGACACGACTGAATTAACTTGGCAAAGACCTTGTAGTCCTTGACT